CGATTTGCTTAGGACAGACTTAGAAACATACAACACTTGGGCAATGTTCAATCGCCTGACGTGTGCCAACTGACAACATGCTATTTGGACGTACACGTTCAGCACGTTGCAAACATCGCATTTTCTATACTTTTACTTACTTAATCAGTTAATGTGTTCAGTAAGGTAACATGCCTCTGCTTACAACCCAGCCTGAGTGACAATGGTAAACCTGGCATATCACCTTTTCACGTGCTGTTTGAGGTCAGGTACTTCATGAATGTCAAGGTGTGTTTGATTTCTTCGGAAATATTCTTGCCACATAAATGACTTATTTGTCAAACATTCTTGCAGATTCCTGTAGTTTCGCCTGAAAACACATCCTCTACTCGACTTCGATAAACTGCTGTGAAGATATAGTGCCTATAATTAATCATTGATGCATTCATTTCTTAAAGTTTTTATGTGAGATATTTTTGTTGCATATAGTACGGATCGCACATGGGCCACATTTTATATTAAATCAAATTTAATCTGACCAAATTTACAAAAGTAGTGAAATCCGGAACTTAATAGAACTGGCAATTCTCTGTTGAAGCAGATCTTTGTATGGTTGGGCAAGATTAAATCGAGATTTTAGGTTTGTGGAACCCAAACTTTTGATTGAAGGTATTATCACGCTATATATCTATATATAATAAAGTTTGCTTTTACATGAAACTTTCATTTAGTTCACTAGCGTAAGTGGTTGTAGTATATCACTCTGTGGAGGGGAGTACAAGGTCCCTGCATGTACGATGTTCAAGTGTCTCCATGACCATAAACAACTGTTTCCTATTTATTCGAGTTAAGGGATTGCCAGGGGTGTCTTGAGACTTGTTGGACCGGTACAGGCTCACGAAACGCGAACAACAGAATATGAATCTCTGCTGATATCCTGAAATACCACCATACGGGATGATCCATGTCAACCCCACCGATTTCCACGTATATTTTCTGTCTTTGAACTACACGCAGATAGGAACAAATCCAGCATTCAACAAAGTAAACATTCTTTGTCTAGTTTATGTCAGTCAATACAACAGACTGACGTCAATCTATACAAGACAGCTCGAACGTGTAGTCTCCATTGTTACCGCTATAGTCGGTGTTGCCATGACATCAAAACACATCCTGAAAGTTTGATGGTGGATCTTCTGTATGCTTGGAGGGAATCATGTGGAAACAATCGCTCTGTAGATTGTAAACTTAGAAATCTATGTAAAACCAGTATGCATTCATATATTTTATAGATATATAATTGATTAATAATTGATTTGAGATAATAGATCCGTAGGTGCCCTTGTGTAGGTTCCAGTTGGAAGTACGAAATTGTAAATGATTGGCGTCACTCAGTGTCAGTTTTCGAAGCACTTTCTCTAATAATGAAGCAACACACACACACACACACACACACACACACACACACACACACACACACACACACACACACACACACACACACACACACACACACACACACACACACACACACACACACACACACACACACATCGTCTCTAATAAAGAAGCAATTTACATCAATAACAATTTCTTGCTTGAAGGAAAACCAAGTTCTATGGATAGTCAACTTCTTTATTGCAATGAGTGCGACGTTTCGGATCACTTGCTTGATAACAGTGTTAGTACCTATACCAATACTTATAAATACCAAGGAATTACTATGCAAAAATTGTACATTAACTTTAATAAAAACGAATCTAGCTCAGAAGGCCACCAAAACTATGTATTTTGTTTTAAGCAAAGGTGGAGTACTTAATTTGTCATGTGATTACTTCCATTAGTCGATTGTTTGGTTGCCCCTGTTGTTTATGGGTGTGAAACATGGGGTATTTGTTATACGTTTGGGGTAGAAAATATATATTTACATTTCCTCTCCTCTCATTAAACAATCACCACTTCAAGGTGATGGGGATCTGGGGTGATGTCCACTGGAAATTGACAATAAATCACGAATGTTACTCTTTTGGGGAAAACTCAGTTCAGGAAAGGCTTTTAAATTCTCTGTCCTAATTTACAAATTACTTGATAAATATACAAATTGTAACACGTCCGGCTAAAAATGGATTGCCTGTATTTAGGACACTTTTGGCAAAATTTGGGCAACACGGACACACCGTAAACAACTTAAAGCACTTGTTGAAAACAGACGGAAAGACATTCATCTACAGGCATCAACACAGAACAATCTTCAAGAGGAGACATTTATGAAAAAAGGGTATTGTATTGCGAAACAAATCTGAATGTATTACATTCAAATAATCAGATATTGCTAAAAGCGGCGTAAAACTAAACTCAGTCAGTCAGTCAGTCAAATAATCAGAGTGTGTTACTTAATTTCAGAACCTCAAACTATCACTTTCCAGTTGAAACAGGACGATGGATTAAAACACTTCCAAATGAATGATTATGTACTCTTTGTAATTAAAAACATATTAAGATGTAAATATAGTTCAGTTCAGATGAGGCAAGCAAGGTGGGGAGCAAGAACAACAAAATAGCACGTACGGCCAATGAAGCCAATATCTGGTCGACCATAGGTGCAATGATATCATCACCAGGAGCACGGGTGCACACGATACTGCTGGTTGGTTTATGACAGTCGGTGTAAACACGGTGCCACACGGGAGCAGTGTGAGACACAATAACTTTCTCCCATGTTCATACAGTCTGGTCCTAAAACAAACTTAGAAGGTCCCGAGTCCAAAGAATAAAATGAATTACGATTTGCAATTTTTCAAAAGGCCTTGTAAATTTAAGTTGAAAAATTGCCATTTACTGTGCGATGTGTGCTTGTTTAATACAGTGTACATACACAGAAAAGTTTATTCAAAGAGCCAGGCAAATAATTACACTAGTGTTATTTATTATTCTTTTGAACATGTCTACTAATACATGCTGTAAATGATGTTTTCTGCCTTCTATGGAAACAATAACAGCACCCAATGACCTTGAACCTGACATCTGCTTACACAGACATCGGTCAATCAGTACTGAGTTAGAGCCCTTAAAGTACACATCTTGTACATATATAACAACACACATGAACAACTTGGAACTGACGCGTCATTTACATGCGACTCTTCGGGAAATAACGTTATTTCATATTTGAAATTTATCGAAACAGGTTAAAGACAAAAGATAATCAATTCAGCAAGTAGTGTCGTATATTTCAATTTCAAACGTGTAATATTAAAAACATACTGTTATGACAACCATTTACCCTGATGTTTATTGTTTCTATACAGTATGGTTATGAGTGTTCTAAGCTGTCTATATTTATAGTGTTATTGAATTGCCATGCTTCCATAGTGTCGTAGTTGTGTATGTTTCCCAGCTACCTGCTTTGTGAGCGGTGAGTTGTGCTACAATGCGATGCTTGAGGCATTGACTATTTCAATTCCTGAATTGTACTTAGTGTCACTGTACTTGTGTCAGCACTAGTTTTAAGGATCGCCACACGTGATAACAGAACAATCGATAAAACAGTACGTTGAACAAAAGCTAGGTCGATCGTTATGTTTGTGGGTTCAAAACAGGTTCAGTTTGAAAACAGCTCTGTCATTAAGAGATGGTTTTCTTTTTACAGCAGTTGTACGAGTATGGGTTCACATGGTTCATGAATATGAACGATGACGATTTGCGCTACCGAATTTACTTTACAGCCTATTGCAAATTGCTTATAAAAGAGGCTGATTTTCATATGCAACACGACACTTGATATCTACCCTTTGGGGACATTCATATACATTGTGACACATGGAGGTGGCCTACATGGAGGTGGCGCACATGGAGGTCGCCCAGATGCTGGCGGTCCACACGGTGGCGCACATGGAGAGGGCCCACATTGAGGGGGCGCACGTGGAGGTCGGACTGACAATGGTAAAACACCGTGACGCCACATTACCATAGGTGTACCCGTATTTCATGAACTTACAATGGTAAAACACCGTGACGCCACATTACCATAGGTTTACCCGTCTTTCATGGACTGACAATGGTAAAACACCGTGACGCCACATTACCATAGGTTTACCCGTCTTTCATGGACTGACAATGGTAAAACACCGTGACGCCACATAACTATAGATTTACCCGTCTTTCACGGACTGAAACGGCAACTGATTGAGGAGATTCGTCCAAAACAACCTGTTATCAGTCTAAACTTAGATTGTTTTACATAAATACGTCTTTGAACTTTGTGTGAAGGGGATATTTAAAACCCGCACATGCATATTAAAAGCAACAAGGTCATTGATCGTCAGCGTCTCGACAAATGTCTCGTCTTGTAATAGATGTCCAAACGGTACCTATTTCCTATCGCTTTGAGAAATGAGTATAGTCTCTACAAAAGATTTGTCACCCGGTGGCTGGCTGTTTCATGTGTTGTGATGTGCATAGACTTAGTACATTCGTGTGCTAAAATATAAGAGATATGGAGTATATGTATGTGAGGATGGATACACAACAAGTGGATATGGTGTATTTAAATGTGTTGTAAAATAACCTAATTGGTTCTACAATTTTCCTTCAAATTCATTTTTTCACAATTATAAAAAAAATATGCCCAAAACTGGATAATCATTCTCCATACATATTAGCAGTATTCTATACCATCGAGAATGATTAGGTGGACAACGTGGGTTGACAAGCTGGTATTATCCAAGTCAGCCTTGACACTTGGTCATTGTTTCATATTCTTCGTTGAATAGGATATAAGTTATGTTACAGGGAAAATAACCATATATTCACATGAACCATTGCTTTGGAACATATTAAGGTAGCCGAATATCTACTGATCTCCAGGATGCATGTTGTGCCGTTAGTTTGCTAACCCATCGTCCGAGTGAGATGTGAACACAGTTGTTAAACTCTCTTTTGTTACATTGTAGCAGCTTAACCTATAAGGAATCAGTAGGGCAGTGCATGTCGTTGATGAATGTTTGCCTGTTTTCAAATAGACTCTGCGACACCGATGCCCAGAGAGAAAGAAAGTCCAGGTCCAAGTAAGCCTCCTCCTCTAAGGGAAATGCCAAACAACACCAGGTCAATGCCGGATCCGCCGACACAGCAAGAGATGGGAATGCTAATTAGAAGGCTTGCATTAAAAAATCTCACAGAAGACGAAATTGAACAACTTTCGATGGTAAGAAACAACCTCACTGACGATCAAGAGTCTCAACTTGCTGAACTCGCTCTAAGAAATGTAACTGACGAAATGAAGCAGTTGATATTACAGAAGTTTAAACGAGCTGGCTATTTGAGTAAATTTGAACGATTCATTGTATGGGCCCTGAATGAGAGAAATGAAATTACATCACAAGATCTCAGGAAAACTAGAGAAGAATTAGAAGAATGGGCAAGGGATGCGTTGATGAATTTTAGCCGAGAAGCAAGAGAGACACTGAAGGGAAAACTGGGGCGGCCTGGAGAAAATCTGACTGATGATGACATCGAAAAGTTAGAAGCTCTGAAACTCAGAGGGAATTTGACTCAAGAACAGCGCGATAAACTGGACGAAAGAATTGCAGAGGGTTTGAATGAAACAGAAATAGAAGAGGTGAAGACTGCTTTGGACGGTGGAGTCCTCGGGGATGACGAGCTGAAAAAACTGAAAGGCTTGTTTAAAGCGGGGCGCTTAACACCGGAAGAAAGGGAAAAACTGAAAAAGATTGCAGGATTGACGTCAACTGGAGAGGTAAGTATATTTTAGAAACAAACTACGTTGACCTAAATATAATTTAATCTGAACACCGTTTACCTTAGGGCAACTTATTATATCCACTCTAGTCTAAGGTATTTTCTTGAATGATCACCAGTTGGGTAGATTGATTACATGTTTACATCCCTCCCTTATGCTGATCTTTACTGAATATTTCTTTCTGTGTTTATTCAGTCACTAAGTGACATAGCCAGGGGACTTGCAGTCATCCCAGACTCATTTGGACTGGACGAACGCGAGAAAACTGATTTTCTGGAAGCCGGCGAGCGACTGAGAGGTAAGTCACCCTCTTTTCAGCCTGCTGCATCCAACTAACAGGTGTATTGTAATGGTTAGTGTAAAGTGTAGTGTAAGGCGTAATGTAAAGTGTAATGCCATGTGTATCATACCCTGATGAATTAACGTGTCCCTCGGTTCAGATAGTGTAACATACCTTGATGAATTTACACCATGTCCCTCGGTTCAGATAGTGTATCATTCCTTGATGAATTTACACCATGTCCCTCGGTTCAGATAGTGTATCATACCTTGATGAATTTACACCATGTCCCCCGGTTCAGATAGTATATCATACCTTGATGAATTAACAACATGTCCCCCGGTTCAGATAGTGTATCATACCTTGATGAATTAACAACATGTCCCCCGGTTCAGATAGTGTATCATACCTTGATGAATTAACAACATGTCCCCCGGTTCAGATAGTGTAACATACCTTGATGAATTAACAACGTGTCCCTCGGTTCGGATAGTGTAACATACCTTGATGAATTAACAACATGTCCCTCGGTTCGGATAGTGTATCATACCTTGAGGAATTAACAACGTGTCCCTCTATTCAGATAGTGTATCATACCTTGATGAATTAACAACGTGTCACTCGGTTCAGATAGTGTATCATACCTTGACGAATTTACAACATGTCCCCCGGTTCAGATAGTGTATCATACCTTGATGAATTAACAACCCTCGGTTCAGATAGTGTATCATACCTTGATGAATTAACAACATGTCCCTCGGTTCAGATAGTGTATCATACCTTGATGAATTAACAACATGTCCTCCTCGGTTCAGATAGTGTATCATACCTTTGATGAATTAACAACATGCCCCCTCGGTTCAGATAGTGTATCATACCTTGATGAATTAACAACATGTCCACGGTTCAGATAGTGTATCATACCTTGATGAATTTACACCATGTCCCTCGGTTCAGATAGTGTATCATACCTTGATGAATTTACACCATGTCCCCGGTTCAGATAGTATATCATACCTTGATGAATTAACAACATGTCCCCGGTTCAGATAGTGTATCATACCTTGATGAATTAACAACATGTCCCCGGTTCAGATAGTGTATCATACCTTGATGAATTAACAACATGTCCCCGGTTCAGATAGTGTAACATACCTTGATGAATTAACAACATGTCCCTCGGTTCGGATAGTGTATCATACCTTGAGGAATTAACAACGTGTCCCTCTATTCAGATAGTGTATCATACCTTGATGAATTAACAACGTGTCACTCGGTTCAGATAGTGTATCATACCTTGACGAATTTACAACATGTCCCCCGGTTCAGATAGTGTATCATACCTTGATGAATTAACAACGTGTCCCTCTGTTCAGATAGTGTTACATACCTTGATGAATTAACAACATGCCCCTCTGTTCAGATAGTGTAACATACCTTGATGAATTAACAACGTGTCCCTCGGTTCGGATAGTGTAACATACCTTGATGAATTAACAACATGCCCCTCTGTTCAGATAGTGTAACATACCTTGATGAATTAACAACGTGTCCCTCGGTTCGGATAGTGTAACATACCTTGATGAATTAACAACATGCCCCTCTGTTCAGATAGTGTATCATACCTTGATGAATTAACAACATGTCCCCCGGTTCAGATAGTGTATCATACCTTGATGAATTAACAACATGTCCCCCGGTTCAGATAGTGTATCATACCTTGATGAATTAACAACATGTCCCCGGTTCAGATAGTGTATCATACCTTGATGAATTAACAACATGTCCCTCGGTTCAGATAGTGTATCATACCTTGATGAATTAACAACATGTCCCCCGGTTCAGATAGTGTATCATACCTTGATGAATTAACAACATGTCCCTCGGTTCAGATAGTGTAACATACCTTGATAATTTAACTGATAAAACTTCGAAAACATTAACAAAAGCAACACTGAACATCGATGGACTAGAACATAATGTACCAATCAATGTCGATGAAACCATTCTTATTAATGCTAGTGCATATTTTCAAAAGCCGCCAAGCACGATGGTCTTAATGATCATTTTGCTAACTGCACTGATATAAAGAATCACGTAACACTGAATTGTACATTTGCACTTTCATTATTATAGTAATTGTCTATATGTTTAGTTTTACGTTTACAACCCTCATGACCCGTGAAGATCCGGGTTAGAATTGATCTTCAGTAATCCATGCTTGTAAGAGGAGGCGACTAACGGGATCGGGTGGTCAGACTCGCTGACTTGGTTAGCACGTGTCATCGTATCCCAATTAAGTGGAACGATTCTCATGATGTTGATCACTGGATTGTGAAGACTCGACTTTTACAGACCGCCGCCATATAGCTGGAATATAGCTGAGTGTGGCGTTAGACAACAAACCAAATTCCACATTAATTTTCAAAACATTTTGATACTGATCGCAACCATCTCAAGGATTCGTTCAGAAGATCCTCTCCTACCCAGGTTACTGTAAGGAGACGGCACATGATATCTTACACAGTCCATTCAGAAAGATCATATTTGTTGTTAATTATGTTATAAATCTACATATTAAGATGAGCATACATAAGGATATAGTTAACTTCCTTTGGGAAAATATCCTATGAAAGTCGTCTGTTTGTGTATATATTCTTTGCTTACTTGTATGGTTAATGGATTGCTGGCGATACGAACGCTTTGGTGTGTAAAGATGCGCTTTCATATTCCTCGAAGTTGTATGTTTACGTGATACATGAGTGAATCAGGCTTCACTGCTCTGGTTACGGAATGAACCCGTTTGTTTACAAATACGAGGAATGTCCGGTCACGTGAAATGCAAATTTGTTTGTAGTGGTACAATGACAAGTCATTGCTAAGCTGGCGAAGCCATAAACACTGAAAGTGGTACCCACCTGACCCTGTTATCGGTATATCTGCAAATGACACCAGCGGATACCATTTTATCCGTTCGAGTCATCACTACGAAACGCCTGCCGTCATACGATACTATTTATTTTATCACTATTACATTTAGATGTCATTCAGTTTGATGAGCTGTCAGATCCGGCTGCTTTGAAAAAAGTTCCTTGACGAATACAAAAAGCTTCCGGAGGAAGAAAAGGAGCTTCTAGCTAACATAAGCGGTCGCATCACCTCCATGTCAAATGGTGAAATTCGGGACATACCAGCCACCATGCTCGAAAAAATGACAGTGAGTAAATGTGAGAGTAGGAGTTATGTAACGTCCCCAAATATCATGCCTAAGTTCCGCAACCTTTAGTCCCCCTGCCCAATATTACAAATTAACATTGGATACCACAAGTGCTTTGGTGAAGGGAACATGGATCGTGCCCCCATGGAAAAGATCTGCAGTCATAAAGGTTACCATGGTTTTGCAGAGCTTTACTTAATACAGAGGTTAATATGTGTATGTGCACGCTAGGGAAGTGTTGGCTTTGTGTGTATGAATATACCTACCTCTCAGACAATGCTAGAGGATTACACTATTTTGTACTTTGATCACAACGCGGTTGTCAAGACTTCAACATGTGTGTATAACGTGTTTAAAATACTCTATATTCAGACTGACACGTTGGCAAAGCTGAAAGAGAAGATGACACCCAAGCAACGGGCGGAGCTATGTTCCAAGGGGTTCTCTGGCTCCAAGCAACTGTACGAGAAGCTGGATGGTCCACTGAACTGTGATAGTGTCAAAAAGGTATGGACCATGACTGACACTGGAAATCCATTTAGCATTCGGACCAAGTCAAGTTGTACCTCACATCGGAGGGAGGGATCTTTGGCTGATATCATTGATAAAAATGAATTTTGGCCTAAGGCTAATAGTCGTTCAGTCATAACACAGAACTGACGCGAGGTACACAAGAACAATCGACTGAATAGAAACTGGTTCAGTAGGTTTTTATACTGTTGCCTACACGATGCACGTTTGTATGACTACAGGAAGCGGTTCGGGACATGGAGGAGTTCGAGAAAAAACGAATGAACAAGAACATCCTGGCAAAGAAAGGCAACCCGTCCAGGCTTTCGGGAGATGATGTGGAGGATTTCCTCTCCACTGGATCGATTGACGAGGATATTCTACAACTGATTGACCCCGAGGATTTCCTGTCAAAGTGAGCCACCGGATACAATATAGACAAAAAAACCCAGCTGTCTTCCCATTTGTATAAGTTGGGATAAAGTTGTAAATGTTTGCTTTGAGGCTTCCTCTCGTATTCAGTTGTCCAGATATAACCACACGGCCATCTGAACCAAACTCACTTTTCTTCGCGTCAGTATTTCATACTTCCTTATGTTTAATCTGATTACTACGTACTGTATCGTACAGCCGACGTTAACACTCTCTAAACGTGTTGTTCTATGTTTTAGTGAGAACCTGCGGAAAACGGCCATAAAAAGCGGTGAAAGTAAGTTGTTAAAAGACAAATTCAAACAGGCGAAGGGGTCCCTTGGCAGTGCCACCGCTGCAGACCTCAAGAAGATGACCGGTGCAAAATGGACATTATCAGATGCGGATGAATTCTCAGTGGATGCTGTAAGTGTTAACAGAATATAAGTAACCAGTTATTTACATAGGCTTCAATTCGATAATGTACGGTGACATGTTTATTACCATGTGTACATGAACGTCATTTGCAAGGTTAGACGACTTCAGAGTTCGAATATATGACCTTTTTGACTAACAGGTCAAACCTACTGAAAAAGAAATATGAGTTGACAATTGTTTGGGTCAATATTATCTGAGGAGTAACATATACACAATATGTTTTAGCCGTGTATCCGGGTTAGGCTTGGTCTTCAGCAACACATAATTTTCGTAAGAGGTGACTACCTGGATCCGGTGGTCAGGCTGGCTGACTTTACCTATGCATATCGTAGTTTCTAGTTGCTTAGATTGATGCTCATGATGTCAATCACTGGATTGTTTGGACCAGACTCGATTACAGCCCTCCGTCATATAGCTGGAAGATAACTGAGTGTGGTGTTAACAACAAACAAAACCTTTATTTGGTTAATGCTGAAAACAACCAATACAATGTGGTTAATATGATATGAGGCACGGCTTCGTCCACAGTACAAACTATTACAGAGGCGCAGATAAGCTGCGTATCCGGGTAAATTACGCATAGAAAATTTCCAATTACGCATTGAAAAATATTTGTTGCGTACCAATTACGCATTTAAAATGTTAGATACGCAAAAAGTTTAAAACAAATGCGTACGGAATATATTTATAAAAATCGCTAGCGTAATGAAAAAGACATCGATTGCTATCAAGTTGTACTGTTAGTATAGGACAAGTGTTGTACTGTCAGTATAGGATGAGTGATCTCAAATTTTATGAAATCATTTCCATTATATTTAAGTTGGTTTTGATTAGGTATGACATAAGGCAGAACATACCTGCTTAGTAAACTTACTCAATGACGTAATACTTAGGTGAGTAAAATGACTGAAATACGCACATATTTGAAAGCAGTAGGTAACGGAAAATGAAATACCCTCTCAACATTCATAATACCCACTCAAAAAAATAAACAGTGGGTACAGTACCCACATGAGCTAAATCTTATCTGGAGCTCTGCTGTAACTATATAACTGAATAGTGTTTGTCCCCGTGTTTCTCCCCACTCAAGATCCGTGGAGCACCTAAAGAGTTTCTTGAAGGAGCAGATGACACAGACTTGTCCATTAGAGCTAAGGTTGGCGAAATTGTGAAGAAGGGTCTACCTACCAACAAATCAGAGACTTCTTCAGACCAATTGGCCAGGTATGTGTCGTATTCATACATCAGGTAAATCGTTTCACCACGTATTTGTATTGATGGATTTACAATAAGTGTGTGAATGGTTGAACTTTTCATTGTTTCCGAGAATGTTGTCAGTTGGGACATGGGTAATGGTCACAGTCGTGGGTCTTCACATTCTCAGAGGTCACATTCATACAACACTTTACTGGATAATGACATCGATGCTGTGTGTGACAATGGTATTGCTGAAAAATGTGACAGTGGTATTGATGCTTGGTGTGACAATAATAGCGATGCTGTGTGTGACAATGGTATTGATGCTGGGTGTGACAATATTATCGATGCAAGGCGTTTGTGACAATGGAGTCGATGCTTGGTGTGACAATGGTATCAGGGCATGGTGTGACAATGGAATCGATGCTGGTAGTGACAATCGTATTGATGTTTGGTGTGACAAAAGTGTTGATGTTTGGTGTGACAATGGTATCGATGCTGGGTGTGACAATGATATTGATGTTTGGTGTGACAATGGTATCGATGCTGGGTGTGACAATGGTATTGATGTTTGGTGTGACAATGGTATCGATGCTGGGTGTGACAATGGTATCGATGCAAGGTGTTTGTGACAATGGAGTCGATGCTTGGTGTGACAATTGTATCAGCGCAAGGTGTTTGTGATAATGGAATCGATGCACGGTGTGACAATGGTATTTATGTTTGGTGTGACAATAGTGTTGATGTTGGTGTGACAATGGTATCGATGCTGGGTGTTACAATGGTATCGATGTTTGGTGTGACAATGGTATTCATGCTGGGTGTGACAATAGTATTGATGTTTGGTGTGACAATGGTATCGATGCTGGGTGTGACAATGGTATCGATGCTGGGTGTGACAATGGTATTGATGTTTGGTGTGACAATGGTATCGATGTTTGGTGTGACAATAGTATTGATGTTTGGTGTGACAATGGAATCGATGCTGGGTGTGACAATGGTATTGATGTTTGTGTGACAATGGACAATGACAATGGTATTGATGTTTGTTTGGTATCGTGTGACAATGGAATCGATGCTGGGTGTGACAATGGTATTGATGTTTGGTGTGACAATGGTATCGATGTTTGGTGTGACAATGATATCGATGCTTGGTGTGACAATGGTATTGATGTTTGGTGTGACAATGGTATCGATGCTGGGTGTGACAATGGTATTGATGTTTGGTGTGACAATGGAATCGATGTTTGGTGTGACAATGGAATCGATGTTTGGTGTGACAATGGAATCGATGCTGGGTGTGACAATGGTATCGATGCTCGGTGTGATAATAGAATCGATGCTGGGTGTGATAATGACACCATTTCATGAAGTAACAATGACAACATCTCATTTCCGGTAATGATATCCCTGCGCATGTTGATGATAGCCGTTTGTTCAGGACCACTCAGGCGTAATGGTTGCTTGTCGGTATTTACATGACATAGTGACCGTGATTATTTTGGCAATTTCAGCATGTTTGAAGTTGGACTTGGTGAGGACATTTTTGACGATGTTAGTGACGAAACATTTGAAACCTTCATTGATTCACTCACTGTTCAGGAGACCAAGGGCAAATCAAAGACAGAGGTATGTCGAGTAAAGTAAAAATAACCCACATGTGTTGCTCACGCTGACAAAACTACATCTGAATGGCGTGTCAACGTGTAACATTAAGATTTGATTCTTTTAAACACACATAATATCTAGAACGTGGTTTATGTTTAACGTATGTACTACAGTCAGGAGTAACGTCAGGGATATGTTGTCGAGATGGGCCCTTGTGCCCAGATAAACCTACGGTGAAGATAAATAGTATTCAACAACTTCCATGAGAAACGTCATCGATTCAATTAAAATATCCCGTGGACAGCTGATGTTTAATTTATGTTTCCGTTTTACCCAGCTTGGTGCGCTTGGAGAGAGAGTCAAGAAGAGTACTAAGTACAGAAACGCAACTGCACAGACAACTGCAAACATAAAAAAGATCGCCTCTGCACTAGCATCTATGACCACGAAATACATCGAAGATCTATCCGACGATGCTCTGGGGCAGGCATTCAAAGAAGGGGGGCTGAAAGACCTGGCAGACGTTGAGGAGGACAAGGTATGTATTCTGTCCCCTGCCATCACCACCCCTCGTCTATCACACGCTATCCTCTCCCTCAACCCCGCTTACCTATTCCTTCACTAACCCCCACCCACCCTTACCTATTCTCTCTCTCTCTCTCCTCTCTCTCTCTCTCTCTCTCTCTCTCTCTCTCTCTCTCTCTCTGTGATGTGTTAATGGTACTGGCGCTGGTATTGAATTGTCTCACTCATTCAGTTTCTCTCTGCAGGCAAGACGCTTTGGGAAAGTTGCTATGGCAAGCATACGTGATGACGTAAGTGCCTTTTTCATTGGTAGTCGCATGTGATGCGTGTTATTCAACTATTCACTGCCGGGTAAATGAAGGACATCCTAATATCAATTTCGTTATCGACGACAGTTTTGACTTTTTGTTGCTGTGCTGTTTGTATGTCAATTCTTCACAATTTATTCCCGCGCGTTGACCACAGGATTCCTCATGTGTATGAAATTCATGTGTAATGGAGTCCTATTATGTTCCAGGGCGCGCTGACCGCTGCAGACGTGAAAGACAAGCTTGGGGTGGATATTTTTATCAAGGGCTTGGATGGCGACGATTTTGATAAGATCCCTGATGCCACAATTGAAAATGACGATATTTTGGAGATATTGCAAGACAGATTCGAAGAAATGCCTGTGGAGAATCAGCTGAAGGTTGTTGAAAAGGTGTGTATCAAATTCTGTAGGCATAATATTGATTGACAAGGATAACAGCTTGATATCATCATGGATTCTTAGTAAACCATATAATCAGTTATCATAGACCATGACGTGTGCTATTGAAATCCGCTATAAGGTCACTGATTTGCTATATCATACGTTTGTAGAAAGAGATCGAAGTGCACAAATCGAAGTTAATGCTTTGGTGCTCATGCGTCTTGATAAACATTCAGATCTGAAAGTACGTGTGGAGTAAGTACAAGGTGCAGTAGCAGATGTGTGCATGTTTGCAGATGAAGCGGGCCAGCGGAAAGATCACAGACAAAGTGTGTTCTCTGGGTAAGATCTGTCAGGGCCTGACCCTGGCGGAGATCAAGTCGTGGGACCCCGCCTTCCTGGACACCATCATTGCAGCAGGTGGTGCTAGCAAGTGCAAACTAGACTGCAACCTGGCACAGGTGAGATTTGACGTTGATAGCTCTTCCTTTTCTTTCACACTGTCAAACGGATTTACTGATGTGTGGTCTAAGCCAACGCAATATTAACTTTGCACATCGTGTCCCTTACGCGCTTTTAGGAACCTTTGTTTACGGGGTCGAATCCTTTTAGCCACCATGATTACGATGCTGAGTCTGGTGGCAACATGCCCATGGTCGTTGGTTCCGAAAGGTGTAGCCTAGAGTTCTGTATCAAAGTGGACCTTTGCATTCCAACTTCCCTCAGTATGTTGTGGCCCACCCTGATGTAACTGAAGATGAAAGTGGCATTAAACCCAGCCATGCTACGAGATGATGGACAGTTGAGTTTGACAACCAGTAACACATGAACCTGTTGGTCTGGACAGTTGAGTTTGACAACCAGTAACACATGAACCTGTTGGTCTGGACAGTTGAGTTTGACAACCAGTAACACATGAACCTGTTGGTCTGGACAGTTGAGTTTGACAACCAGTAACACATGAACCTGTTGGTCTGGACAGTTGAGTTTGACAACCAGTAACACATGAACCTGTTGGTCTGGACAGTTGAGTTTGACAACCAGTAACACATGAACCTGTTGGTCTGGACAGTTGAGTTTGACAACCAGTAACACATGAACCTGTTGAACAGTTGAGTTGGTGAACCTGGACAGTTGAGTTTGACAACCAGTAACACATGAACCCGTTGATCTGGACAGTTGAGTTTGACAACCAGTAACACATGAACCTGTTGGTCTGGACAGTTGAGTTTGACAACCAGTAACACATGAATCTGTTGGTCTGGACAGTTGAGTTTGACAACCAGTAACATATGAACCTGTTGGTCTGGACAGTTGAGTTTGACAACCAGTAACACATGAACCTGTTGGTCTGGACAGTTGAGTTTGACAACCAGTAACACATGAACATGTTGGTCTGGATAGTTGAGTTTGACAACCAGTAACACATGAACCTGTTGGTCTGGACAGTTGAGTTTGACAACCAGTAACACATGAACCTGTTGGTCTGGACAGTTGAGTTTGACAACCAGTAACACATGAACCTGTTGGTCAGGATAGTTCGGTTTGACAACCAGTAACACATGAACCTGTTGGTCTGGACAGTTGAGTTTGACAACCAGTAACACATGAACCTGTTGGTCTGGACAGTTGGATTTGACAACCAGGAACACATGAACCTGTTGGTCTGGACAGTTGGGTTTGACAACCAGTAACACATGAACCTGTTGGTCTGGACAGTTGAGTTTGACAACCAGTAACACATGAACCTGTTGGTCTGGACAGTTGGGTTTGACAACCAGTAACACATGAACCTGTTGGTCTGGACAGTTGAGTTTGACAACCAGTAACACATGAACCTGTTGGTCTGGACAGTTGAGTTTGACAACCAGTAACACATGAACCTGTTGGTCTGGACAGTTGAGTTTGACAACCAGTAATACATGAACCTGTTGGTCTGGATAGTTCGGTTTGACAACCAGTAACACATGAACCTGTTGGTCTGGACAGTTGAGTTTGACAACCAGTAACACATGAACCTGTTGGTCTGGACAGTTGAGTTTGACAATCAGTAACACATGAACCTGTTGGTCTGGACAGTTGAGTTTGACAACCAGTAACACATGAACCTGTTGGTCTGGATAGTTGAGTTTGATAACCAGTAACACATGAACCTGTTGGTCTGGACAGTTGAGTTTGACAACCAGTAACACATGAACCTGTTGGTCTGGACAGTTGAGTTTGACAACCAGTAACACATGAACCTGTTGGTCTGGACAGTTGGGCGCAATGGCTGAGATCCTCGTTGCCAAACTGGGTGAGCCTGGGGCCAGCAATCCCAAGTACGACACGGAAACTGTCCGATCGCTGTATATGATCTTCCCAGGACTCTCCAAGGAACAGCTCGACAAGTTCCCTTCAGATGATAAACTTCCTGAGCTTGTCACCAAACTGGAGGGAACAGGAAAATTGAGCGAAGCCAAGGTATGTTATTTCTGAATTTCCAAATATTTGTATGATCTTTGTAGATTCCGTGAACTCTTAGCCTCGCACCATGTTGTGTGAACCTGGTCAGGAGTGTCGGCACAGAACCAACTCCTATCACCATTGGGGGACTCGTGGGTAATATCTGTCTACGATATTATAAATGTTTGACAAATCGTATTACACACTAAAACTGAAATTTTCCAAATACATTCAACATCGTTGACGATCATAACGGCCATTATCATACTTCACTACCAGTTGCAATGTGTTCCCAATTTGCTCATTATTATCATACAGCTTTTATTAGCAACTAATATATCATACACTTTTGGAAATGTTCGAAAGTAGACGTTTTGTCGCTAGTTAAGTACATGTTCTTCGCTTTGGTAGTCACTGTCATGAACCATGGTCCAATCACTACTTTGTAATTGTTATTCACAAGTTTGATACAGGTATTGCTAATGATATGTGACGGAATACCGTGTGATATGAGCAGGACGCAGTGGTTCTCAGACATGGTCTTGCCATGTGGACACGTGTGTTGGTAATGGGCTAGGTTTTTAATCACATGATGTACTTGAAATCATTGAATGAGTAAGAAGCTTGTTTAAAACTTGCTCTCAATGCAAACTATTCCAGTGGAAAATTCTTCAGGCGAAAATCACTGCATACTACAGTGGCGACAACACGGTTTCTACCGCAGATCAAGTTACTGTTTTGGCGGAAGCCTTGAACGGCTACGAGTAAGTAAACAACACCAATAATAATGTTCATTACGATGGTCATGACAATAATGAGTCATGAACATGAAAGGGAGCTAGATAAGCTGCGTATTTGTGTGAAATACAAATTGAAATTTTCAAAATACTCATTGAAAATTATTTGTTAGCATCCCAAATACGCAAACGCATGGGTTATCCACTTGCGTACCCTGACATACCATTAAAAACCAAATGAGAATACAATGAACGAATGTTAATTTGCATACATCAACATAATGCTGCAATAATATTTCTGAAATAGTCCGGGAACTATGGAAAGATTTTATACATTTACAGGAAAATATGTTTGTTAGTATAGTTACCTAAAAAAGTATTTTTAAAAATTCAATTTCATCATGTTTTTCTTTAGTATTTTTGTAACGTTGATAAAATTTACATAAAGAAAATATAGTTATCTTGTTGAATAATTCTTAGATTAATGATATAGAAAACACCCACATTTCGAAAAATGGGTGGGTAACGGAACATTTGAGTACCCACTGAAGAATAGTTATAACCACTTAAAAAAGACACCAATTGTAAAATACCCAGATTGGTAAAAGCTTATCCAGAGCACTGTATGAAGAACAATTGTGACAAGATGAGTGTCCGTGATTTTACATGCGAAATGCTGATGCTGATATAATCCAACTTACATGCACACCTTTCAAGGAGATGAAGTGGGACATTGCCATGTCGTTTCAGTGAAACTGAAATCAAGAATGCGATCCCTTCATCTCTCTGTGGTGACGTTGTGAAGAGCCTGAAGAACAAGGACAAAACGAAAGTGCAGAAGTCTGTCATCGAGAGTCAGGCAAAATACGCCCGAGAATGTCTGGTGAGCATGACACACTCAGGTATATAACGAATACATGAGACGTATTTGAGGACCACTCCCAGTTAGATCTCCAGAACATAACAACATCTTATGAGGCTAAGGTCAATTCCCCAAGGTCTGTGAGAAAAGAAGTTAACTGAACATTTAATGGGAACATTTGCAATGTTTATAAGAGTGAGTGAGTTTAGTTTTACACCGCACTCAGCAATATTCCAGCTATATGGCGGCGGTCTGTAAAAAATCGAGTCTGGACCAGACAATTCAGTGATCAACAGCATGTGCATCGATCTGCGCATTTGGGAAACGATGACATGTGTTACGACAAGCATGGGTTACTGAAGATCAATATTCTAACCCGGACCTTCACGGGTAATGTCTATAAGAACTTTACAAAGCATTTTTGCTTAGTTGTCCTATGTCTCATAACTTAGCCACACATTAGCCACACATTAGAAACTGAAAGTTGTCACCACATTATTGTGGTTACCTATTCTGATAATCGTCTGATGTTGTGCTCCTCGTGCCACAGACTGGAGCTACCTCCGGCCCCATCACCACCGACGTGGTCCAGGCACTTGGAGATTACGTTTGCAACCTCGGGGCGCAGGTCAGTGACCTTGATGCGACTGCTGTCAAGGATGCCGCGGGGAGCACCCTCCAGACATGTCAACCCATGGACGCTGCAACCCGGAAGAGATACAAGGAGAAGATCGAGTCTGCTGTGAAGTGAGTGAATCATGAACATGAAATATCTGATGACGGACTAGCAACACGCCCGTGCCATGTGCAAACAGCAACACACAACCTGTGACCAAACAGCAACACACCCAAGTCATGACTACTAGAAACATTCCACAACCAACTAGCAACATTCACATTACATGACCAACTAGCAACATTCACACTTCATGACCAACTGGTAACATACACATTTCATAACCAACTAGCAACATTCACATTTCATGACCAACCATCAACATTCACATTTCAAAACCAACTAGCAACATTCACATTCCATGACCAACTGGCAACATTCATATTTCATAACCAACTAGCAACATTCACATTTCATGACCAACTAGCAACATTCACATTTCATGACCAACTAGCAACATTCACATTTCATGACCAACTGGCAACATTCACATTTCATGACCAACTAGCAACATTTACATTACATAACCAACTAGCAACATTCACATTGCATGACCAACTAGCAACATTCACATTTCATGATAAACTGGCAACATTCATATTTCATAACCAACTAGCAACATTCACATTTCATAACCAACTAGCAGCATTCACATTACTTGACCAACTGGCAACATTCATATTTCATGACGAACTGGCAACATTCATATTTCATAACCAACTAGCAACATTCACATTACGTAACCAACTGGCAACATTCACATTTCATGACCAACTAGCAACATTCACATTTCATGACCAACTAGCAACATTCACATTCCATGACCAACTGGCAACATTCACATTTCATAGCCAACTAGCAACATTCACATTTCATAACCAACTAGCAACATTCACATTTCATGACCAACTAGCAACATTCACATTACGTAACCAACTAGCAATACGTACATTTCATGACCAACTGGCAACATTCATATTTCATAACCAACTAGCAACATTCACATTTCATGACCAACTAGCAACATTCACATTACGTAACCAACTGGTAACATTCATATTTCATAACCAACTAGCAACATTCACATTTCATAACCAACTAGCAACATTCACATTACGTGACCAACTGGCAACATTCACATTTCATAACCAACTAGCAACATTCACATTTCATGACCAACTAGCAACATTCACATTTCATGACCAACTGGCAACATTCACATTTCATTACCAACTAGCAACATTCACATTTCATAACCAACTAGCAACATTCACATTTCATGACCAACTAGCAACAGTCATATTTCATAGTCACCTGTCATCGACGTTGGAGCCAAATCGTTAAAACGTTCGCTCGTCGTGCTCGTCATCCTGGTTCGATTCTCCAATAATTGGAGCCCCCGTTTGTGTAATGAATGATAATACCCTGCCAAAGGTGTTAATGATAGACAACGTTGATGATGCACACATTGCTATGTATTACAGTATCATTGACCTTGCGTCTCTGGACACCGAAAAGATGGGGATGATAATGTCCTACCTGGCGGACGAAGCTGCTGCTTCGCTGGCTAGGATCCCTGAGGTAGGGATATAACACAATTTCCCCATCCAACTCTATCGTTCAGGGAAACCAAAACGTTTCGTTGATACTTATTGAGGATGCGAAAATCTGCAACTGTTTTACGTTAATCTGACGGTGAGTTTTGGACATTGATTAATATTGCCGACATTTCTTTTTGTATTTAAAAACACTTCATTGGCGTGCGAGTTTTAGAAACGTATTGGACGCAAAGCAATAAAAACATCATTAGGGTAATAATGCTGTTTACCGCTGATTTTATAATGTTTGGAAAGTGATTGAATCCCTTGATATTACCATAGTAATACAGTAATACTAAGACGATGATAATACTTTCGTATGTATGTGATAGTAGAGTGTAAGTAAATCATACAATAGCAAACTCGCATTACCAATACATCAGTAATATTGCAATAGTTGTACATTGGTACTACTTGTGAAAAGATCTAGCACAAACGTCACTGACGTGTTGCAGGCTGTCAGGTCTGAAGCTCTCGACTACATATCGGACCTCCTGGACAAGCTGGAAATGGTTGTCGAGAAGCGAGCACCACTACGTGACGGTGTGGATACAGCAGCGCTCCAGAAGGGAAACACCGAGGTCGTCAAGGCTCTGGTGGATGGCAGAATCGCCGTGAGAACTGCCGCCACATCTGCTGCCAGACGCCGGAAGAGAGCAGCAGGTCAGTTGGGGAAGAAGGGGATTTCACTAGTAATTGACCTCTCAGTCTTGCTGGGGATGTTTAACTAGTTATTGATCTCTCAGTCTTGCTAGGCATGTTTCACTAGTTATTGATCTCTCAGTCTTGCTAGGCATGTTTCACTAGTTATTGATCTCTCAGTCTTGCTAGACATGTTTCACTAGTTATTGATCTCTCAGTCGTGCTAGGCATGTTTCACTGGTTATTGATCTCTCAGTCTTGCTAGGCATGTTTCACTAGTTATTGATCTCTCAGTCTTGCTAGGCATGTTTCACTAGTTATTGATCTCTCAGTCTTGCTAGACATGTTTCACTAGTTATTGATCTCTCAGTCTTGCTAGGCATGTTTCACTAGTTATTGACCTCTCAGTCTTGCTGGGGATGTTTCACTAGTTATTGATCTCTCAGTCTTGCTAGGCATGTTTCACTAGTTTTGGATCTCTCAGTCTTGCTAGACATGTTTCACTAGTTATTGATCTCTCAGTCGTGCTAGGCATGTTTCACTAGTTATTGATCTCTCAGTCTTGCTAGGCATGTTTCACTAGTTATTGATCTCTCAGTCTTGCTAGGCATGTTTCACTAGTTATTGATCGCTCAGTCTTGCTGGGGATGTTTCACTAGTTATTGATCTCTCAGTCGTGCTAGGCATGTTTCACTGGTTATTGATCTCTCAGTCTTGCTAGGCATGTTTCACTAGTTATTGATCTCTCAGTCTTGCTAGGCATGTTTCACTAGTTATTGATCTCTCAGTGTTGCTAGGCATGTTTCACTAGTTATTGATCTCTCAGGCTTGCTGGGGATGTTTCACTAGTTATTGATCTCTCAGTCTTGCTGGGAATGTTTCACTAGTTATTGATCTCTCAGTCTTGCTAGACATGTTTCACTAGTTATTGATCTCTCAGTCTTGCTAGGTATGTCTCACTAGTTATTGATCTCTCAGTCTTGTTAGGCATGTTTCACTAGTTATTGATCTCTCAGTCGTGCTAGGCATGTTTCACTGGTTATTGATCTCTCAGTCTTGCTAGGCATGTTTCACTAGTTATTGATCTCTCAGTCTTGCTATGTTTCACATGTTTCAGTCTTGCTAGTTTCACTAGTTATTGATCTCTCAGTCTTGCTAGACATGTTTCACTAGTTATTGATCTCTCAGTCTTGCTAGACATGTTTCACTAGTTATTGATCTCTCAGTCTTGCTAGACATGTTTCACTAGTTATTGATCTCTCAGTCTTGCTAGGCATGTTTCTAGTTATTGATCTCTCAGTCTTGCTAGGCATGTTTCACTAGTTATTGATCTCTCAGTCTTGCTAGGCATGTTTCACTAGTTATTGATCTCTCAGTCTTGCTAGGCATGTTTCACTAGTTATTGATCTTTCAGTCTTGCTAGGCATGTTTCACTAGTTATTGATCTCTCAGTCTTGCTAGGCATGTTTCACTAGTTATTGATCTCTCAGTCTTGCTAGGCATGTTTCACTAGTTATTGATCTCTCAGTCTTGCTAGGCATGTTTCACTAGTTATTGATCTCTCAGTCTTGCTAGGCATGTTTCACTAGTTATTGATCTCTCAGTCTTGCTAGGCATGTTTCACTAGTTATTGATCTCTCAGTCTTGCTAGGCATGTTTCACTAGTTATTGATCTCTCAGTCTTGCTAGGCATGTTTCACTAGTTATTGATCGCTCAGTGTGCTGGGCATGTTTCACTAGTTATTGATCTCTCAGTCACTGGTTATTGCTAGGCATGTTTCACTGGTTATTGATCTCTCAGTCTTGCTAGGCATGTTTCACTAGTTATTGATCTCTCAGTCTTGCTAGGCATGTTTCACTAGTTATTGATCTCTCAGTCTTGCTAGGCATGTTTCACTAGTTATTGATCTCTTCAGTCTTGCTGGCTAGTCTTGCTAGACATGTTTCACATGTTTCACTAGTTATTGATCTCTCAGTCTTGCTAGGCATGTTTCACTAGTTATTGATCTCTCAGTCTTGCTAGGCATGTTTCACTAGTTATTGATCTCTCAGTCTTGCTAGGCATGTTTCACTAGTTATTGATCTCTCAGTCTTGCTAGGCATGTTTCACTAGTTATTGATCTCTCAGTCTTGCTAGGCATGTTTCACTAGTTATTGATCTCTCAGTCTTGCTAGGCATGTTTCACTAGTTATTGATCTCTCAGTCTAGGCATGTTTGCTAGGCATGTTTCACTAGTTATTGATCTCTCAGTCTTGCTAGGCATGTTTCACTAGTTATTGATCTCTCAGTCTTGCTAGGCATGTTTCACTAGTTATTGATCTCTCAGTCTTGCTAGGCATGTTTCACTAGTTATTGATCTCTCTCAGTCTTGCTAGGCATGTTTCACTAGTTATTGATCTCTCAGTCTTGCTAGGCATGTTTCACTAGTTATTGATCTCTAGTTACTAGTTATTGATCTCTCAGTCTTGCTAGGCATGTTTCACTAGTTATTGATCTCTCAGTCTTGCTAGGCATGTTTCACTAGTTATTGATCTCTCAGTCAGTCTTGTTTCACTAGTTATGCATGTTTCACTAGTTATTGATCTCTCAGTCTAGGCATGTTTCACTAGTTATTGATCTCTCAGTCTTGCTAGGCATGTTTCACTAGTTATTGATCTCTCAGTCTTGCTAGGCATGTTTCACTAGTTATTGATCTCTCAGTCAGTGCTAGGCATGTTTCACTAGTTATTGATCTCTCAGTCTTGCTAGGCATGTTTCACTAGTTATTGATCTCTCAGTCTTGCTAGGCATGTTTCACTAGTTATTGATCTCTCAGTCTTGCTAGGCATGTTTCACTAGTTATTGATCTCTCAGTCTTGCTAGGCATGTTTCACTAGTTATTGATCTCTCAGTCTTGCTAGGCATGTTTCACTAGTTATTGATCTCTCAGTCTTGCTAGGCATGTTTCACTAGTTATTGATCTCTCAGTCTTGCTAGACATGTTTCACTAGTTATTGATCTCTCAGTCTTGCTAGGCATGTTTCACTAGCTATTGACCTCTCAGTTATGCTGGGCATGTTTTACTTGCTACTGACCTCTTGTAGACATGTTTCTTTAAGGTGGTAGGGGTAGTCTTAGTTTTTAGTTTAACCAAAGCATGCACAGGAATACATCGAGACCTCTTTCAGCGCAGTTTTCGTCTCATAGGAAAGGGCTCTAACGGACAGACACAGACGTTGACAGGTACTCCATGTTGTGTTTCAGCATCTCTGACTTGCGCCGACATCAAGGCTATGGGTCAGCAGGCCAAAGCTCTGACAATTGCCCAACTGAAGGAACTCTCAGACGCAGTTGTCCTGGAGTGTCTCGCAACCCTCGGCAAGGTGCTGGAGTGGTCAGCCGAGCAGAAGGCAGAACTGGCCAGTCGTCTGAAAAGTGCAGCGGTCAGTGTCTAAATCATGATGTTGGTCACGTGTGGGCGGTGTTATAAATCACGAGCAGGCTGAACACAATAACCTGATTTGTGCTCTGTTAACTGTGGGCATCAAAATGGTGTGTTTTTAAAAAAAATATTGAAACATACAAGTACAGCAGTCTAAGTAAACTTAGACTCAGTATTATTCGTTACACTGCTAATACTGAGTCTAACAAAACCTAGTAGAAGGTCACGTCAGCTAACCTTTGAGCGACCTATGACCGTCCAATCAAACGCGAGACGGCCGAACGGATTTAACCAATCAGACAACGACTACTTGTTAGGGTTCGGCGGGACTTACAAAACAGTTTTTGGATTTTCTCTTCCCTGGTCGCTGACACTGATCTATCAACAAACGAAAATCCGCATAAAACACATATATTTGACCTGCAGTATATACGCTTATGGATTCCTAATGGCATGGTTACTATTTGCTTATATTTTCGCAAGATGACATCCTTGAATATTGACAAAAACGCTATTTTCAGCGACTGTTTAATCACTGCGTGTATCACTCGGAAGCGATCGTGCGGAAAATAACATTCGGAATCGTTCGAGTTTTTGAGGTAAAGGTTCAACGGTATGTGCGAATGTTAACTTTCGCGATTTGGTAAGCTGTGTTCTGATTGGTCAGTCCAAAAGGTTAGCTAACGCGACCTACTACTAGGTTTTGTTAGACTCAGCACAGCAGAGTAACGAATACTACTGAACCTAAGTTTACTTAGACTGACAAGTACAGGAGACAAAGAACACACTGCCTTATCTCGTGTTTCAGATTCACAACACAAATCTCACTGCATGGACGACAAACAACATCATCGACTCGGGCACCTTGCTGGAGGGACTCTCTACTACCGACCTGGGGCAACTGACTTGGACAACATCACTTCTCGGCGTACATGGAACTCGCCCTACTTGGACCCCAGAACAGGTCGGTGCTAGACAGCTAAGTTTCGTGTGTAGCCAGGCGAACCATGCTAATGCATCATGAAATCTTTAAAACGGGGTGTATGAAGTTTTTGAAACTGGACGCATCATAGCGAATTGTGTCCTAATAAGCTGAAGTGCTTTCGAAAAGGAAATACGACCTGAAAACTTAATACAAATACACAAAAGCAATGAATAGAAATTGCCTCCCGGAATGCGAATGAAATATCTGTCACCCTGGTCGTGTGTTCAAAATCCAAAAAAATAAATACAAAATACCTCTACCTACCATGTCACCAAGAACTCCTGCAAGTAAATGCTACGCTATATTTTGCGTCTACCTATTGAGCAAGGAACGACAATGACTGGTCTTCTACATCATCTCTTTCTGTGTTAACAGCGTGCCAGTGTCATCAGCAAATGGCTTATGAATTTGAAATCCAACAATGCCGGAAGCATCACGGGAACGGAACTGAATACCATAGGTCACTTTACCTGTGGCCTCGCTGACACCCAGATCGGGTCCATCTTGGATGCAGCCTACGGGTACGTCGTCAATGGTTACACACAATGCACGGAGGTCAGATATGGGGATATTGTTAACTTATACTAGTATATATGGCGGCGGTAAACAACCAAGTCTTTGCCCTGTCACTGTGTATCGTCGTCACTTGACCGCGGGCCTTCCCGATTAGTATTTCAGACGAGACTTTTCCCAGACTTCGTGTTTGATCCTTAATGGGGTATGAGTCAGACACTGACGACATGCATGTCATCAAATGTCAGGTCACCACTGCCAATACCTTTTATTCATCTTTTCAAAACCGGCCACAATGCAAGTATATACTCTTTTCATAACTTCCTACATATAAACATGTTAGAACTCTTGGAGCATGGAACTAGAGCAAACAGATTGTAACGGGCTCGAAAATGGAGCCATGCTGGTTTAATACACATCCAACGGTCAATGAAAGAGGTCAGAACTAGTGCCGAGTAGAGTATGTTCCTCGTCTCCAACCTCAACCAGCAAGAGATTAGGACTAGTGTCGAGAAGAGTGAGGCCAGCAGTATGTTCCTCATCTCTAACCTCAACCAGAAGAGGTCAGGACTAGTGTCGAGTCGAGTGAGGTCAGCTGTATGTTCCTCATCTCTAACCTCAACCAGCAAGAGGTCAGGACTAGTGTCGAGTCGAGTGAGGTCAGCTGTATGTTCCTCATCTCTAACCTCAACCAAGCAAGAGATCAGGACTAGTGTCGAGTAGAGTGAGGTCAGCTGTATGTTCCTCATCTCTAACCTCAACCAGCAAGGAAGCAGGACTAGTGTTGAGTAGAGTGAGGTCAGCTGTATGTTCCTCATCTCTAACCTCAACCAGCAAGAGGTCAGGACTAGTGTTGAGTCGAGTGAGGTCAGCTGTATGTTCCTCATCTCTAACCTCAACCAGCAAGAGGTCAGGACTAGTGTCGAGTAGAGTGAGGTCAGCTGTATGTTCCTCATCTCTAACCTCAACCAGCAAGGAAGCAGGACTAGTGTTGAGTAGAGTGAGGTCAGCTGTATGTTCCTCATCTCTAACCTCAACCAGCAAGAGGTCAGGACTAGTGTCGAGTAGAGTGAGGCCAGCTGTATGTTCCTCATCTCTAACCTCAACCAGCAAGGAAGCAGGACTAGTGTTGAGTAGAGTGAGGTCAGCTGTATGTTCCTCATCTCTAACCTCAACCAGCAAGAGGTCAGGACTAGTGTTGAGTAGAGTGAGGCCAGCTGTATGTTCCTCATCTCTAACCTCAACCAGCAAGAGGTCAGGACTAGTGTCGAGTAGAGTGAGGTCAGCTGTATGTTCCTCATCTCTAACCTCAACCAGCAAGAGGTCAGGACTAGTGTCGAGTCGAGTGAGGTCAGCTGTATGTTCCTCATCTCTAACCTCAACCAGCAAGGAAGCAGGACTAGTGTTGAGTAGAGTGAGGTCAGCTGTATGTTCCTCATCTCTAACCTCAACCAGCAAGGAAGCAGGACTAGTGTTGAGTAGAGTGAGGTCAGCTGTATGTTCCTCATCTCTAACCTCAACCAGCAAGAGGTCAGGACTAGTGTCGAGTAGAGTGAGGCCAGCTGTATGTTCTTCATCTCTAACCTCAACCAGCAAGGAAGCAGGACTAGTGTTGAGTAGAGTGAGGTCAGCTGTATGTTCCTCATCTCTAACCTCAACCAGCAAGAGGTCAGGACTAGTGTCGAGTAGAGTGAGGCCAGCTGTATGTTCCTCATCTCTAACCCTCAACCAGCAAGAGGTCAGGACTAGTGTTGAGTAGAGTGAGGCCAGCTGTATGTTCCTCATCTCTAACCTCAACCAGCAAGAGGTCAGGACTAGTGTCGAGTAGAGTGAGGCCAGCTGTATGTTCCTCATCTCTAACCTCAACCAGCAAGGAAGCAGGACTAGTGTTGAGTAGAGTGAGGCCAGCTGTATGTTCCTCATCTCTAACCTCAACCAGCAAGGAAGCAGGACTAGTGTCGAGTAGAGTGAGGCCAGCTGTATGTTCCTCATCTCTAACCTCAACCAGCAAGAGGTCAGGACTAGTGTTGAGTAGAGTGAGGTCAGCTGTATGTTCCTCATCTCTAACCTCAACAAGCAAGAGATCAGGACTAGTGTCGAGTAGAGTGAGGCCAGCTGTATGTTCCTCATCTCTAACCTCAACCAGCAAGAGGTCAGGACTAGTGTCGAGTAGAGTGAGGTCAGCTGTATGTTCCTCATCTCTAACCTCAACAAGCAAGAGATCAGGACTAGTGTCGAGTAGAGTGAGGTCAGCTGTATGTTCCTCATCTCTAACCTCAACCAGCAAGAGGTCAGGACTAGTGTTGAGTAGAGTGAGGTCAGCTGTATGTTCCTCATCTCTAACCTCAACCAGCAAGGAAGCAGGACTAGTGTTGAGTAGAGTGAGGCCAGCTGTATGTTCCTCATCTCTAACCTCAACCAGAAGAGGTCAGGACTAGTGTCGAGTAGAGTGAGGTCAGCTGTATGTTCCTCATCTCTAACCTCAACCAGCAAGGAAGCAGGACTAGTGTTGAGTAGAGTGAGGCCAGCTGTATGTTCCTCATCTCTAACCTCAACCAGCAAGAGGTCAGGACTAGTGTCGAGTAGAGTGAGGCCAGCTGTATGTTCCTCATCTCTAACCTCAACCAGCAAGGAAGCAGGACTAGTGTCGAGTAGAGTGAGGCCAGCTGTATGTTCCTCATCTCTAACCTCAACCACCAAGGAAGCAGGACTAGTGTCGAGTAGAGTGAGGCCAGCTGTATGTTCCTCATCTCTAACCTCAACCAGCAAGGAAGCAGGACTAGTGTTGAGTAGAGTGAGGCCAGCTGTATGTTCCTCATCTCTAACCTCAACCAGCAAGAGGTCAGGACTAGTGTCGAGTAGAGTGAGGTCAGCTGTATGTTCCTCATCTCTAACCTCAACCAGAAGAGGTCAGGACTAGTGTTGAGTAGAGTGAGGCCAGCTGTATGTTCCTCATCTCTAACCTCAACCAGCAAGAGGTCAGGACTAGTGTTGAGTAGAGTGAGGTCAGCTGTATGTTCCTCATCTCTAACCTCAACCAGCAAGGAAGCAGGACTAGTGTTGAGTAGAGTGAGGCCAGCTGTATGTTCCTCATCTCTAACCTCAACCAGCAAGAGGTCAGGACTAGTGTTGAGTAGAGTGAGGTCAGCTGTATGTTCCTCATCTCTAACCTCAACAAGCAAGAGATCAGGACTAGTGTCGAGTAGAGTGAGGCCAGCTGTATGTTCCTCATCTCTAACCTCAACCAGCAAGAGGTCAGGACTAGTGTTGAGTAGAGTGAGGTCAGCTGTATGTTCCTCATCTCTAACCTCAACCAGCAAGAGGTCAGGACTAGTGTTGAGTAGAGTGAGGCCAGCTGTATGTTCCTCATCTCTAACCTCAACCAGCAAGAGGTCAGGACTAGTGTTGAGTAGAGTGAGGCCAGCTGTATGTTCCTCATCTCTAACCTCAACCAGCAAGGAAGCAGGACTAGTGTTGAGTAGAGTGAGGTCAGCTGTATGTTCCTCATCTCTAACCTCAACAAGCAAGAGATCAGGACTAGTGTCGAGTAGAGTGAGGCCAGCAGTATGTTCCTCATCTCTAACCTCAACCAGCAAGGAAGCAGGACTAGTGTTGAGTAGAGTGAGGTCAGCTGTATGTTCCTCATCTCTAACCTCAACCAGCAAGAGGTCAGGACTAGTGTCGAGTAGAGTGAGGCCAGCTGTATGTTCCTCATCTCTAACCTCAACCAGCAAGGAAGCAGGACTAGTGTTGAGTAGAGTGAGGTCAGCTGTATGTTCCTCATCTCTAACCTCAACCAGCAAGGAAGCAGGACTAGTGTTGAGTAGAGTGAGGCCAGCTGTATGTTCCTCATCTCTAACCTCAACCAGCAAAGAGGTCAGGACTAGTGTCGAGTAGAGTGAGGCCAGCTGTATGTTCCTCATCTCTAACCTCAACCAGCAAGGAAGCAGGACTAGTGTTGAGTAGAGTGAGGTCAGCTGTATGTTCCTCATCTCTAACCTCAACCAGCAAGAGGTCAGGACTAGTGTTGAGTAGAGTGAGGTCAGCTGTATGTTCCTCATCTCTAACCTCAACCAGCAAGGAAGCAGGACTAGTGTTGAGTAGAGTGAGGTCAGCTGTATGTTCCTCATCTCTAACCTCAACCAGCAAGAGGTCAGGACTAGTGTCGAGTAGAGTGAGGCCAGCTGTATGTTCCTCATCTCTAACCTCAACCAGCAAAGGAAGTCAGGACTAGTGTTGAGTAGAGTGAGGTCAGCTGTATGTTCCTCATCTCTAACCTCAACCAGCAAGAGGTCAGGACTAGTGTCGAGTAGAGTGAGGTCAGCTGTATGTTCCTCATCTCTAACCTCAACCAGCAAGGAAGCAGGACTAGTGTTGAGTAGAGTGAGGTCAGCTGTATGTTCCTCATCTCTAACCTCAACCAGCAAGGAAGCAGGACTAGTGTTGAGTAGAGTGAGGTCAGCTGTATGTTCCTCATCTCTAACCCTCAACCAGCAAGAGGTCAGGACTAGTGTCGAGTAGAGTGAGGCCAGCTGTATGTTCCTCATCTCTAACCTCAACCAGCAAGGAAGCAGGACTAGTGTTGAGTAGAGTGAGGTCAGCTGTATGTTCCTCATCTCTAACCTCAACCAGCAAGAGGTCAGGACTAGTGTTGAGTAGAGTGAGGTCAGCTGTATGTTCCTCATCTCTACCCTCAACCAGCAAGAGGTCAGGACTAGTGTTGAGTAGAGTGAGGCCAGCTGTATGTTCCTCATCTCTAACCTCAACCAGCAAGAGGTCAGGACTAGTGTCGAGTAGAGTGAGGTCAGCTGTATGTTCCTCATCTCTAACCTCAACCAGCAAGGAAGCAGGACTAGTGTTGAGTAGAGTGAGGCCAGCTGTATGTTCCTCATCTCTAACCTCAACCAGCAAGGAAGCAGGACTAGTGTCGAGTAGAGTGAGGCCAGCTGTATGTTCCTCATCTCTAACCTCAACCAGCAAGAGGTCAGGACTAGTGTTGAGTAGAGTGAGGTCAGCTGTATGTTCCTCATCTCTAACCTCAACAAGCAAGAGATCAGGACTAGTGTCGAGTAGAGTGAGGCCAGCAGTATGTTCCTCATCTCTAACCTCAACCAGCAAGGAAGCAGGACTAGTGTTGAGTAGAGTGAGGTCAGCTGTATGTTCCTCATCTCTAACCTCAACCAGCAAGGAGATCAGGACTAGTGTTGAGTAGAGTGAGGCCAGCTGTATGTTCCTCATCTCTAACCCCTCAACCAGCAAGAGGTCAGGACTAGTGTCGAGTAGAGTGAGGTCAGCTGTATGTTCCTCATCTCTAACCTCAACCAGCAAGAGGTCAGGACTAGTGTTGAGTAGAGTGAGGTCAGCTGTATGTTCCTCATCTCTAACCTCAACCAGCAACCAGAAGAGGTCAGGACTAGTGTCGAGTGTTGAGTAGAGTGAGGTCAGCTGTATGTTCCTCATCTCTAACCTCAACCAGCAAGGAAGCAGGACTAGTGTTGAGTAGAGTGAGGTCAGCTGTATGTTCCTCATCTCTAACCTCAACCAGCAAGAGGTCAGGACTAGTGTCGAGTAGAGTGAGGCCAGCAGTATGTTCCTCATCTCTAACCTCAACCAGCAAGGAAGCAGGACTAGTGTTGAGTAGAGTGAGGTCAGCTGTATGTTCCTCATCTCTAACCTCAACCAGCAAGGAAGCAGGACTAGTGTTGAGTAGAGTGAGGCCAGCTGTATGTTCCTCATCTCTAACCTCAACCAGCAAGGAAGCAGGACTAGTGTTGAGTAGAGTGAGGCCAGCTGTATGTTCCTCATCTCTAACCTCAACCAGCAAGAGGTCAGGACTAGTGTTGAGTCAGAGTGAGGTCAGCTGTATGTTCCTCATCTCTAACCTCAACCAGCAAGAGGTCAGGACTAGTGTTGAGTAGAGTGAGGCCAGCTGTATGTTCCTCATCTCTAACCTCAACCAGCAAGAGGTCAGGACTAGTGTTGAGTAGAGTGAGGTCAGCTGTATGTTCCTCATCTCTAACCTCAACCAGCAAGAGGTCAGGACTAGTGTTGAGTAGAGTGAGGCCAGCTGTATGTTCCTCATCTCTAACCTCAACCAGCAAGGAAGCAGGACTAGTGTTGAGTAGAGTGAGGTCAGCTGTATGTTCCTCATCTCTAACCTCAACAAGCAAGAGATCAGGACTAGTGTTGAGTAGAGTGAGGCCAGCTGTATGTTCCTCATCTCTAACCTCAACCAGCAAGAGGTCAGGACTAGTGTCGAGTAGAGTGAGGTCAGCTGTATGTTCCTCATCTCTAACCCTCAACCAGAAGAGGTCAGGACTAGTGTCAGGAGTTGAGAGTGAGGTCAGCTGTATGTTCCTCATCTCTAACCTCAACCAGCAAGAGGTCAGGACTAGTGTTGAGTAGAGTGAGGCCAGCTGTATGTTCCTCATCTCTAACCTCAACCAGCAAGAGGAAGCAGGACTAGTGTTGAGTAGAGTGAGGTCAGCTGTATGTTCCTCATCTCTAACCTCAACCAGCAAGAGGTCAGGACTAGTGTTGAGTCGAGTAGAGTGAGGCCAGCTGTATGTTCCTCATCTCTAACCTCAACCAGCAAGGAAGCAGGACTAGTGTTGAGTAGAGTGAGGTCAGCTGTATGTTCCTCATCTCTAACCTCAACCACCAAGGAAGCAGGACTAGTGTCGAGTAGAGTGAGGTCAGCTGTATGTTCCTCATCTCTAACCTCAACCAGCAAGGAAGCAGGACTAGTGTTCGAGTAGAGTGAGGCCAGCTGTATGTTCCTCATCTCTAACCTCAACCAGCAAGAGGTCAGGACTAGTGTTGAGTAGAGTGAGGCCAGCTGTATGTTCCTCATCTCTAACCTCAACCAGCAAGAGGTCAGGACTAGTGTCGAGTAGAGTGAGGTCAGCTGTATGTTCCTCATCTCTAACCTCAACCAGCAAGGAAGCAGGACTAGTGTTGAGTAGAGTGAGGTCAGCTGTATGTTCCTCATCTCTAACCTCAACCACCAAGGAAGCAGGACTAGCGTCGAGTAGAGTGAGGCCAGCTGTATGTTCCTCATCTCTAACCTCAACCAGCAAGAGGTCAGGACTAGTGTTGAGTAGAGTGAGGTCAGCTGTATGTTCCTCATCTCTAACCTCAACCAGCAAGAGGTCAGGACTAGTGTTGAGTAGAGTGAGGTCAGCTGTATGTTCCTCATCTCTAACCTCAACCAGCAAGGAGGTCAGGACTAGTGTCGAGTCGAGTAGAGTGAGGTCAGCTGTATGTTCCTCATCTCTAACCTCAACCAGCAAGAGGTCAGGACTAGTGTCGAGTAGAGTGAGGTCAGCTGTATGTTCCTCATCTCTAACCTCAACCAGCAAGAGGTCAGGACTAGTGTTGAGTAGAGTGAGGTCAGCTGTATGTTCCTCATCTCTAACCTCAACCAGCAAGAGGTCAGGACTAGTGTCGAGTAGAGTGAGGTCAGCTGTATGTTCCTCATCTCTAACCTCAACCAGCAAAGAGGTCAGGACTAGTGTTGAGTAGAGTGAGGTGAGGCCAGCTGTATGTTCCTCATCTCTAACCTCAACCAGCAAGAGGTCAGGACTAGTGTCGAGTAGAGTGAGGTCAGCTGTATGTTCCTCATCTCTAACCTCAACCAGCAAGAGGTCAGGACTAGTGTTGAGTAGAGTGAGGTCAGCTGTATGTTCCTCATCTCTAACCTCAACCAGCAAGAGGTCAGGACTAGTGTCGAGTAGAGTGAGGTCAGCTGTATGTTCCTCATCTCTAACCTCAACCAGCAAGAGGTCAGGACTAGTGTCGAGTAGAGTGAGGTCAGCTGTATGTTCCTCATCTCTAACCTCAACCAGCAAGAGGTCAGGACTAGTGTCGAGTAGAGTGAGGCCAGCTGTATGTTCCTCATCTCTAACCTCAAGCAGCAAGAGGTCAGGACTAGTGTTGAGTAGAGTGAGGTCAGCTGTATGTTCCTCATCTCTAACCTCAACCAGCGGTAGTGTTGAGTAGAAGATCAGAAGTCAGGACTAGTGTTGAGTAGAGTGAGGTCAGCTGTATGTTCCTCATCTCTAACCTCAAGCAGCAAGAGGTCAGGACTAGTGTCGAGTAGAGTGAGGTCAGCTGTATGTTCCTCATCTCTAACCTCAACCAGCAAGAGGTCAGGGAAAAAAATTTAGTGTCGAGTCGAGTGAGGTCAGCTGTATGTTCCTCATCTCTAACCTCAACCAGCAAGAGGTCAGGGAAAAAAATTAGTGTCGAGTCGAGTGAAGTCAGCAGTATGTTCCTCATCTCTAACGTCAACCAGCAAGGAAGCAGGACTAGTGTCGAGAGGGAAGACGGAAAAAATAAATATAAAATTGTATTTTAACTAAATGTGTGTCGTATTTTATGAAACTGTTGATGGTATTACAATTAGTTTATGATATTAATCGTGCTTCGGAAACTATGGTTTAATACATGTAAATGAAGAAAGGTCATGCTGACTCGGTGTTTCAATGAGTGTGTAAGGGGTCAACAACACATCAGGCCATAGATATCCACAGCGGCGGAGAAAATCGAGATGACAAAACATTTTATTGTTTTACGTCGAAAGTAAAATTTTGGGCGGGAGGGAGAAATAAGTGTAACCTAATTGATGGTGTGTGTACCACCTGAGGTCTGAGAAGGACCACACTAGTACGTTCTGGTTCGAGAGTCCATGTAGTACTTCAAAATAGTAGTAACTAGGCTTGTACTACGCACTGGACACCAAACATACATATTCATGACAAATTCATGACAAATCCACTTGCTTCTTTATTATAGAGACGCTGTCACCAAAATTGGCGAACTTTCCAATTGTTCGGAATCTCAGCTGAAGGCTTTCGCAGGAAAGGCCAAGAATGCTTTTGGTGCCGTCAACACATGGTCCACAGCCACTGTCTCCAACGTCAACAACGTCATTGGTAAAGTGGTAGTCGAATAGTCAATGGAAACATTAATAAGTGACCCATTGTGTAACCTGAACATCGAGTTAACGCTAGTAAGAAAATGATTATACAATTTGTTTATACAAAAACAGCTTGGCTGTGAAAGCAATCCATGAATTTCAGGCTGGTGTCCAATACTTTCGTCAGATCTTCGTTAGCGGCAAGGCATAAACTTTCATCGTACTGATATACATGTATTACCTAGTAGTTTCCAGACATACCACATACAGAGACTTAGAAATTTGCGACTCGTGCGTAAATGTTTTGCTTTAGAAATGTATCTTCTCCGATGATCACTGAACATTTGCCTGTCCGTGTTAGAATTAAATGTGTTTTGTGTCCTCCAGGTGGTCTGACTGGTTCCGAGCTGTCACAGCTGTCGGGAAGCCACCTGGCGGAGATCCGACCTGGCACTATGGCCATTCTTCCTCCCGCCACAATCAGTGTAAGCTCTTCTACTCTAGCATTACATGAAAACTTATGTCGTGCATCCGGTCGTCCATAACTATATATAAATCTTCTCTGAAACCTCATGGCACATAGAGCCCAATGATAGATCCAACCAAACATGTCTTTAAAATGTGCTCACACAATTCAGATCAGATTTCAAGAGTAAATATGTACTGTTTTGCAAATACACAGGCATTGTTGCACATAGCATCATAAACATCTGTAAGCCACATGAGGTTTTCAAAGTATCATGCAACTCGCTATTTTGCATATTTAGAGTTTTCAGTCAAGCAGCAACCTTTACAAGTTGCACATCAAGATAAAGTAGAGTTTTTATTTAATTATTAAAGTATACTGAGTATACTGTGCCAACTCAATCACCACAAAGTCATACATTCAAATCAAAAGCTAAATCATGCATCAAAATAGTAATAAAGTTGAACCTTTTCTCACAATATTGATATCATATACTCATGCCAATAATGGTTGTCACCCCGTCCCCATCCCAACCCCACACACCGCACACCCCCAACCCCTCTCCAATTAAAAAAATCGAAGGGGGTGACAACCATTATTAGCATGAGTATATATCACAGAAGTCATTCAGTTGAACTGTCAAATCACTTGTCAAAATCTGACTAGTTCATCTCACAAGTCACTTGTTTTTGCACAACTGGCTGCTGTGACAACGGCAAGAGCATTTGATTTTGTTTTTGAAACACTTGCATCTATTAGTCCCACATATCTTGGAACCTGCACAATTGCACCGGACATATCCCTGTCCACCACAGTTGGATTCTATATGTACAGCCTGACGTAGTGTTACTGTCTTTGTACGATCTACATCTGAGTCAGTAAGTAAGTGCTGGGGACACAAATCATAACTGATTGCGTGAAAACTTCCCTTTCAGAATCCCTGCTTTAACACAAATAGTGTACATGTCATTCTCATCACGGTCCATGATTATTCCCCGAATATTACGTGGATCACCACGTCCCCTATCCACCAGAGGGATAGGTACAGCTACGTTGTCTCCCACCTGGCCACTGGCTAGTTCAACTCCACTCCTCTTGACCATACGCTGAGCTTGTGCCATCTGGGCAGAGCTGGCGCCTTTTCTCTCACTTATGATGTTTTGTAAACGGGCATTGAGTATATCCAAAGTGACGGCAACTAGAGCAGGACCCATTGGTGGTGGATCTCTGTACTCTGGTGTGGACTGTGAAACTGTGGCAATGACTGTGAGCTCTGGCATATCATTGTCACTGTTCCCCTGATCAACTGGGCTAGCTGGAGGTGCAGAGTCAAAATCCAGACTGGCAGTTGGTGTCAGTTCTTGCCTGGTGGTTGGTGTCGGATTCTGCCTGGTGGTTGGCGTCGGATCCTGGCTGGTGGTTGGTGTCGGATCCTGGCTGGTGGTTGGTGTCGGATCCTGGCTGGTGGTTGGCGTCGGATCCTGGCTGGTGGTTGGTGTCGGATCCTGGCTGGTGGTTGGTGTCGGATCCTGGCTGGATCCTGGTGGTTGGTGTGGATCCTGTGGTGGTTGGTGTCGGATCCTGGCTGGTGGTTGGTGTCGGATCCTGGCTGGTGGTTGGTGTCGGATCCTGGCTGGTGGTTGGTGTCGGATCCTGGCTGGTGGTTGGTGTCGGATCCTGGCTGGTGGTTGGTGTCGGATACTGGCTGGTGGTTGGTGTCGGATCCTGGCTGGTGGTTGGTGTCGGATCCTGGCTGGTGGTTGGTGTCGGATCCTGGCTGGTGGTTGGTGTCGGATCCTGGCTGGTGGGTGGATGCTGGCTGGTATGTCGGATCCTGGCTGGTGGTTGGTGTCGGATCCTGGCTGGTGGTTGGGTGTCGGCTGGTGGTTGGTGTCGGATCCTGGCTGGTGGTGGTTGGTGTCGGATCCTGGCTGGTGGTTGGTGTCGGATCCTGGCTGGTGGTTGGTGTCGGATACTGGCTGGTGGTGGTTGGTGTCGGATCGGATCCTGGCTGGTGGTTGGTGTCGGATCCTGGCTGGTGGTTGGTGTCGGATACTGGCTGGTGGTTGGTGTCGGATACTGGCTGGTGGTTGGTGTCGGATACTGGCTGGTGGTTGGTGTCGGATCCTGGCTGGTGGTTGGTGTCGGATCCTGGCTGGTGGTTGGTGTCGGATCCTGGCTGGTGGTTGGTGTCGGATCCTGGCTGGTGGTTGGTGTCGGATCCCTGGCTGGTGGTTGGTGTCGGATACTGGCTGGTGGTTGGTTGGGCTGGTGGTTGGTGTCGGATCCTGGCTGGTGGTTGGTGTCGGATCCTGGCTGGTGGTTGGTGTCGGATCCTGGCTGGTGGTTGGTGTCGGATCCTGGCTGGTGGTTGGTGTCGGATCCTGGCTGGTGGTTGGTGTTGGATACTGGCTGGTGGTTGGTGTCGGATCTCAGTCGGCAAAGTTGATGATGTTAAGCCAACTTTTGGTTCACATACTATTTGTTGACCTCTTTGGCCATCCGATCACGTCCGCCATGGCCTGTGGCTATGTGAGCTCGCTTGACCACATCGTACGTGTCTTCTATGCTGGCATAATATACTGGATCCTCATCTGGGGTGGCACGCTTTTTGATGAGTTTCTCAACATCACCACACTGCAGTATCTCAAACCTGAAAAAAAATATGAGACATTTTTAAAAACATATTTGAAAAAATCAAGAAGTAATTGCATGTCACGAACAATACAAACAGAGCGTAATTAGCCTTAACATGGTACTTACTTTGATACGATGTGCTTGCAGTCACTCTCAGTGACCCAGATCAGAGGCCTGTCCAAGTCCCAGGTTCAACGAATCACTCCTGAGCAACAGAAAATGTTCAACCCTGCGCAGCTGGAAGCGGTCATCTCTGCCGGAGGCTACAACCTCGTCAAGGACAGCGGAGCAGGTAAGTTCATCTGATGGCAGTCGACAACAGAAAACAAATATTCGAAATATCTGGAATCAGTAAATACACTGGTAGTAACTTTTCACAAACTCATTACTTGATCTGTCTGGTATTCATTATCCAATGTCCGGATATTTCGAATTACAAGCTAGGTTCGAGATAAAGGGGTTAGACTACTTTTGACATTAGGATTTTATTTAAATAATATACGTACCAGTAGCTGATGAAAACAGAAATACATTATCCATGCGTAAATTCCTGAAGCATTACAAATACCGATCATTGTCTGTTAATAGATTTTCAAATGACGAAAACAGGGGTGATGATGACTTTCAAGATGTGTGTGTGTGTGTGTGTGTGTGTGTGTGTGTGTGTGTGTGTGTGGTGTTTACCCATTTTGTTCGGGGAGGGAGGGGAGGGGAATTGTACACATGTACTTGGGGGGTCAGCAATTTTGTACATAAGGATATTTAAAAAGTATGGGAAAGGGGAGGTGAGTCATTGGTATTGTACATGATGTACAACGGGGGAAGGGGGTCACTTGCTTTGTGTGGTTTTTTAGAGGGGGCATTCACATTGTACATGCTTCTGCATAAAAAAGATCACACAACCCACCCCCCTTATACGTCACTAAACTCCACGTGTCTGCCTGAAGGAAACATGGCCCTCGCTGTACATAAAGACAAACATGTGGAAGATGTGACCACTATTATCGGTTATCAGTTACACATCGGTGGCTGAATCAATAGCTCCACCACTATTATCGGTTATCAGTTACACATCGGTGGCTGAATCAATAGCTCCACCACTATTACCGGTTATCAGTTACACATCGGTGGCTGAATCAATAGCTCCACCACTATTACCGGTTATCAGTTACACATCGGTGGCTGAATCAATAGCTCCACCACTGTTACCGGTTATCAGTTACACATCGGTGGCTGAATCAATAGCTCCACCACTATTACCGGTTATCAGTTACACATCGGTGGCTGAATCAATAGCTCCACCACTATTACTCATTTCCAGCTTCTCATATATTTCGCCTGATGCGCTCTAGACGTTGCCATTTCAGATGTACGAATAGTTTGTATCAGTCACTCCTTGTGGAAAACATTGCTTTCAAAATACTTTCTTTCCAGAAACCATCAAGAGGTCTGCCATCGCAAGTGTCCTGGTTGTCATGACAACCCTTTTCATGATGTAAACTAAAGGTTTAAAGTAAAGAACAGATTTGGAGGCCTTATGATTCCGTTACACTATCCCAAAACCTTACAAACGTGCCTTGCAGCTTCATCTGTGACTAGCCATGGATCTGGTACTGATACGTGTGATGTCCATTAATCAACTCTAGTGAGCCAGTGTCTAGGTCCATGTAAGGCGCATGCTGTGAAGACAAACTTACTGCTGATATTCGCAACGTACTCGAATCAATTTGTCAGTTGCCAAGTACAGGTATAAACGTGTATAAACAAGACATGTAAATGCACAGTATTCTTACTGAATGTTGTTTATCTGTTGCATAAAAACTGTAGTAATATACTCAGGGAAACAAATAAGGGAACACCACTTCATGGCAGTATTCCTTTATCTATTCTCAGATTTCCACCCACAGCGCTAGTCAAAGCTGGTGATGAACCTGGAAAATTTTAAAGGAACACTTTTATTTTCCTGTGTTCCTTTATTTCTTTCTTTCAGTATATATTCATCATGGCCTCTATTTCTGTAGTTTCGAACTTCAGCAATGATGAAGTTGCATTTTTTTTACAAATTTTACGCTGAAACTTGTGTTCATTTCCTCGTTCCTGCCTTTACTTCTCGCTGGTCTGTGTAAATAACGAAAGCTACCGTGTTACACCTAGTAAGAAACACTTTTAGGTAGTGCAGTAACCATCCTATTTGGAAGTGGTTACACTGGGTTGCACGGGCAGGCTGCAGATGGCGTGTATGAAGGACGACCATTGATCGAGGAGATAACTCTCCTTCTGGTGCTCAAAAGCTGACACTGAGCCACCTGTATGATATGGTCTGTGATGACATGTGTTGAACGTCCGGGAAGGAATGGTGTGTTTTTGCACGGGTAAATCATGTTAGCAAGTTTGTCTCTTTGTTTCCTGTACGACTAAAGGCCTTCTACTCAACATCACTGAAGTCAGTTTGAATTCTTCAAGAACTTACGTTTCTAACAACTGCATAATCATTACATTAAAACCTGTAAATGTCTGCCTTGATAATCATTAGTCAAATGATCAAGATACATTCATGATATTTGTCTGGATAATAATTCATATTAATGATTCACATTTATCTGCAATGTACCCCTGGAGGTTGGCTGTTTGTCCAAAATATGGCTTGATCATCTACAAGAATTTGAAGCAAAGGCTGTGATATGCTATTCTAATTTATTTTATTGTTACTTTCTAAATAAAATATTTTTGTTGTCAAACTGATGTCTATCCTTTTTTTTCTCTTGATAAATGCATTTATCAAACATTAGAATATTTATGATCGTTACATACTCACTCCAATACAAAATATTTCAAATTCCGTCTCCGGTCCCGTAACACAAAAAACGCTTTTAGTTACCTATATGGAGCGAATTACATGGGGAGGTATTTCAATCCAATCGTTATGGTTTTAGACCGCCTCCGTGGTGTAGTGGATAGAGCGTCCACCCGGAGAGCGGAAGGTCGCGGGTTCGATCCCCGACCGCGTCATACCAAAAGACGTTAAAATATGGTACTTGTTGGTCCCTGCCTGGCGCTCGGCATTAATGGCTACAACAAGAACTGGTCGGCTCGGAGTCAGCATAATGTGTCTGAGTGGGGTATTCTTGCTTCACTGCGGCATGGTATCTCAGTGGGCTAGCACTATAAAACCAGCTTAAGTCTGGGCTAGTACAAGCAGCCGCACACACACACACGCATGCACGTCGTCATATGAGCGAAATATTCTCAAGCACGACGTTAAATCCAATTTCACCTCACCTCACCTATGGTTTAAGAGCGTTAGTAAATCTTTAATCTTATCACCACTGTCTTGATAATAACGTGTGAAAGATACCTTTTGGTGCATTGGTGTCAAACAAGGTGACAAGTATGAAGAAGCATTACGTAGCTCCAGAGCCTTGTGTTGCGAGTCAATGCATGAGAAACTACGGACATGCGAATTGACAAAATAAGCATCGATTCCATGTTGTACTACTGTGAGATTTTAGAAATTGTAAGAAACAGATTACTACAATGGTGCCGGGTACGTTTGGTAGTACAAACAGTTGTTCCAAAGGGATTGTCACTCGCTTTCAAACTACAACTTTTAAAATAACGATGACTGCTACCTGGCTGCAACTAATGAAGTAATCTGTATCGTTTAGAATCGCGTCACTAAACTTACCATCTTCTGCCAGAAATTCCTGATAGTTCCAGGCACGTAACTGATCTCTAAATGTCTAATTTGGAAGACGAATCTGAATGTTGTCACATAATAAGATCGCAAGCTTCATGAGACACTGGAGTTCGTAAGGTGACGTTGTCAATGGAACTTACTGCCGTGTATCGTGGATACAAAGACTCATGGTGTGATAGTTTGTCGCAGATTCCCTGAATCACATTTTCCCCCCTCCGCCTTACCTTCTTCAATGAGAAATCCCTAGATGAAGCAAGTCACGATTTCCCCAGAAGAATCTCCGAGCTCACTGGGACTCCTGGTCAAATTAAATGGAGTTATTTGTTTCTATTTTCTATTTTTTGGTATGCTGTGTAAACATTAGGGCTGGGACGGGTAGGAAAAATTGGAATCGAGTACCCGCATGTACTTACCCGAATCGGAATCGAGTACCCGCAAATGTAAGGAATACATAGCTTCAGTCAACTTTCTGAATATTCAATCACGATTTGACAAAACCTCAAAGGATGGCAATGGGACATTGAAACTGATCTTAGGCTATTTGATTTACGTCTGTTTATAACTAATATAAAGAGTAACACCATTACTTACATTGTTACTTAAAACACAGAACATTTGTTAAAACACAGAAGTTTTCATTCCCGCTGTTACTGTGATTTGACTACTCACTGCTTATGCGCAGATAAATTACCGTCGTTGATAATAACCTCCATTAACTGGACAATGCCAAAAAATGTGTGTTACGTTAATAATGACAAAAGACCAGTTATTCATTCAGCCAGTAGACAACTACGTTCATGTGTGATATTCTAACTGAACATATAATGTTTTACATGCAGACTTTATGTAAACTTGCATAGAATAAAATTTGATTGATGTATTTACTGACCAGAGAATTCTGTACGAGATATACAGATAGGCAAACTCTAATGCAACTGAGTTAAGCAATATAGCAAAATGCTTGGCTCGCATCTGGGAAGACTGGTCATTTTGCTCTTTTGCGCAACTCAGTTGCATTACAGTTTCCCTATTAAATGAAAAACAAAACTATTGTTAAATCGATATTCTAAAATTGTATCTATCTTCATTGGAATAACTGTATGCTGATTATTATTTGTTAAACTATAAAATGTATATGTTACGTGAGTTCTGCTTCTATTTCTGGTCATCTTCCTTCTTACTGTAATGATAACCAGTCGAACATTGTATTTGCAAATCAGAATGTTAATTCCTTAGTTTTAATTGATATTCCCAACACATACAATCATTTAATTGCAATCTCTTTAATAGTCAATGTATTCATGTTAAACGCAAATGTAAAAACTGTGTTTCATGAAATTGAAATAAAATAGAAATGTACATGTAATCTTAAAAGCTTGATAAGCAATGGACACAAATACACAATGTAATGAACACGTTTATTGTTTAGGTTGTGTTTTAGTGCAAGATGTTTTTGCATTGACCTTGTACAGCTTCCGCAGTAGATTGACATATTAGATTGAAAAACCGCATGGGTCTTCAAATTTGTAACTGTGTTAAATTATGAGATTAAATATATCCTGATCTTGGCGTGTCAGCTTCATAAGGGATGAAGCCCAGGAGTAGCGCAAGTCCCACACCTTCACCACTTTAGTACAATTCACTTGCAGGGTCTAACATTGATAAATCTCAAAACCATAAGCAGACTGTACTATCAATTTCAGACATGATACCACAGAGTCGGCATTTTGTTCTCTTGCCATTTGCATCAAGCTCAAAATGAGCCCAAACACTCAACTTAGCATGCGTGTCGTCCATATTGCTCTAGGTTAGAGTTACCTGCCCTTGTCATTACTGAGTTCTCTCCCTTTCCGGGTACTCGATTCCTTGAAATAGGACTCGATTCCGGCTGTACCCGACCCGGATTCGAGTACCCGAGTATCCGTCCCAGCCCTAGTAAACATCACTTCAATCAGTGACTTGTCTCGTTGGAACCCCTGAACAAGGGACCACACATGTGGAATGGGTTGTCCTACAAGAGTCCTAAAGGAGTTGTTCTAAGTCTGGCAGATGTTGTTGGTACTGCTGTCATTGTTGACTTCCATGATTCAGGAGGGAAGAGTGGCGGGATCCTTCTCATTCTCACTGGCGGTGCTGCATCATCAGCATGAGCACGTGGACGCCGGATGCCACGGTAGTGGCCGTTAACAATGTCGCATCAAAATAGGACACTAGCTCCTCTAAACCGTCAGGGGTGTTGTCCTTCAGGTGCTGCATTCCTGGAAGTACGTCATTATTAGCTCTATTAAGTAAATTTTGCAAAATGCATTAATCCCAGTGTAATAGTTATGGTGTCTTTGTTTTGCAATATCCCAAGTGTTTTATTATGAAATATATGAATCGAGGGGCTTTTGACAGGGGTGATCAAATTAGCGAGGGGCTATTGTCCAGAGTTGCTTTTGTACCAAGGGGCTTTTGTCCTTTTGGCCGTACCACAAGAATACAGTCCTGTGATTCGAACAGATGCATGTGGAAGATACCCATTTTGCTTTGCAATAGAAAACATTGAGGCATTATTACATGTAGTCACTTTCAACGAAAATACTAACCAAATAATACACAATAAGAACAACCTTTCGGTCAGATGTTCAAGGAAAACAAATATGGCTTCCCCAACATGTGCGTTAAAGACATATCATATGGAAAATGAGGGTACAATGGGAGGCAACTCTAACTAACTAACCTGTGGTACAGAAACATGTTTTGGGGGCATGCTATAGGATCAGTGACAGAGGCAATTTGAAATAAGCAGTACCAGGATAAGAAATAAGTAATCTTATCAGAGAATGCCTCCACAACATGAATGAACCTTCAATAACTATACATTAATGTAGCAGTGATGAAATTGTTTTGTGGAATGTGACCCAGAGCAATGTCACATGCACACAACAGACTTCATTAAAGCATAGAGCCTTGGACTTGGCATTGTTACACCAACCCATAGAGAGGGTGTGAAATTGCTGCAGGTAAACTTCCATAGACGAAGCAAGATCACCAAGATCAACACAATGAGGACAAGAACTTTATTCCTTTTTTCCTGCAGAGTCCACAAGTGCATCTCAAAGTACCTTCTTTATGCTGCATCAGTAATGCGTTTCCCAGTACATCATTCATATAGTGAAAGGTTACATTTATATATGACTAGTATAACTAAGTACAGTGACAGGCCATTGATTTAGATATATCTACACATAAATACCAGTGTAGTACAGAGAATGGATGAAAAGATGACCTCAACCTCATCTACAAGCAGCAAGCACAGCAAATATTGATGCAAAAATGCCTCAATATAATCATAATCTGGTGCTTTATACTTCCACAAAGATGTTTTAGAAAAAATTCTGAAGAATCTAGTCCTGGACATTAACTTCTGGTGACTGTTCAGTTCTCTACCTAGCCTTCATATTAACTTCTGGATGGGCGGTGGGGTAGCATAGTGGTTAAAGTGTTCGCTCATCACACTGAAGATCCATTGGTACAATGTATGAAGCCCATTTCTGGTGTTCCCTTAGCAAGAAACCATACTCACTCACTCACTTAACATCTGGAAATCAAATATCATTTATCAAGAAATAACATGCCAGCATACCCACAAGATGGAATGCAATGATATGATGATTGCACAGTGTACATAATAAGTAATCTACATGTGAATCTGTACAAAATATCAAACACAACAATTAGCATGTGAAAACACAACATAGTTTACAAGCATTAACCATGTTTTAAATGTCTATATGTCAGTATAGAATATTGCACAGTTCATGACGCAACCTCACTCAACGTTACAATCTGAGGTGTGAGGGAGGGGCAGCAACGTCCTGCAGACACAGCTCAAGTACACAACTCCTAGTTCATCAATGGCTATCAAAAACAGATGATTTCAACAACCCAAACGGTCTAAAACAAGTTACTGCTGCCAACCTTTTCTTTCTGAAAGATTACTTTCAAACACCTGTTCATACATTTTACCTTAAGACAGGTTCCAAATGTATTGGAATAATATTTATATTACTTGACAGTGGGAAGACTTCCAACATCACCTTCAAGTTGGGCTTCCTGACTCACCAGCAGCTGTGTTTGGACTAATGTTCACTACTTCCAGTAACAACGCTCTGGTAGCAACAACAACAACACATCAGAGCATATGTCATACTGTGAAACACACGGCACATTCACAATTATTGCCCGCTCATCCAGCAGTAAACCAAATGACCACACTATCTGCCAACAGAACTGGATATCTATGCAGATGCATCAAAGAATTTATCGATGAGGTTCTCCACTCCTGCAACCTCATACTTGATGTACTTGTGAGGGTTCTTTGTGAAGTTTAAAGACTTGTATTTATTGAGGAACATTTCATAACGGAGAGTGATGTACTTCTTGTTGTCAGCCTTCAGGGACTCACGGAGTTCTGGGTCCGGAACAGCATAACCCTTCTGGATCTTGTAGATCTCCTCTAGCTCCTTGTTGAAGCCCTGCAAACAAGCATTTATACAAATATATGTCGTCTAACTTGGACATAATAGTACTAACATGGACTTGATCGCACTAACCTGGACTGAATAGTACTAACATGGACCTGATAGCACTAACCTGGACCTGATAGCACTAACCTGGACTTAATAGTACTAACATGGACTTGATAGCACTAACCTGGACTGAATAGTACTAACATGGACATGATAGCACTAACCTGGACTGAATAGTAATAACATGGACTTGATAGCACTAACCTGGACTGAATAGTACTAACATGGACTTGATAGCACTAACCTGGACTGAATAGTACTAACATGGACTTGATAGCACTAACCTGGACTGAATAGTACTAACATGAACTTGATAGCACTAACCTGGACTGAATAGTACTAACATGAACTTGATAGCACTAACCTGGACGGAATAGTACTAATATGAACTTGATAGCACTACATGGACACACACACAAATAAACTGGATTTGATAGAACTACATGATGGATGCGCAAGCACGTGCTCGCACACACACTCGCACGCACGCACACACACACTTGTGGTCTAACCTGTACCTGAAGGTTATACACATACACATAAATATAACCCGGACTTGACAGCACTACATGAAGGTTACATATTGGAACACACAATTCAAAATTGATTTGAATAAATATATCCTGGCAAACATCTACTAGAACATAATTCATAAGGGTATCCATGGTGAGAAATAAGTGTGAGAAGTTTCAAACAGAATGTGATTGATACATACAGCATTACCATAAACACACAATAGTGCAATCACCCCAGTCATCAAAAAGATCTAACTATCCATTATATTCCACAATAACTTATGTTCAATACACTTTTACCATAGGGACTTTTATACATGCACCATGAAAACTGGGAGGGAGGGTGGGAGCCTGTTTAAACTGTGCACACTGTAGCTTGTTTTGTTTTCAGAGCATAGTGTTCACACATTGATGAAACCAAAACTTTTACTAAGGTAATAGTTACCTGGCAAACACATTACCTGCTGATTTGTCCAGGTGCTAGTCAGGGCTGCTTATTACCACAGAGCACTGAATACAGTGAATATGGTGCAACATTTTTCAGTCACACTACCTTTTTTGACATTTACAAGCAAGAATTTAGGTCAAAACCCCCAAAGTTCAGTTGTGTTATGCACCAAATGATGCACAGAGAGTAAAGTGTACTTACAGTGAACCTGTCCTTGATGTTCTGCCGGTCCTTATCTTTCAACTGTAGACAAACAATGTAGCACTGGTTAATCAATCACAGAACGTAACACATAACTTGCCATGCAGCTCATAAAGATTGATCTAAAACAGGACCCAAATTATTGCGTTTGACTGGCCTACACATACTGAATGATAGATACCAACGTATGATGTTTAACAACAGAGTATCAGTGTCGGCAGCTGATGGTGCAAATCAAATCAAGCAGACTCCCTACACATTTGGCTCACCTTGACAACCTCTGTATTCTGTGTCCTCTGCACTGAGATTGGCTTGTCTACCTCCATGATGAAATGTAACACCTTGTTCCAGCTACACAACATAGCAAAATGCAGTTTAAAATTTATACACAATATTTTCTTTGGATTATTGAAAATAGAAGTATTGTTTACATGTTGACTGGACCACAGTGTTCTTGGTCGCCCACAGGATTCCATCTCGGGTGGACATAGACAGAATCCCTGATAGACTAATGTACTCAGAGTATGATATAGAGATGCTTCATTTTCTATGATGGTGTAGAGGTTCATAACATTAGATGGTTAACAAAGTGGCACTGATGACATTTTGCCTTGATCATATGACATACCTGTTTCAGTACGACCACAAGATGGAGTGTCTCTTCCTAACATATCAATCACAAACAAACAGCTTGAGTTATCTAATGTACATCAACATCAGGTAAAATGTGTATTGTGTTATGTGTCTTATTGTAGTTAAAATCCTTTGTTAACACCTCTTTATCATTTCAGCCTGTCTCGCTGAGGCATTATCTATCTTTCAGTCAGGTGAGCTAAAAAATAGGATATACATGACGTTCTATGACGAATGCGCCAACATATTTTTCAACCAAAAAACAAGCAATCTCTTGAAAGTGTGTTTTGACACATCTTTTCCAAACAACTAAACACACCTCTCAGAATATGACCTCTTCTGTTCTGTTATCTGCGCTTCATACACCTCTGCCACCTGTGGATTCCACGCATGCAGCAGCTCCAGCAGACCAGACCTGCAATACACACTTCCAGAACTGAACACTCTTAGTCTACTGTGCTTAGGAGAGTCTGTGATAGATTTGTCAAAAGAAAACTCCAGCAGACCAGACCTGCAATACACACTTCCAGAAATGAACACTCTTAGTCTACTGTGCTTAGGAGAGTCTGTGATAGATTTGTCAACAGAAAACTCCAGCAGACAAGACCTGCAATACACACTTCCAGAACTGAACACTCTTAGTCTACTGTGCTTAGGAGAGTCTGTGATAGATTTGTTAACAGAAAACTCCAACAGACCAGACCTGCAATACACACTTCCAGAAATGAACACTCTTAGTCTACTGTGCTTAGGAGAGTCTGTGATAGATTTGTTAACAGAAAACTCCAGCAGATAAGATCTGCACCACACACTTCCAGAAATGAACACTCTTAGTCTACTGTGCTTAGGAGAGTCTGTGATAGATTTGTTAACAGAAAACTCCAGCAGACCAGACCTGCAATACACACTTCCAGAACTGAACACTCTTAGTCTACTGTGCTTAGGACGGTCTGTGATAGATTTATCAACAGAAAACTCCAGCAGACCAGACCTGCAATACACACTTCCAGAAATGAACACTCTTAGTTTACTGTGCTTAGAAGAGTCTGTGATAGATTTGTCAACAGAAAACTCCAACAGACAAGATCTGTACCACACACTTCCAGAACTGAACACTCTTAGTCTACTGTGCTTAGGAGAGTCTGTGATAGATTTGTTAACAGAAAACTCCAGCAGACCAGACCTGCAATACACACTTCCAGAACTGAACACTCTTAGTCTACTGTGCTTAGGAGAGTCTGTGATAGATTTGTTAACAGAAAACTCCAGCAGACCAGACCTGCAATACACACTTCCAGAACTGAACACTCTTAGTCTACTGTGCTTAGGACAGTCTGTGATAGATTTGTTAACAGAAAACTCCAACAGACAAGATCTGCACCACACACTTCCAGGATGGAACACACTCTTGGTTTCTTAGGTTTACAAATGACACAACTGATATATTTCTGTTGGCACTACTGATTTGGAAATTTTAACCATAAATTGTATATTTATATACTTATCCTATCTGACGGTATGCACCTCTCTCTTCTTCTATGACCCATATGTGGAAACGTGCTGTAGGCCAAGTTGAATCAAATCTTCTGGCCTCAAGCCCACATGACCTCTGCCCCCACTCCGATAGCAGGACCTGTCAATCATCTCTATAAGCGTTAAGATTGCTTCGATGATCACATGACATCCCATTACTGTCATTCTTGTCTTGGAGCTTCAAGTAATCTGTGATGAGGGGCAGGTCGGGTGGGAATCCATCGCGTGAGCTTGGATAAGTATATACATTTCTAAATTTTTAAACTTATCCTATCTCACGGTATGCATTATCCCAGGGTTGGAATTAAAGTCGAAGACCTTAAGCTGGACAGCCCATGCTTCAAAACTATCTCCCACAGACACACGCTGGAAGGCGGTGAAAGGGAGAATGGCCCAGTTGCTCAACTCGTTTAACGTTCAGTTTCAATCCCCCTAACTTACCAAAGGTGAGAAAGGACTTATGGGTGGGTAAAACCATGAAGTGAAGCCGTGCAGGAGCGGCCCTGACGACTGGAGTGACCTCTGGAAAACCCTTTCCCTCGAAAGGAACTGGAACTGGAAGGCTCCGATCTGAGGTCCGGGTTATTAGGGACGTATCTGGCTGGTCGACGTTGGCGCAGGGAATCTTCCACCTACAAACGTTGGAATTTCAATAGCTCGACCAAGACCTGTAAGTGGGCATCCTGCCTGACCCTGGTAGCTATGTCACGAATAGCACCACTGAAAAGTGATCCGCCAGACCAAGGCTGTCGAATGAGATCAGTGCGGAATCTGTCCTCCCAGGATGACAAATGTAGAGGTCCCCTACATCCAACCTCTGTTAGATATGAAAAGAAGCGCCGAACTGGTTGAAAGTGTGGCACTGGAAAGTAGTCCGGATCCAACCAACGAAGGTGTACCAGTGGAAAACCTAGTAACAACGTCACTCTGGGAGGGAGCACTGAACCCAACAGAGCCGATGTACGGGACAGTTGAGTAGACTGAAGCGATGCACTCAGGTAGAAACCATAAGGCACTGAAGTTGTAACATGAAAACCTGCCGTGGGTTGTAGTGTCGAACCATACGAAAACAGTGCATTGGAAGAGAGCTCCGCTCCGTAAGCAGGTCTAGTTACATAAGTGAGTGGTGCAAAACTTAAAGGGGAAGTGTACACGAATAAATCACATTTATTCTTATGTGATTCAAAGTGAACTGTTTTAATTAGTTAATACCAACGTTTGAAAATATACACTCATTTTTCTTACAATGTAAGTATAACCCTCAAAATAAGTGCTGAAATGTTATGCCAATCTGAGGTATTTGTTTGCCGAGCTAAACAGGCCTGAGTTACCGCCCTTTGATTATGACGTTATTGGTGCCACTTGATTTTAAACTGGTCTCCTGTCTAGTCCCAAATCAAAAGATAATAATACTGATATTAATCACGTGAAAAAAGGTTTGTGAAAATACGAAAGAAGCATAAGAACAGAAAATGTAAGCAGCAGGACGGATTGATCGCGGTGTATTTTCATTCATAACCACGCCTCAGTGAAAATACCAAATATGTATAACAATGTTGACGCCTGTATGACATCACTATCGGAATTAAGCGACTTTTTCAAAATGGCGTGTTCACTGACACGAAAGTACGCCAGAGTTTTCAAGGAAATTTGTTTTCATTGTTTTCATTGTGACCAAGGGAAATAGTCAGAAATTAAGAGAAGTACCGCCATAGTTGTGCGCGGAGTTTGCGCCAGTTATGTCGCCATGCTTTCAAAAACTATAATATGTTGTGATGAATCTAGAAAATCATTGAATACACCTGTTTATTTAACTATTGCTTGCTACTTAAAACTTTCCCATGCATGTTCTAAAACTCATGAGCAATTGTATGCAACAAGTAGGCTTAAAGGATACACAGTGTAAAATCTGAGATTGGCTTTGTATACATTTCAAACAAGTATTCTTTCACAGCCGCATCTCATATCCTCGATATATTTCGTTAGATTTCACTGAAACACTTCGTATTGGTGACAGAGTCCATTTGTCAGCTTATTTTGAACTGTATGAGGAATTCAGGGATTTATGTAAGGAAGATGGTGTTGAATTATACTATTAATTTTATGGATCTAAACATAACCGACATACATGTGACGGATTTTATAAACACTATGTAATACAGCTTAAAATTCACTTTGACGCTTATGATTTTCCAAAACATTCTCATCGATTCTCGGTTCATCGATAATTTTAAGAACGAGCATTGGTGATTCGATCATACAACAACAAAACTACCGCTGATCACAATGATCACGCTTTTTCTTTTAATTCAATTCTTCCAGTAAAATTTGACATTTGAATGAAGACATACCATAAATTACGAAAACGCAGTGAATGGTGATTTAGAATGTGTCAAAACTGGCTTAGATTTACGATGCATGTAATTTTCAGTAAATTTTATCTACAATGAGCGGATGATATCATAGAAAAACAAAATTTCAAACAGTGTTCAAAACTGCAAATTGCATTTATCTGCGTGGATGTATTTGGATATGTACTATCGATATCAAAATGAAGGTGGAAGAGGAGGGACATATCGCACGATTTATGTAAGAACTTTAGTAATAAACGAGAATGCCGCACATTCACCAATGGCAAGCAAGATGTAGTGCATATACGTTTTAGGTTTCATGAAAAAGATTCTGTTGGAAAGGCCACCGACTCCGGTTAAATATGTTGTACAATTTGGTTACATGGTAACACTTTTAGTACAATGTATACGTTTTTTCAAACTGCAAGGTCATTACAGTGTAGAACTGACCACATAGTCAGCTGACGGCCAAGCAACAGGTGGATTAAAACAGTAGCCTCGCGATCGAGACACAAGAACCACACCTATACCTGCACCACATGAAATCGGTCTAATAAGGTCTGACGACGTCATTCGTTTATCATTTGGGCACCAATGACGTCATTTCCAAGGGGCATAAGCCATGGTGTGTTTATTGTGGACATAGAACTCTTGGTAAATGTTGAAAATATGAATTGATATAACGCAAATAATAAATTAGTTACTTCTGATATATGTACGGGTTTGGATATAAAACAACTTGATAAACACTTTTTATGATGAAAAAGTGCAAGACAAAAAGGTTAATTTTCGTGTACACTTGCCCTTTAACTGTTAGTACTAAAAGTTGTTCACAGGTCCCAAAGGGCAAGGTGAACGTAAACCGACACAGAGGGTACATCAACCTATGGGCCCCTAGGAACCAGTGAACAAAGTTTTACCTTACCGAACACCTCAATGTTAATTTTGAACTGTTTGAAGCACGGGTATCGGATCATAATAAGGAGTACCAGAGTTAGGCAATTAGTCAATACTGACATCGACAGACAAGAAAAACAAATTGAGAGTTATCTACCTTCCATCAATTTGCATTCGTAAAACATTGGCAATTTCTGTACATCATACATGACTAAATTATTCGAGATAAAGACTTACTAACACTAAGGACCAAATGAAATCCCAGTGGGTAACATAAAAAAAATAATAGAAGAGCACTCAGCTAATCAGAAAACAACATTTGTGTGAGGTAAAATAATACTGTATGTTAACTGTTAGTACTACTGCCTGAAAACTGTTAGTACTACTGTATGTTAACTGTTAGTACTACTGTATGTTGTAAATTGTTAGTACTACTGTACTGCTGTATGTTAACTGTTAAGTTAGGACTGCTGTTAATGTTAACTGTTAGTACTACTGTATGTGTAACTGTTAGTACTACTGTATGTTAACTGTTAGTACTGCTGCATGTTAACTGTTAGTACTACTGTATGTGTAACTGTTAGTACTACTGTATGTTAACTGTTAGTACTACTGTATGTTAACTGTTAGTACTACTGTATGTTAACTGTTAGTACTACTGTATGTTAACTGTTAGTACTGCTGAATGTTAACTGTTAGTACAACTGCCTGTAAACTGTTAGTACTACTGTATGTTAACTGTTAGTACTGCTGTATGTTAACTGTTAGTACTGCTGCATGTTAACTGTTAATACTACTGTATGTTAACTGTTAGTACTGCTGAATGTTAACTGTTAGAACTACTGCCTGTACATTGTTAGTACTACTGTATGTTAACTGTTAGTACTACTGCATGTTAACTGTTAGTACTACTGTATGTTAACTGTTAGTACTGCTGCATGTTAACTGTTAGTACTACTGTATGTTAACTGTTAGTAGTACTGCCTGTAAATTGTTAGTACTAGTGTATGTTAACTGTTAGAACTACTGCCTGTAAATTGTTAGTACTACTGTATGTTAACTGTTAGTACTACTGTATGTGTAACTGTTAGTACTGTTAGTACTGCTGTATGTTAATTGTTAGTACTGCTGTATGTTAACTGTTAGTACTACTGTATGTTAACTGTTAGTACTACTGTATGTTAACTGTTAGTACTACTGTATGTTAACTGTTAGTACTGCTGTATGTTAACTGTTAGTACTACTGTATGTTAACTGTTAGTACTGCTGAATGTTAACTGTTAGTACTGCTGAATGTTAACTGTTAGTACTGCTGTATGTTAACTGTTAGTACTACTGTATGTTAACTGTTAGTACTACTGTATGTTAACTGTTAGTACTGCTGAATGTTAACTGTTAATACTGCTGCATGTTAACGGTTAGTACTACTGTATGTTAACTGTTAGTACTGCTGCATGTTAACTGTTAGAACTACTGTATGTTTACTGTTAGTACTGCTGAATGTTAACTGTTAGTACTACTGTATGTTAACTGTTAGTACTACTGTATGTTAACTGTTAGTACTACTGTATGTTAACTGTTAGTACTGCTGTATGTTAACTGTTAGTACTGCTGTATGTTAACTGTTAGTACTGCTGTATGTTAACTGTTAGTACTGTTAGTACTACTGTATGTTAACTGTTAGTACTACTGTATGTTAACTGTTAGTACTACTGTATGTTAACTGTTAGTACTGCTGTATGTTAACTGTTAGTACTGCTGTATGTTAACTGTTAGTACTACTGTATGTTAACTGTTAGTACTACTGTATGTTAACTGTTAGTACTGCTGTATGTTAACTGTTAGTACTGCTGTATGTTAACTGTTAGTACTGCTGTATGTTAACTGTTAGTACTGCTGTATGTTAACTGTTAGTACTGTTACTGTATGTTAACTGTTAGTACTACTGTATGTTAACTGTTAGTACTGCTGTATGTTAACTGTTAGTACTACTGTATGTTAACTGTTAGTACTACTGTATGTTAACCGTTAGTACTACTGCTGTATGTTAACTGTTAGTACTACTGTATGTTAACTGTTGGTACTGTATGTTAACTGTTAGTACCGGCTGTATGTTAACTGTTAGTACTGCTGTATGTTAACTGTTAGTACTGCTGTATGTTAACTGTTAGTACTGCTGTATGTTAACTGTTAGTACTACTGTATGTTAACTGTTAGTACTGCTGTATGTTAATGTTAACTGTGTATGTTAACTGTTACTGCTGTATGTTAACTGTTAGTACTGCTGTATGTTAACTGTTAGTACTGCTGTATGTTAACTGTTAGTACTGCTGTATGTTAACTGTTAGTACCTGTGTATATGTTAACTGTTGTTACTGTACTAACTGTATGTTAACTGTTAGTACTGCTGTATGTTAACTGTTAGTACTACTGTATGTTAACTGTTAGTACTGCTGTATGTTAACTGTTAGTACTACTGTATGTTAACTGTTAGTACTGCTGTATGTTAACTGTTAGTACTGCTGTATGTTAAGTGTTAGTACTGCTGTATGTTAACTGTTAGTACTCCTATATGTTAACTGTTAGTACTACTGTATGTTAACTGTTAGTACTACTGTATGTTAACTGTTAGTACTACTGTATGTTAACTGTTAGTACTGCTATATGTTAACAGTTAGTACTACTGTATGTTAACTGTTAGTACCCGCTGTATGTTAACTGTTAGTACTACTGTATGTTAACTGTTGGTACTGCTGTATGTTAACTGTTAGTACCCGCTGTATGTTAATTGTTAGTACTACTGTATGTTAATTGTTAGTACTGCTGTATGTTAACTGTTGGTACTGCTGTATGTTAACTGTTAGCACTACTGTATGTTAACTGTTAGTACTGCTGTATGTTAACTGTTAGTACTGCTGTATGTTAACTGTTAGTACTGCTGTATGTTAACTGTTAGTACTGCTGTATGTTAACTGTTAGTACTGCTGTATGTTAACTGTTAGTACTGCTGTATGTTAACTGTTAGTACTGCTGTATGTTAACTGTTAGTACTCCTATATGTTAACTGTTAGTACTACTGTATGTTAACTGTTAGTACTACTGTATGTTAACTGTTAGTACTACTGTATGTTAACTGTTAGTACTACTGTATGTTAACTGTTGGTACTGCTGCATGTTAACTGTTAGTACTACTGTATGTTAACTGTTAGTACTACTGTATGTTAACTGTTAGTACTGCTGTATGTTAACTGTTAGTACTACTGTATGTTAACTGTTAGTACCCGCTGTATCTTATCCAGTTACGGCTTGATTATTTTTGTGTTGAGCCTACCTGTTTAGAGACTTGAGAATGTAGTTATAGTTGTTGACCATGAAGATGGGTTTAAGAGCTGGATCACTGTACATCTCTGCCTTGTTGCTGAGGTTCAGGCCCAGCGCAGATAGCACTCTCGCTGGAAGGACAAATAGCAGTACCAATATATATCACAGGTGATAATGATAATTTGTACTATAATTCCATTGCAATAATGAAGCTTACTGACCAAATATGTAAATACCTTCAAACAGGTCATTACTTATTGTGTGTTATAAAGTCCCTGTAATCTGAAACAACCATACAGCCTCACCTATACTCTTTCAACATGAAATAGGAAATAAGTCAACAATAAAGAAGTGAGAGTAAAGAGTGAGTTTAGCAATATTTGAGTGAGTTTAGCTTACCGCTTTTAGCAATATTCCAACAATAAAGAGTGAGTTTTAGCAATATTCCAACAATAAAGAGTGAGTGAGTTTAGCAATATTCCAACAATAAAGAGTGAGTGAGTTGCTTTTACGCTTTAGCAATATTCCAACAATAAAAGTGAGGAGTTAAGCTTTACCGCTTTAGCAATATTCCAACAATAAAGACGCCACTTTTAGCAATATTCCAACAATAAAGAATGAGTGAGTTTAGCTTTACGCCGCTTTTAGCAATATTCCAACAATAAAGAGTGAGTGAGTTAAGCTTTACGGCGCTTTTAGCAATATTCCAACAATAAAGAGTGAGTGAGTTAAGCTTTACGCCGCTTTTAGCAATATTCCAACAATAAAGAGTGAGTGAGTTAAGCTTTACGGAGCTTTTAGCAATATTCCAACAATAAAAGTGAGTGAGTTAAGCTTTTGCTTTTAGCAATATTCCAACAATAAAAGAGTGAGTGAGTGAGTTAAGCTTTAGTTCCTTTTAGCAATATTTTAGTGATTGAGTTAAGCTTTTATAGCAATATTCCAACAATAAAGAGTGAGTGAGTTAAGCTTTACGCCGCTTTTAGCAATATTCCAACAATAAAAGTGAGTGAGTTTAGCTTATTGAGTGAGTTGTTTTGAGTTTAGCTTTACCGCTTATAGCAATATTCCAACAATAAAGAGTGAGTGAGTTAAGCTTTACGCCACTTTCAGCAATATTCCAACAATAAAGAAAGAGGGGACATGATGAAATATTTCAAACATATTGTTGTTCACAAAATAGACATCCATCTATATCTCAGCATCGGTACTAATACATGAACTCATCAGAACTTATACAGAAGTAATAAACGCACAAGTACAATCGCTCAGTACTAACATACTGAAGCAATCACTGACTGTCTTAACCTTATACTACAATGTGTGTTTGGTGTTTCTAGGATACATTATGCCTGGTTGGACCTACTTGTATAATCAGCTAGTTTCAACCTGCAGGCATCAGTCGTTAATGTCGTCTGTGAAGGGGCCGCTTGTTCACCTGAAAGAAACACCACAAACTCCATCAAGATGAAATTCAAGATGCAGAAGATGTCAATATTTCACACACCTTAATTCTTTCTTTGTCAATAGTACTCACTTGATCTGAGTTTAGTTTTCTGCCGCACTCAGCAATATTCCAACTACATGTATATGGCGGTGGTCGGTAAATCATGAAATCTGGACCAGACAATCCAGTGATCAACAGCATGAGCATCAATCTATGCAACTGGGATACAATAACATGTGTCAACCAAGTCAGCAAGTCTGATCACCCGACCCCATCAGTCGCCTCTTACAAGCATGGGTAACTGAAGATCAATTCTAACCCAGATCTTCACGGGATCACTTGATATGAAGCTGATGCACAAGTAAACTATGATACATTTCTCTGTCCCTGTTTTAGGTTGTGTACTACACATCAAGGTACACACTACAGACATAGAGCTACTCTCACCATGCATCAGCAACATGGCCCCTGCTGTCTCAGCATAATCCTGCAGCTGTTCCAGGAAGATGATTGTCTGCAACATGGCAGTCTCAGGTACATAACAGGACAGGTAGAACAACCTGGGATGTGGTGAGGAAGTCAAACATACAACCAACATGCTACCCTATCAAGGAGGCACAGCAAAACGATCTAAGGCTGAAATGACCAGTTCTCTTTCCCAACGACATGGTTACTGACGTCAACACTATTCAAAATTAAGCATTACAGTCTAGGGGTCATGTCCTGCTTGTTTCAAAATGCTTAGTTCAGTATCACAAATCTGAAGGTCCACCATCATCAATACTACAAATGCTTGTATACACACTGACAACTGTCCTCCGTTCCCTGTGAACACACACAACTAATATTGCAGGGTAGTGATCTCTGACTACTTTCAAAAATGAAATGCGGCTGTTTATAACTCAGGGAACTTATCTGAGGCCTACTCCTTTGTTTAACACCAGTCTGACTGGTGTGACATAATCGGAACGAGTTGACCGCCACTTTCAACAATATTCCAGCTATATGGCAGCAGTCTGTAAATAATCAAATCTACACCAGACAATCCAGTGATTGACATCACGACATCGATCTAAGCATCTGGGATATAGTGGCATGTGTCCACTTGATCCTGTTATCCACCTCTGACAACAAGCATAGGCTAATGAAAATCAATTCTAACCAAGATCTTGTTGTCTTAATCTGAAAATGAGTAGTTCAGATGTCCGCAAGACAACAGCATGTTGCATGAGAAATAATATAAGGACAAACTTTATGGATGAACAACTTCTTTATTCTGAATAGAGAAGTTGTTCATCCATAAAGTTTGTCTTTATCTGATTCACCAACTTCTAAATATACCACCAGAGCTAAGAATAACTTTGGGGGTCATTGAGTTGTGTACTCGCTGGTGTTCATCTCAATTGGGTATCCTAATTTTCCTCTGAGTAACCAAATATATTGTACCCACCTCACTCAAATTCAGTTGGGTATTTGGGCATTTTCCATTAATTGTACAAACATAATAAAGTTTAAATGTTGGTTTACATATTTGTTATTTATATTTGATCAGTGATATGAGAAAAGATAAGAAAGACTGCACTGACTGACTGACTGACTGAGTTTAGTTTTACGCCGCTTTTAGCAATATTCCAGCAATATCACGGCGGGGGACACCAGAAATGGGCTTAACACATTGTGCCCATGTGGGGAATCGAACCCGGGTCTTCGGCGTGACAAGCGGACGCTTTAACCACTAGGCTACCCCACCGACCCAGAAAGACTGCAAGTTGCCAAGTTCAAGTGCTGAAATTGAAACTCTCAATATACCTCAGTTACTTAATCTATCCTCAGTAACCTCTAAGTTAAGATTTGACATTTTTGTGTGTATGCATGTAAGATCAAATTTATTGAGTATTTACAAAAATTCAAGCGCACTTGTACGCAACAGACTTAATATGAATTGAGTTTTCACATAAATGTTTGCGTAATTTACGACTGTTTACAAACCCTGTGAAGTACTCATGATAAACACCAATGGCAGACAGGGACCCTCAGTCTCTAACAATCAGTGAATATGCACAACATTAAGTAAAGTACTCATGATAAACACCGATGGTAGACAGGGACCCTCAATCTCTAACAATGAGTGAATATGCACAACATTAAGTAAAGTACTCATGATAAACACCGATGGTAGACAGGGACCCTCAATCTCTAACAATCAGTGAATATGCACAACATTAAGTAAAGTACTCATGATAAACACCGATGGTAGACAGGGACCCTCAATCTCTAACAATCAGTGAATATGCACAACATTAAGTAAAGTACTCATGATAAACACCGATGGTAGACAGGGACCCTCAGTCTCTAACCATGAGTGAATATGCACAACATTAAGTAAAGTACTCATGATAAACACCGATGGTAGACAGGGACCCTCAATCTCTAACAATCAGTGAATATGCACAATATTAAGTAAAGTACTCATGATAAACACCTATGGTAGACAGGGACCCTCAGTCTCTAACCATGAGTGAATATGCACAACATTAAGTAAAGTACTCATGATAAACACCGATGGTAGACAGGGACCCTCAATCTCTAACAATCAGTGAATATGCACAACATTAAGTAAAGTACTCATGATAAACACCGATGGTAGACAGGGACCCTCAATCTCTAACAATCAGTGAATATGCACAACATTAAGTAAAGTACTCATGATAAACACTGATGGTAGACAGGGACCCTCAGTCTCTAACCATGAGTGAATATGCACAACATTAAGTAAAGTACTCATGATAAACACCGATGGTAGACAGGGACCCTCAATCTCTAACAATCAGTGAATATGCACAACATTAAGTAAAGTACTCATGATAAACACCGATGGTAGACAGGGACCCTCAGTCTCTAACCATGAGTGAATATGCACAACGTTAAGTAAAGTACTCATGATAAACACTGATGGTAGACAGGGACCCTCAGTCTCTAACCATGAGTGAATATGCACAACATTAAGTACAGATGAAACGTTGGTAACACTCACATGGTTGGCTAGTTCATGTACAGTACCGTCTCGAGGCATAGCTTTGTCAGAATCGTTCTGAAAACACATAACATCGTCACAATTGGAACATGAATATAACTTCTCAAAGAAATAGCATAATACTACCATAAAATCTCCGACCAGATCATACTATTTCTGATTTATTGAAATATATATTCATGAAACTCCATTGTGCAACAAAGTTGAAAATTTTAACTATAAATTGTATATTTATATACTTATCCTATCTCACGACTTGCACCTCTCTCTCTTCATTCGACCATGTGTGGAAACGAATTAAAACTTTGCTCCAGTCCTACCTTGTCCCTCTCCCATGCTGTGCGTGCCTTCCTCTCTCAGTCGTGCTCACTAGTCCATGACAGCACGAGGCATGCACAGTCCTCACCCACGTGATCACCTCACATACTCATTCTCGATCTTGGAGCCATAAAAGGACAAAACCGAAACGGTGGTAATCTATGTAGTGGGGAGGTAGGGAGGGACTTTATCGCGTGAGATAGGATAAGTATATAAATATACAAGTTATAGTTAAAATTTTCAAATTTGTAAACTTATCCTATCTCACGTCATGCACTTATCCCACAGTAGGAAGGTGGGTCATAGATTACCCGAAATTCAAGCGATAACAGCTAAGTGTTATGCCCAAACAGCCGTAGGAAGCAACTACAAGGTAGGCCAATAACTACCAAGTTACTACGTGCGAGGGTTAGTTCGAACCCATTGACTTTACTAAGCACAATTGCTCCCAGGGACCGAGATTCCCGAAAGCAATGTGGTGTTCAGTCACTACCTTCACAAAGTGAAAGGACGAGCTTAACGAAAGTGTAATCAGTCGCATCGCCACGATTTCCAAGGTACCCCTGTAATAAAAGTCTAACGACTAGTATCGGGCCAGCCCCTGCTTCAAACAACCCCCACAGACACCGCCCCAAGGAGGGTGAAAGAGAAATTGAATCGGTAAAACTCACAATTTTAACGCTCAGTACCACAACATCATCTTATGACTTCCACTACTTACCACAGTAAGATCACATAGATGTGTATAGGCACTTAGGAGCATGAACGCTAACGGCGTAACACTGAAGGACTCACTTCACTGACTTAATTACTCCGTGGAGCAGAGGACAGTAAGTGAGGTGGCAACTCTCTGTAGTCTCAAACAAATGAGAGGAGAAATCTAAATCCCGGAAGAAATAAGGACGTAAATCAGAACAAGTTTTTTAGATTTATTCAGATTGTACACAAGCAGAAACGATTGTGACTTGGGATCAACTGCACAGTGGGATCCATATAGCATCGAAGCACAAGGAAGTTCATTATCTGCGATGTTGTGCCGCTGACAACTGCTGGGCAAGGACGAGTGGTCCAAACTGATGAAGGCCTTGAATATCCGACACCGACACATCTCTGAGGTAATGAGATGAAAATACCGTGTCAGATCGCCAAAAACAATCCTCCATTATGGCAGTTAACGAGCAGTTGCTATGCAACGCCATAGTAGAAGCCAATGCCCTGGTTTCATGAGGGTTGACTGCCGTAGGTGGTGGCAAACCGGCAAAAGTGTAGGCTCGTGAGTATTGTAGCTCAGAGCCAATATGAGAGTGTTAGCGAGAGACTTCGCCTTGGAAGCAATAGACAAGGGTATAAACAGTCTCTTACGCAGACGGGCGGGCGCCTTTGGCGATGCTTTAAGGTAACGCCACGGCGTAACACTTCGGGAATGACTCACTTCACTGACGTAATTACTCCGTGGAGCAGAGGACAGTCAGTGAGGTGGCGACCCTTCAGCGTCTCAAAAGTGAGACCTGCGATGGTCAGTTCGAACCCATTGACTTACTAAACACAAGTGCTCCAGGGACCAGGATTCCCGAACAATGTGGTGTTCAGTCACTACCTTCATGAAAGTGAAAGGACGCAGCTTAGCGAGTGTAAACAGTCGCATTACCACAATTTCCAGGTCTGACAACCAGTATCGGGACAGCCCCTGCTTCGAAACAACCCCCACAGACACCGTCCTGTGGAGGGTGAAAGGTAATTGAATCGGAAACTCACAAGTCCCAGAAGAATCGAAGACACAAATCAGAAATAAAATTCAGAATTTTATTCAGATTGTACACAAAGCAGAAACGATCGCAACTGGTGATCATCTGTGCTGAAGCTGATGGTTGTTCCGAGTGCCGAACAGGCGATAATGACAGTGCTGAATTCCAATTCGTTGTGATGAAGGGCCCTTTCTCCTGATGACCACTGCTAGGCCACTTGATGGAGAAAGTGAGCCCCCCAGCTTGCAAGATGTGCCAACGAATAGGTGTTGAGTCGGTATGAAGGGAACCCTAGAGACTCCAACACAAACATTCCACTTGTTGAGCCACCAACGAAAAGACCGAATGTAGTTGTAAAGCGGAAGACTAATCAACTCCCTGGGGTTGTCGCCCCCATGTATGGGCACAGAACCATCTGAAGAGGGCAAGCTGCAGCTGGCCCCTGTAAGTCAGCGCTTGTGCCGATGCCAACCACCCTAGTAACTTCTGCCACTGGCGAAAAGGTGTGGGTTGGACCAACACTAGTGGTGCGTTGCACTGAATCTTGTCCCACCTCTCCTGGGGCACCAACATCATGACCTGGCGTGTTGAATATTGTCCCAATAAGAAGAAATCAGCGGGTCGGTGTTACCCCTGATTGCTCCGAATTTAGCAGCCCTCCTAATTGCGTGAGCAACTTGATCATGAACTGTCTGGAAAGGAAGGACGACTGGACCCTGCTGGGCTTGAACACAGTCGTCGATATTGTTGTCAATTGTCACGCTTCGACAATGCAGGTAGCTTGTTATCAGAATGGGTATGAGTAAAAAGCCACGGGGCTGCACATATGCCCATACAGCAGGATCCTCCATTGGTATCAATGACGCCTCATAAAAGTAAATCGAAGATACTTCCGATAGTCTGGATGTATCCGGATGTGAAGGTAGGCGTCCCACAGGTCGAGGGACTGACTGACTGACTGACTGAGTTTAGTTTAGCAATAATCCAGCAAGATCACGGCGGGGGGCACCAGAAATGGGCTTAACACATTGTGCCCATGTGGGGATCGAACCGGGGTCTTGGGCGTGATGAGTCAACGCTTTAACCACTAGGCTACCCCACGGCCATCGCAGGTCGAGGGAAATGAGAGGTCTAACCACTCTTGCATCTGACAAAAAGATATCTCCTGATATAAGAACGTTCAATAAGTCGAGCAGCTACGTCAGTTCTGTCGGAGTGCTCAATGTAGTATGTTCGGCGCATGGAGATTGTCAGTCAACCTACAGGAACGTTCACATTATAAACAAATTGTAGAAAATTCGTAGGATCGGTGACCTCAGGAACGTTTCTTTTGGCCGAACAAAACAATGGTGCGCCAGGTGGAGTGATATAGGTAGTAGATCGCTGCCTGGTGACAGTCCTTGCATAATGCAGTGACCTCTGAACTCAGTGCTTGAACTAGCAAACCATTCACGGATGTTTCTGTCCGTCACCCTCAATAAGCAGTCTCTCTCGACTGGCTGTCCAAATCCCGACACATTCACTCTTACCGGGAATGGCAGCGTTCGTTGTTACTTGCATTTAAAGGCTGGACTTGGTATCCGATTCGTGGGACCAAGAGAATTCTGCAAGGGCACTTCATAGTCACTCTAATCATCAAAATTCCGGTAAACAAACAGTAGTCCGCCATCTGCAAACGTTACACACGAGTGACAAAAAATACGGACAACATGGTCTTTGGTTAACCGGACGAGTCGCAACCCATAAATTCCGGCTGAGCTATGCTGGCTATTTGACAAAACATTGCTGGTACCATGCGTAAGAACTTCACCCATTTGTTATCTGTCCAGAAACTTGCTTATCATGTAAAACAAAGGGAGCTGAAGATGACGAGCCATCTGCAACAATTGCACCCAGTGATACATAAACACGCTGTTACCATTAGTCTGTAGTAACAAGACTCATCGGAGCATCGTAGAGTATTCCTGGCTAGTAAGTTTATCTAGTTATGCCATATCGAAAGTGGTTGCAGAACTGACATCTACACCGAAGGGTAGAATCGTTGAACGAATCATTCATCAAAAGTGAAGATCGATGGTAGATTAAATCTGAATGAGATGATCCCCGGTCACGGAGGACTCTTGAGAACTGGGATCGCCAGGTCAAGTGCCGGCGTGATATCTCTAGATGATGGCGCTTACTAGCATCACATGTAAATCAAACGGCATGGTGAAGCACATAGCTACTACCTCTGTACATTGATCTTGAACGGCCAGGTGATCTGGTTCGACGATAGGGAGCTTTCGACCTGGTGAAACGGTACGAGCCGGCTGTAAAATCAGTTCAGGGTGGTGAGCCGGAAAGTTGACGTGATCTGAATCAGTCCGATGTGATCTGAATCGTGACTGATCTGGATCGGTTCGGTAAACCGAAACGGTTAAATGATCTCTGATGTAGAGATCTAGAACGCTCAGATGAACCGGTGAGGCGAGGTGAAATGTTCCGGCCGAGGTGAATCGTTTCGGTGCTGTGAATTGAATCGATGATGTGAACTGTTTCGGCGATAAGAAACAGTCTTAATATTATGGCGAACTGAGTCGATGTCGTATTCACATACGGCGTGGCGAAACGGTTCGGTCTGGTGAATCCATTCGGTATGGCAAACCGATTCTGTGTGGTGAATCGGTTCGGCGATTTGACGGTTCGGTCTGGTGAATCCATTTGGTATGGCGAACCGATTCGGTGTGGTGAATCGGTTCGGCAATTTGACGGTTCGGTCTGGTGAAACCATTCGGTATGGCGAGCCGATTCGGTGTGGTGAATCCATTCGGTATGGCGAACCGATTCGGTGTGGTGAATCCATTCGGTATGGCATTTTGACGATGTAGATCGGATGTGTGAGTCAACTGGCAACACAGAGCGTTTTGATGAGGCGGAACCACGAGAAGACATCTAATGATGCGCCCATAAAATTATCACCGTCCGACATGGGAATCTGCGGACGACGAGCAGTTAATACCGGTCGTTAAAAGCGGGGGTTTGTCGGGTGATCAACTGTTGAAGTGTAACGAGCTCTGTCAGCCAGCCATCGGGAGCAAGCATGTCTACATGCTCTAAAAACGTCCTTAATAAGGGAGCACATTCCCGACGTTTGCTCCAGGAACATGACGATTGGAGATCCGAGGAAGTAAATATTGTTACAGTGTGCGCAAAATTACGCTACTGAGTCTAGACTGACAAGACGGGATATCCTGATTCACCTGAAGTGAATGAGACCGACTACGAGAATCACTCTGACGAAACCACACCGTACGGCTAGGTGAACCGGATTGAAATGGCCAACCACCTCGACCAGGTGAGACTGAACGACTACGGGAATCAAAACGCTGTGGTGAATTGATTCGACTATGAGATGTGCGTCAAACTGAAACCTATGTTGAGGTGAACTGAGTCGGGAATGTGAACCCGTTCGTCCTGGTGAACCCCTTCGATTACGTGAATCAGTTCGGTCAGGTGAACCCATTCGATCACGTGAATCAGTTCGGTCAGGTGAACCCATTTGATGACGTGAATCAGTTCGGTCAGGTGAAACCCCTACGAGTACATGAAACAGTACGGCCAGAGGAACCCATTCGACTACGTGAATCAGTTTGATCAACTGAACTCATTCGAGGATGTTGTGGTGAGCCGGCTCGGCAGGGTGAGCCGGTTCGGCCTGGTCAGCCGGTTCGGCCGTGTCAGCCGGTTCGGCAGGGTGAGCCGGTTCGGCAGGGTGAGCGGGCTCAGCGGGGTGAGCCGGCTTGGGAAAGTGAACGAGACCTCGAACGACTTCTCCCAGCCGTGGCAATAGGAGAGCGGGTACGTTCCAACCACGCCGATCCCTGCTTCGACGATGAATGCTTAGAAGTTCTCGAAATCTGTGATCGTTCCGAAGAAGCAGACCTACGAGATAATGTAGATCGCAGGTCTGGCGTAGAAGAAATATCGGTCATTACCACCCTGGTACGCTCATGAGAACTTAAACTGGGTGAGGGAAGCTCCCCTAAAAGCCTTCTAACGTTCTCAGATAAATAGGAAACCGACGAAGCGTCCATAAATCTTCGTCAGGAGAGACGGGCGATTGAGAACGGTGAGCAGTGAGGGTGGGGCGATCTAAGCATTGTTTCTTAGCGGGAGATGGACCAGACCCCGCAGAATTAGTCCTAGCCCTATCTGCCAAACGTCTGGCACAAGCACGTTTGTAAGATTTAAACGCCTCATTAGACAGACCTGAACACTTCGGATAGCGTGTGTCCCAATCAACACACGATGTGTGTGGGTCCCATGCTGAAAATACTTTATTACAACAGGCGCAAAACTTCCGTTTACTGGCCTGAACAGGCTTAACCATTTTGAGCAAATCTCAGACGAAAAAATTTTCACGTCCACTCAGTGGAGCGACAAGAAAGAGAATGAGTATGTGAGGTGATCACGTGGGTGAGGACTGCACATGCTTCGTGCTGTCATGGACTAGTGAGCACGACTGAGACAGGAAGGCACGCACAGCACGGGAGAGGGACAAGGTAGGCCTGGAGCAAAGTTTTAATTCGTTTCCACTCATGGTCGAATGAAGAGAGAGAGGTGCAAGTCGTGAGATAGGATAAGTTTAAAATTATGGAAACTGAAGTGACCCAAAGCCTTTGTTCTTTTGACAGGTTCAAGAGAATCTCCATCCTTATTTTTATAAATTTTTATACCATTTGAAAAAACTCACCCGAACACTGTCATTGAATTCTTCTAGTGCCTTGGCTCCCTGGAAGAAACAAGAGAGTTTCAACATAGTTAACACAGCTACAGACATGACAAGTCTATTTCATCACTGATAACAACGATCACCTCAATGATAAGGAGAAAACCAAGGACACATACTTGGTGTATGAGCTTTTCTTAAAATATATCTCATCTACTATTCATAACAGGTGAAGTGAGGTGAAATGGGGTTTAACGTCACACGTAAAAGTATTTTGCTCATATGACTGACTGACTGACTGAGTTTGGTTTTACGCCGCTTTTAGCAATATTCCAGCAACATCACGGCGGGGGACACCAGAAATGGGCTTCACACATTGTACCCATGTGGGGATTCGAACCCAGGTCTTCGGCGTGACGAGCCAACGCTTTAATCACTAGGCTACCCCACCGCCCCTTGCTCATATGACGACGTGCATGCATGTCTATGTGTGTCTGTTTGTATCAGCTCAGACTTAAGCTGGTTATATAGTGCTAGCTCACTGAGATACCATGCAGCAGTGAAGCATGAATACCCCACTCAGACACATTATACTGACTCCGGGCCGACCAGTCCTTGTTGTAGCCATTAATGCCAAGAGCCAGGCAGGGACCAACAAGTACCATATTTTGACATCTTTTGGTATGACGCGGTCGGGGATCGAACCCGCGACCTTCTGCTCTCCTTGCAGACGCTCTAACCACTACACCACGGAGGTGGGCCTATTCATAACAGAGCTATTGACTTGATAAACATGATTAAGCCAAGGCTAAACAAAAAGAGAACTCCTTACTGTACTGTCTAAAGTTGAAAGTAAGGAGATCAGCTTGGACCTTGTTGGTGCTTGGCATCCCTGAAACACATACACACATTGATCAGCACAAAGTAGAGACTAGTTCACACTGCATACATTCTTTCAAAGATATCTAAGAGTATCTCAAAATTAATTATACTTGTGAAAGCTCATATTTTATCATTTGTTTATAAAAATCTGATAGCAAAGAAGCTTTCACAAGAAAGATTATTTGAAGATAAGACCACAGGTATGTAAGTCTGTCTGGCAGAGTGGGATGAGCTGCCATCGAAAACTAAGGGAGACAACTGTGGAAAGCTGCTTTACCCTAACTTTAGCAAATTGACAATAAGACATCATTTGCTGGTTACCTCAAGTATTAAATCAAATTCTGGTCTGACTGTTCGAAGGTGTTTTACTATTGGGAATATAGACAACACTGCTGTAAATTCATGCCGACCAATGTTTCTCTTGGCAGTTGTATCCAACATCTGAAAACAGAATCATAATCCTGGATTACTTGTTTGTTTGTTTAACATAGCACTTGACAAAATATTCCAGCTTTATGACTGTGGTCTATAAATAAACAACCCAGTGATAGATATCATGAACATCAATCTATGCAACTGGGACACGATGACATATGTCCACCAAGTCAGTGTGGCTGACCACCAAGCTGTTAGTCACCTCTTGTCACAAGCATGGGTTGCTGAAGACTGACTCAGCGATCTCATGGGACATATTTTATTTACAGCCAATGAGCTCCCTTGCTCTTTTTAGTGCAGGGCAGGTTAAGGCCAAGGTCGTCAATGGCGAACAGGCACGACACAATATTCTGTTTGCGATGAATATATGTACGTAAACTCATCATGACAGTGAGGTGTAAGTGCCTCCGAAAGAATGGCAACTAGCGCGCTGACAGGTGACATAAGTTCAACATGTTTTGGTGAATGTTGTTTGTGTATACTGTGAAATAAACAAGAAAATGGGTGAAATACCGCTACAAAATCTGAGCAGGGAGTTAGGCTCGAAATCGAGAAATCACGATTTTTCAAGCTTCCGAAGACTCTAGCTCCCAAAGTACTGCTTCGATTTTTAAGCTGTATGTCTTATTTTGTAGGTAAATCTATTGGCTTGAAATGTGTGCATACTTTAAATGGGATAAATACAGTGAGCATTGTTTAATTCGCCTTGAAACGAATTTAGTGTGTTCACCTCGTTACATCCCTTTCCTGTTATATAGTACTAAGACCCCGTCAGTGACAGTACATACCCTGATGGCAGCTTTTAGCGTTACAAGCCCCTGAAATCCAGGATACCAACTACAACTCAACAATGCTTCCATATATTCTCACTTCAATACACTTGGTAAAACAACAACATACTTCTTGGTCCTTATTAAAGCCTACTGTGACGTACCTCTCCTTCACTGACTATCATATCCAGGGCCTGCTGGACAGTGTTGTCAAAGATGTTTCGTTGATACTTCTCTGGAATGATGCCCATCATCAGATGAGACTCGCTCTGAAAAATAGCGTTTCAGTTACCGGTATGTCAAGCTATCAATATCTGTAAGTAAAAGTATTTCCTGTTTTGAGTTTATCAGATCTAGCAATTTCAGAACACAAATGTCAAAGTCACCAGCCCAACATCCATCCTGCATGGGTCTAAGGAGAGCTGTGAGCTGTACTGGTCAGTCTCCCAAACCTACATGCACGAGTCTCAGGAGAGCTGTGAGCTGTGAGCTGTACTGGTCAGTCTCCCAACCCTACCTGCATGACTCTCAGGGGAGCTGTGAGCTGTGAGCTGTACTGGTCAGTCTCCCAACCCTACCTGCATGACTCTCAGGAGAGCTGTGAGCTGTGTGATGTACTGGTCAGTCTCCCAACCTTACCTGCATGACTCTCAGCGGGAGCTGTGAGCTGTACTGGTCAGTCTCCCAACCCTACCTGCATGAGTCTCAGGAGAGCTGTGAGCTGTGTGATGTACTGGTCAGTCTCCCAACCCTACCTGCATGAGTCTCAGGAGAGCTGTGAGCTGTGTGATGTACTGGTCAGTCTCCCAACCCTACCTGCATGAGTCTCAGGAGAGCTGTGAGCTGTGTGATGTACTGGTCAGTCTCCCAACCCTACCTGCATGAGTCTCAGGAGAGCTGTGAGCTGTGTGATGTACTGGTCAGTCTCCCAACCCTACCTGCATGAGTCTCAGGAGAGCTGTGAGCTGTGTGTGATGTACTGGTCAGTCTCCCAACCCTACCTGCATGAGTCTCAGGAGAGCTGTGAGCTGTGTGATGTACTGGTCAGTCTCCCAACCCTACCTGCATGAGTCTCAGGAGAGCTGTGAGCTGTGTGATGTACTGGTCAGTCTCCCAACCCTACCTGCATGAGTCTCAGGAGAGCTGTGAGCTGTGTGATGTACTGGTCAGTCTCCCAACCCTACCTGCATGAGTCTCAGGAGAGCTGTGAGCTGTGTGATGTACTGGTCAGTCTCCCAACCCTACCTGCATGAGTCTCAGGAGAGCTGTGAGCTGTGTGATGTACTGGTCAGTCTCCCAACCCTACCTGCATGAGTCTCAGGAGAGCTGTGAGCTGTGTGATGTACTGGTCAGTCTCCCAACCCTACCTGCATGAGTCTCAGGAGAGCTGTGAGCTGTGTGATGTACTGGTCAGTCTGAGCCCAACCCTACCTGCATGAGTCTCAGGAGAGCTGTGAGCTGTGTGATGTACTGGTCAGTCTCCCAACCCTACCTGCATGAGTCTCAGGAGAGCTGTGAGCTGTGTGATGTACTGGTCAGTCTCCCAACCCTACCTGCATGAGTCTAAGGAGAGCTGTGAGCTGTGTGATGTACTGGTCAGTCTCCCAACCCTACCTGCATGAGTCTCAGGAGAGCTGTGAGCTGTGTGATGTACTGGTCAGTCTCCCAAGCCTACCCATGAGTCTGCTGTGTGATGAGTCAGTCTCCCAACCCTACCTGCATGAGTCTGTGAGCTGTGTGATGTACTGGTCAGTCTCCCAACCCTACCTGCATGAGTCTCAGGAGAGCTGTGAGCTGTGTGATGTACTGGTCAGTCTCCCAACCCTACCTGCATGAGTCTCAGGAGAGCTGTGAGCTGTGATGTCTCCCAACCCTACCTGCATGAGAGTCTCAGGAGAGCTGTGAGCTGTGTGATGTACTGGTCAGTCTCCCAACCCTACCTGCATGAGTCTCAGGAGAGCTGTGAGCTGTGTGATGTACTGGTCAGTCTCCCAACCCTACCTGCATGAGTCTCAGGAGAGCTGTGAGCTGTGTGATGTACTGGTCAGTCTCCCAACCCTACCTGCATGAGTCTCAGGAGAGCTGTGAGCTGTGTGATGTACTGGTCAGTCTCCCAACCCTACCCTCAGGAGAGCTGTGAGCTGTGTGATGTACTGGTCAGTCTCCCAACCCTACCTGCATGAGTCTCAGGAGAGCTGTGAGCTGTGTGATGTACTGGTCAGTCTCCCAACCCTACCTGCATGAGTCTCAGGAGAGCTGTGAGCTGTGTGATGTACTGGTCAGTCTCCCAACCCTCAGGAGCTGTGAGCTGTGTGATGTACTGGTCATCCCAACCCTACCTGCATGAGTCTCAGGAGCTGTGAGCTGTGTGATGTACTGGTCAGTCTCCCAACCCTACCTGCATGAGTCTCAGGGGAGCTGTGAGCTGTGTGATGTACTGGTCAGTCTCCCAACCCTACCTGCATGAGTCTCAGGAGCTGTGAGCTGTGTGATGTACTGGTCAGTCTCCCATGAGTCTCAGGAGAGCTACCTGCATGAGTCTCTCAGGAGAGCTGTGAGCTGTGTGATGTACTGGTCAGTCTCCCAACCCTACCTGCATGAGTCTCAGGAGAGCTGTGAGCTGTGTGATGTACTGGTCAGTCTCCCAAGCCTACCTGCATGACTCTCAGGAGAGCTGTGTGATGTACTGGTCAGTCTCCCAACCCTACCTGCATGAGTCTCAGGACAGCTGTGAGCTGTGTGATGTACTGGTCAGTCTCCCAAGCCTACCTGCATGAGTCTCAGGAGAGCTGTGAGCTGTGTGATGTACTGGTCAGTCTCCCAAGCCTACCTGCATGAGTCTCAGGAGAGGTGTGAGGTGTGTGATGTACTGGTCAGTCTCCCAACCCTACCTGCATGAGTCTCAGGAGAGCTGTGAGCTGTGTGATGTACTGGTCAGTCTCCACATCCAAATGTTCCTCCTTGATGCTCTCTGTTGATGACCCCTGCCTTCTATGACCTGACAGTCAACAACATGAAATATCTTCTAGAACATGTTATAATGCCATGAAGTATTGTGGCCCCTCCTTTACATAAAGTATCTCCAAACACAGATAAAGTACATTAGTCTTTAGTGAGTCAGTGAAGTTTACATCAATGATCATCTTTACAATGTTTCAGCAATATTATGGACACCTGCTGAAGAGTCCACAGTGTTGTAGGTTGTACACATTCAACACTAAGCCCAAACAAACAAACATGTGTTGTATACAGACAGACCTGGGACCTAGTACCTCTGACAAGCAGGTGCTGTCACAGCTAAGGGACACAACTTGAAGATGTTCAACTGCTTAGCATGGACAACAATCTTACCTGGTTCAAATGGTGACCTCCCTGCCATGAGAGTGGAGGATGCCTTTTTGAAACCTTTTAACCTGAAATACAAAAAGATTTAAAAACAACTTCAGTTGGTACAAGATACTTCATTCAAAAGCAGGTTGGGTTAATATTGAAACTGTTTTCATAGAATTGATTGTTACTAATTATGGATTCACTAACTAGTTTTCATCATCCTTTATAACAGCAGACTTAAACACTTACTTCATTTTCTTCATGCTCTTTCTCACTGGTGTATCTTTGGTCCCACGGAATTTGTTATTCTAAAAGAATCAGGAAAATATGTCAAACATACATTCTTTTGTTATTTGAAAAGAATACCTTTATATAGATCTATACCATTCACAGATTACTTGGAAACTGATTCTAAAATCAGAAATTTACTAATAAAATAGGCTCGCTAGAGACTTACACTAGTCTTGTATGAGTCTTGTATGAGTGATAATAACTAGCCTATTTCCCCAAGAGTGAGTGACTTTGTGAATATTGATTTGCATCAGAGTCAAACACTATTCCAGCTTTGGCCTGTTCAGATTCTGTCACAGTCTAGAGTATCAGCAATTAATCCTGGACACATACTGGCATTAATGCCATTATCTAGTACACACATCCCCAGGTCACACAGAGCAACTACCTAGGACACACATCCTCTGATCAAACAGAGCAACTACCTAGGACACACATCCCCAGGTCACATACAACAACTATCTAGGACACATACAGCAACTACCTAGGACACACATCCCCAGGTCACATACAGCAACTACCTAGGACACACATACCCAGGTCACATACAGCAACTACCTAGGACACACATCCCCAGGTCACATACAACAACTATCTAGGACACACATACCCAGGTCACATACAGCAACTACCTAGGACACACATCCCCAGGTCACATACAACAACTATCTAGGACACACATACCCAGGTCACATACAGCAACTACCTAGGACACACATACCCAGGTCACATACAGCAACTACCTAGGACACACATACCCAGGTCACATACAGCAACTACCTAGGACACACATCCCCAGGTCACATACAACAACTATCTAGGACACATACAGCAACTACCTAGGACACACATCCCCAGGTCACATACAACAACTATCTAGGACACATACAGCAACTACCTAGGACACACATCCCCAGGTCACATACAACAACTATCTAGGACACATACAGCAACTACCTAGGACACACATCCCCAGGTCACATACAACAACTATCTAGGACACATACAGCAACTACCTAGGACACACATCCCCAGGTCACATACAGCAACTACCTAGGACACACATACCCAGATGATATATTTGTTCCCTGCATTCTATCTAACATGATACACCAACACATATACAGTGAAGCCCCGTTAGTCCGGACTCCGATAATCCGGATGTCTCGCCTCCCGGGCGATTTCAGCTTGTTACCAATCTATGCCTATATAATTTGCCTCGATAATCCGGAAATTCGGTTTCCGGAACCGGACGGTAAGTAGCTGTCACCAATCAGTAAAATAAACAGTAAATTGCTTCACAGTTCGAACGCTGTAAGTCGTGTTCATGAACCGTAACAACACCTCCCGGCGATGTTTACTTAATTAACTGGCCAACTGGGTTGTTGTTTTAATTAGACATTAAAAGCTCCCGACTGAAGATGCTGTACATTTACACTTTGATTGACACCACAATACAAAGGCGTGGATGACAAGTGAGCTGTTTTGTGATTGGTTAATGTACTTTGACAGACAGATGCGTCCGTGGACTTAAAGTGATTTTGCTTTACGACAATGCTGCAAGTCACAAGTGTGCTTCGCTAACTTTGCGAAATGTGACCAAACACCACGTCTCATATTCAACCGATGGATGCAGGAATAATTCGGACATTCAAGGCATACTACAATAGATCGCTTGTTAGACATTACCTCACCTGTGCTGAGGAAGGACGTGATCAGACACGTCGGATCAACATGCGGATGTCACTCGGTAAAATTATTGATGTGATGAATTAAGCTTTACATTAAATGCTTATTTGTTTTATCCAGATTTGTGTCGTTTTTGTAATAGTTAGGGAAGCAACTTGGGTCTTGATTCAGTACGGAGAAACGCAACCGTCCGGATTAACGAGGCTTCACTGTAGGTTATTTTCCCTCAGATAAGGCTACATCAACCCCCATCCAGCTTCTTGTACACACCGTGGCAGGAGAATGTTGCCCCACGTGGGTGGTGCTGCTTCCACTTGAGGTCTTCAGATGTTCCTTCAGGCTGCCAGAAACATTCACAATAAATAGCAACACAGGTGTCGGTCATAATGGACACAGGGAACACAGTCAACCTGAAGATGGAATGACCAGATCCCAAACATCACAGGTGAACAACACACACTGCTGACAGGGATTACATATGTTAGCTGGAGGAGAAAAACACCTATCTATACACATTCGATAATTAGGCTGAGCAATGCAGAGAAAAACATGATTAAATGACTTCAGAAAAGGAGTTAACTTACGGGCCTCTAGAATATGTTGTACTGACACAACATCTCTAAACTTTAGCACCTCTCACATAACCTCCGATGAAGGGAATACTGACTTTCATCTTGATTTAGGAGGGAGTGGTTATATACTTTTGTAACAACATTCAAGTCCCATCACAACAAGGGACAGCAAGAAAGGGCCTCACTATATCCAGGTGAGAAATAGAACCTGGAAATTGAGGGAAGGCAATAACACAGAGGTACAAACATGTTGTTGTTATCAGAATAATTAGGTTATAGTTTCCTACCCCTGTAAAGACTTGGTCAGCATGCTGGCCCTTGCAGTGTAGTAGTACTTGGTGAACTCGGTGGAGTTGTCGTTGGCCACCAGCCACTTGGAGATGTCACTGAGCTGCTCCACTACCTTCTCTGGCAGGTGCTCCAGAGCAAACAGGTCTGTGTCTGTCCCCACCGGGGGCAGTTCTATAACACAGGAGGGCATAGTGATACACATGGCTCGACAGTCTGGTCCTCAAGGTATAATGGCTCGCCAGGCACTCTACAAGTACAATCCTTTACAATAGATGCCCTTCTCCCCATGCTTTCATCAGTGCCCCTCCAAATACCTTCATCAGTGCCCCTGCTACATGCCTTCATCAGTGCCTCTTCTACATGCCTTCAACTGTTGCCCTATACATGCCTTCATGAATGCCCCCTTCTACATACCTTTATCAGTGCCCCTTCTACATACCTTCATCAGTGACCCTTCTACATACTTTCATCAGTGCCCCTTCTACCCTTCATCAGTGCCCCATCTACATGCCTTCATCAGTGCCCCTTCTACATGCCTTCATCAGTGCCCCTTCTCCATACCTTCATCAGTGACCCTTCTACACCTTCATCAGTGCCCCCTTCTACATACCTTTATCATACTTTCATCAGTGCCCCTACATACCTTCATCTTCTTTCATCAGTGCCTTCTACATGCCTTCATCAGTGCCCCTTCTACATGCCTTCATCAGTGCCCCTTCTACATGCCTTCATCAGTATCCCATCTACATATTTTTATCAGTGACCCTTCTACATGCCTTCATCAGTGACCAATCTACATTTCTTCATTAGTGCCCCTTCTACATGCCTTCATCAGTGCCCCTTCTACATGCCTTCATCAGTGCCCCATCTACATGCCTTCATCAGTGCCCCTTCTACATGCCTTCATCAGTGCCACTTCTACATGCCTTCATCAGTGCCCCATCTACATACCTTCATCAGTGCCTATCAGGTCCATGATTAGGATAGGTGGTACAGGACGACCATGTCGAGTCAACAGGGCACGGAACTCATGCTGTAGATTTTCTTTGCCATCATCATAGATCCTTGTCTGTGGGATTGACAATGCAAAACTTACCACATGATCATAAACATCATCATCAATATTTGAGGGATGTACATCATAAATGAATTGCTAATGTTATCAGTAGTTGTTTGATTTAAAAGAACAACCCAAAAATGAAATTTTTAGAGTAAAATTAATATTTTTATACTTATCCTGACTCATGCTTATTGCTTGTCTTCTTCTTCTTGCGAACATAGTGGAACACTTGTATCTCCCAATTGAAGCTCCCTTCAATAAAAAATCACTCATTAGTACTCACCCCGAGTTACCTCCCTTCCACAAGCGCGGGAACGAGGGCGCCACCCAAGCCCATGTGCCTCACTCTCTCCTTTTGTTTCGAGCCCGACACTTTATTTTTCCGAAGAAATCCAAAGTGTTAAGTGGGGAGGACGGGAGGGCTTACCTCATGAGTCAGGATAAGTATAAAATATTAATTTTCCCTCTAAAAATTTCATATTTTTCCTTATCCTGACTCATGCTTATTCCTTGTAGAATCCGACGGAAAAGGAGGTGGGAATATATATACTTTGGATTTTAATTATTAGTGATTTGAACTGTGATGATTGTAATAACCCTATGGGAACTTCATAAAGGCACTGAACTGATGAATTCCTGCTGCTTAACTTATCAGCTGCCATATAAAGGTTATTACAATTTACTGAATATGATAAAAGTATATACAACATTAATGTAAGCTGAAGCTATTAACATTGATAGTATAAACTTCTGTGAGTTTATAGTGGATACTTTTATAAATGAACCAAAGTATTAAGCTTAAGATATGCATATATTTAAGCTATAATAGTATAGTACTGTGCTTAAGATATAATTATAACTTAAGCTGTATAATAGTAACCAACTCCTTAGAGTTTGTTAGCTAATACATTTATGAATATGACCATATGACTGAGCTTAAGGATTGATGAAACTTAAGCTGAACATATATATAATAGCAAAACTCCTAGGAGTAGTAAGCTTATATATAGTATGATATAAAAACCATAGTACTGAGCTTAAGATAATAAATTAAACTTAAGCAAAATATATAGATAGCATGTAGCTATTAGTACTGTTATCAGATAAGTATAAAATCTGTAAGATAAACTTATCTTTTCCGTGGAACTGTCAACTGTTGAGCGAGGACCATGGGACCGAAATGGTGGATACCTGAGACGTCCTCGGTGGTGATATCTCTCAGATAGTGGTTGGCAAACACCATATCGGATCTCCAGAAACATCCCTCCATTATGGTATTCAACGAGCAATTCCCATGTAGAAGCGAGAGTTGAGGCTAGCTCTAATTTCATGAGGATTAGAAGCTCTTGGAGGGTCGAGTCCTGCAGCCTTGTAGGCACGTGAGTATGACAGTTCTGATCCAAATAGAGATAGTAGTATGCGTGAGACTTCCGTCTGCGTGAGCTGTAGATATAGGGATAAATAATCTCTTGAATTTCCCTCTGCTCTGTTTGGATCGTTGGAGATATATTTTCAGTGCTCTTACTGGGCATAGTGATAGATCCATCGTATCATCGCGGTCCAAGTATGGATGAGAGAGCTGGGACGTGGAATAATCTGTCTGGTTGACCTGGCAGTTGGTTTTTCGCTATAAAATCCCAGCGAAGTCCCAGATGAGCAATGTTATGAATATCATCAAAGCGTGTTCTCTAGTAATCCAGTGTGTGAATCTCTGACATCCTGGCGGCCGTAGCTAGTGCTAACAGGAACAAGGTTTTGTGGGTCAGTGATTCAAACGATGTAGATAGCAATGGTTCATAAGCCTCACTAGTGAGGTGTTGGAGCACTATATTTAGATCCCAGGCTGGAGCGTGAAACTTCCGTTTCTGATCCTCCAATCGGAACGCTCGTAACAAAGCGAGTAACTCTGGTGTTTTTGTTAACTTGACGCCCGTTCTCATAGTTATGACAGAACTTATAGCTGCAAGATAAGTGGACAAGGTTGAGCCTTTTAGATTCTTAGTTTGGCGTAGATAACATAAGAAATCTGCCACTTGAGGATGTGTAGCATATCTGGCTGTAAATCCTTTCTTAGCAGCGTAATTGACAAAACTGTGCCATTTGTCATCGTTATAAGTTACGAGTTGAGTTACGTAGTGCAAAGCGTGACCGCTTTAGCAGCTCTGGCAGAATAACCTCTCTTATTCAGACATGCCTCGATACAATCCATAACGTGAAGTTGGAATGCTTCTGGTGTTTAGTGCACTTGTTTTGTGTGCGGATGTATCAATAGATTGGCGTTGTGGGAGCTGAAGAATTGGTTTTTCGATTTCTTGAATGAGATCTGGAAACTAAGTTCTCGCTGGCCAGTAGGTTAGTGACCAAAATCAGATGGAGGCTCTGCGTTTGACTGATTTTCTGTAAGACTTGTGGGATTGCGCTGGAGGCGGAAAGCGTCTGAGTTGAGTCCCTCCACGATATGCTTAGTGCGTCCGTTGCCCATGCTAGTGGGTCTGGAACTGGCGATCTGAATGTTGTCAGTTGCTTGTTGAATCGAGTGGCGAATAGGTCTATCAGAGGAGATCCTATTTCCATGATTATTTGATTGAATATCTCTGTGTGGAGCATCCATTCTGTCGGCGACGGTTGGTGTGGCCGAGAGAGAGCGTCTGCTAATACATTCTTTGCTCCTGGAATGTGGCAAGCTCTGACGTGTATGTTTAGATTGTCGATTAGATCGAACAGTCTGAAACATCATCGAGTCAGCACGTTCTTTGACCTTGTTAAACCTTGTTTGTTCACATAAAACGCCACTGTTGAATTGTCTGTGTGAACCATCAACTGAGCGTTCTGTAGTAGGTTGCTCCAGTGACTTATGGCGTTTATGACTGCTTGCATCTCTAGCAGATTTATGTGACATTTGCTCTCTTGATTGCTCCATAGGCCTGACGCTGTCCTGCCGGCAAGGTGGGCTCCCCAACCTTGTAGTGACGCTTCTACGTAGAGATGTGTTTTCGATCCCGGCTCTACTAAGGAGACGCCTGCGCAAACATTCAATCTCTTGGTCCACCAGAGTAGATGTGGTTTGACATAATCTGGAAGACTGAATGGTAGAGGGTCCTCGAGATGAGCATTGATGAGGACTTGTAACGGATGTAATTGAAGCCTGCCTCTGACTGTCAAGTCTTGAGCTGATGTGAGTAGTCCCAATAGGCTCTGCCACTGTCGTAGTGGTAACGGAGAGAGTAGGGCTTGAGGAATAAGTTGTTGGATCTTGATCCATCTGTCCTCCGGGACTACAATACGATTCTGAGCTGTTAGAAATCGTATACCTAGAAATTGCAGATCCTGCGTTGGTTCTAGGTCCGACTTGAGTAGATTTACTAACCATCCTAATTGAGTTAGTAGCTTGATTATAAAGTTCAGCTGTAGTCTGAGACGCTGTGGATCTGGATCCACTAGTATATCGTCGTCTAGGTAAAAAGCGCTGCGAAGACCTTGACGATGTAGGTATGAGACAATAGGCTTGGTCTCTTGTGAATACCCAAGGGGCTGATGTGATTCCGAAGGGAAGAACCTTCCATTGGTAATGTTTCCCGTCTAGGATAAATCTTAGATATTTCCTTGAGTTGGGATGAATCGGAATGTGTAGATATGCGTCTTGCAAATCTATGCTGGCCATGTAATCTTTGGGACGAATTAAATGCCGAAGTTGCGGTAAGTGTATCATGCGAAACGTTGGTGGTTTGCATAGATATTCTCTGTTGAAGATGCTCATGTTGTATATGAGACGAAACTTCTCCTTGTACGATGTTTCGTTGATCCAGAACTTCTAAGGCCTGTTTGTTTAGCAGAGTAGCTACTGTTTCTCTTAACATAGGTAGTTGTGCCGGTTGAACGTTGAACCCTGTGGGGGTGACTGTTAACGGAGGCTTGGCCTTGAGTTGTATTAGATATCTGTGCTGTAGGGTGTTGGATACATATGGATCTTGTAGTATTCCCCAGTTTTCCCAGTGCAGCTGAAGGCGTCCACCCACTTGAGAAGGTTGTACTGGAACGGCTGGGGGTGGAAGACTCCAGTCGTTCCGAACCTGAATTTCATCGTCTAAATCCACGACCACCTCTGGATGATCTGCCTCTAGCTGATCCTCCCCTAAATTTGCTGTATGGGCGACGAAAAGAATCCTTGGGATCTTTAGCTGCAGCTAATTTCTTGTCCCGTGCTTTCTGTAGCCCCGAAAACTTAGACTTGCCCGAGTATCTCTGTGCTGACTGTTTAATGACGTTCGCTAAGGTATCCATGGATCTGATCATAAGTACCTCTCTCGAGTCTTTAGATACTTCTTTGGAAACATTGTCTATGTTGCCACCAAACAGTAAGGGCGATGACCATGGAGCTGTGTATAGAGATTCTGTGAATTGCTTATCCCAAGAGCAGGAGGCTAGTAAGCCTTGCCGACGAGCCATGGTAGTAGTTTCAGTAAGCGCTGACAGGTGCTCTGTAAGAAATTGGTGGTCTCTTTTCTGCATGAGTAGAGCTGAGTAGATCATTCTATCTTCCTCCTCTGTAGAATTCTTGAACTTGGTGATGAGAGTTTCATTAATAGTTCTAGATCTATTCAATCCAAAGAACATTCTCCTGGAGATGGTATCTAATTGGGCCAATTTCTATGCGATCGTCTACTCTGTAACTTCTGGACTTGGCATCACTGATTAATTTAAAGTTGTCATCAATATCCTGGGCCTTGAAAAAGGGGTCCATATTGTGTCCAGCAAATTTCTTGGCATTGAAGACCGGGAAATGTGTAGATTGGACTTTCGAAGATTTGGAACAGGCTGTATCCAGATTAGCTGGTACCGCTGCAATCTGGTCAATAGGAGGTAAGGTGATATTGTCTACATCATCATCCTTCATCAGGTAAGTCTGAGTTGAATTCTCGTTCTTCGGTGGGGAAGCAAGTTGTAACTCATTCACCATCCAGTATCTAATCTCAGCATCTGAGAAAATGATACCTTCTTCCTCTTCTGACGTAGGGTCACATGTCGGAGTCCTAGATCTGTAGGAAGATCTATGAGAGGACTGTGGTGAACGGACTGACGAGTGGCTAGTGTAAGGAGACCTTGGAGGAGACATCCTCGCTAACGCTGGGACTTCGCTAAGCTCTTCTAGATCTTCTGGGCGAGGTAGATTTGGAGCCACTTAGCCTTAGCGACCTTCGCGAATGTATCGAAGTCAGTGTCCGAATCGACATATGCGCTTGCCATGAAGCGACCTCTGTGTTCTACAGGGTGTGGGCTCGTGGCAGCTCCTTCTCCTTGATGTCCCTCGCATGAACTGGAGAGGCTCTAGCTCCTTCGAGGAGGCGGCCTGGGAATGAAGTGATCGCCACTGGGCTGGGTTGCCCGCCAGCGGAGGCAGCGTTTGTGGGCTCTGGGGCCCCAGGCGAAGCCAAGGCGGGCTCTGGGGCGCTGTATGACTTATTATGGGTTGGGCTCTGGGGCCCGTGGCTCTGGGGCCTCTGTAAACCGTAACGGTCCTCCATCAGTCTCATGATTTGGTTGACCAGGTGGTCTGGGACGGTCTGCGCTGGCGTTGAGGGTGGCCTCTCTGTGAAAGTGACGGGACCCTCAATCATAAACTCCGGCATCAGCGTAGGCATCTCTGGTTGCGTGTTGATCTGCGCTGTAGTGACGGTAGCAGATACTGGACATTTCTTATGACGTACATCTGGAATGATAATCGGAATGTCATCATCATATAAACATAATTCTGAGACAGGTAGAATATCGGAGGCAAAATTATTTGTAGCTTTCGTAGATTTCCCTTTTGACGAAGCTGTGGACCTGGGGGTTCTAAGCGTACGTTGAGATGATGTGGACGCTTTCCTAGTCTTAGACTGTGAAGACGGAATGTCTTGAGATGCAGGTCGCTTCTTGGACATAGCAGACTGCGTCCCACGCTTATCCCCCGAGGGAAACTCAGGCAGGCCACCAGCCGGTGGCGGGTCGTCAGTCAACAGTTGACAGGGTATATTAGCTTCCGATCTATTAGCCATGACTGAAGATTGTTTGAGAGATTTATCTGCCTTCCGTCTCAAAACGGAACATAAATATTTATCAAAGGCAGAAATTGGTAAATTAATACATAATTTACAACGAGAAACAATAGAATATGGAGTAATGCAACTAGGGCATTTTAAATGTGGATCGGTAGCGGAATAACGTAGTTTACAACCTGTGCAGATTCTCATTAACGTAAACTGCTGAACAAACACGGCGAAACGTGAATAAAACAGCAGAAACACGACTAATAATCAATGCAAGTTGAAGAAGGATACTAGTTACACCGATACTAGTTACACCTCTATAACTGAATATAAGAGGTACTAAACTAAATATAAATAAAGGATATAGTGTGTTGGGAGACACAGGCGCTCTCACGTCCAGCTCACTGGGCGAAGAAGGAGAGAGTGAGGCACATGGGTTGAGGTGGCGCCCTCGTTCCCGCGCTTGTGGAAGGGAGGTAACTCGTGGTGAGTACTAATTAGTGATTTTTTATTGAAGGGAACTTCAATTGGGAGATACACGTGTTCCACTATGTTCGCAAGAAGAAGAAGACAAGCAATAAGCATGAGTCAGGATAAGGAAAAATGTGAAAAAGTTATATACAAATATTCATAAAAATTACTACAGACTTACCAATTCATCAAGTTCTTTACTGGCCGGGTTGTTTGTAGTGAAGTATCTCATAGCTCGCAGTAACTTGTCCATATAAGAGATGTAGGTATCAAGATCACTGGCGCCTGGCCTGAGATGGATATAACTCAACAATGTTGGTAGAAGAAACACAACATGGAACTAATATTATAAGGAATTGCTTCCAGTCGCTATATGGTTTAAAACATGGGATGAAAAGCAGCAGACCTTACCTCTATTAATCTCATTATACTTAGCATTTAGCCATGTTTTCTATAGTGGTGAAACTAAAACAGTAGGGTCACAATATCATGCGTATGACAATACATAGGCAACAATATCACCACGATATACTTATTCACTTCTGACTGTGTGGAAACTTCTTGGCTGTAAATATGGGAGACCATATGTTCCTAGCTGTTATATTTAGCAGTAAACTTGAAAGGGTAATTACAATTCATTCTGCAATATTTTCCTAGCCAAACTTTGGGGGTAGGTTGTCAAAACTGAGAAGTAAGTAATTGAGCAAATGTGCAAGTGTTTCCTTGCCTGGATGAAAGTGAAAATTAAATATGCACTGCTGCATCAGTTCCAGTTCTGGGCCCTATTTCACAAAGATCTCGTAAGCCTAAGATCTCGTAACTTTGCTCGTAGCATTGGTACCTCCAATACTGTAACATAGGAGGTACCAATGCTACGAGAAAAGTTACGAGATCTTAGGCTTACGAGAGCTTTGTGAAAGAGGGCCCTGCATCTCAGATGGCACAGATGGTGATGACGCCTATTTCAATAACAGAGTTTAATTTGTTGATCATGAAGTGTCAGAGATGAAACAATGTTGTATCTGATGCTACACTGGAGATGCTCACCCTTCTCTGATGACCGGTTCCACATCTTTAGCAGCATGGTAGTACCCTAGGACATTATCCACAGTGTGAAGTGTTTTTTCAATGTCTTACTTGAGTTAAGGAACCTTGGTAACTTAGTTCTGAATTTCAACATGCATATCTTACAGTGTGTTATAAAAAAACATTTGAGTACCGTCACTGAAACTAGTGAAAGCTCAAAACATCAATTCAATATTGTGTTCAGCATTGACACATATTTATGAACTTTACCTAATGCATTACAATTTGTTCAGTTCACAGAATCAGTGAATATGCATTGATCTTTGACATCCAGGTCATAAACATGATAAACAAGCCTGTTTAGAAATTTAAATGGACAATGTTACCTAATACATGATTTTTTTTTAAAGGATGCTTTCTTGTCTTCGTCTGAGGTTCTCAGTCTCATTGTAAACAGGTACGATTGTATCTTCCAGTCTCTGTAGTCGGCTCTCAAAGCTGGTAAGAATGCCTAACATGTTTTGTGTGTTGGTGCTGCTCTTCTTCAGTGATTCCCTCAACGTCGACAAATTTGTCGTCTCCTGAATACAAAAACAAAGACTTGAAACAATCACGCGACATGGTTACTCTAGTACTGTATGTCAAATTATCATCTGATCTGTAAGATAAGTCCAGAATATGGCCAAATAAACCCACCAACACACCCCTCTCTCACGAAATGCATTTCCTACTTAAGTAGTGCCAAAGATCAAACTATCTGCAAGAGCCAGTGGACTAATAAACCTTCTGTTCGTGGAACCTGAAGCCACTGGACACGATCAGAATCATCCTCCATGTATAATTTACTGTCGTTAGTGTCAACCATTTGGTCAACATTCCCCTTCGCTGACTCATCAACTCATTTCATCAAGGACACAACGCTATTCCTGCAGACTTTTGATTATTGATTACAACACACCTTTTCGAGTTTTCGATCAATGTCATACTTTAAGTCTACGATATCATCCATTGCGTGAAATGTTTAGTCAAGAAGGTACAGATCGAGAGGCGGAAGCACCGAGCAGTTGTACTTCTTTCATCGGAAAATGGTTCTGTAAGAAGTAAAACACAATGAAACTCAGTTGTCGTAAAATAAACCCTACTAAAATCTAAAATCGAAGTTATTTCTCGCAAACTATATTCTCATTATGACCTTTAGTGATTAAAAGGCTTAGTGAGTACTAGACTAACGCTTAGTCCCAGAGTATATATAATTTTGGTAGTAACAAATAAACCCATTTAAATTGGAAAGGAGACCCAGTGAGTTGGGAGAAGCTAGACTTGCTTCATTCAGGGCTTTTATAGCATTGCAGGGAGGGCTAGGCAGTAGGGAAAATAATGTGGTTCAGGAACTGTGAGACAAGACTATGCGAGTACATACAACAGCTCGTACACATCACAAATTAGATTTCATTTCACGAATGTTGACAGTTAGATGTTTACATACACAGAAAATATGAAAAGAATTGTCAATGGCACGAGTATGTTCAAGTGAAGTTAATTGAGATCAGAATATGATCTTCAAACGTATCTGTTAATCTGGCAAGATTTAAAATATGTACTTGTTTATGCAGCAAATGGACATATGAACTAATTGCCAAAATAAACATCATGCAATACATATAAAATAGTCAGTGAAATCAGATATTATTACAGCACTGTAGGAAAATAAAGAGACAAATCCATTTAGGCCTTGTTAACTTCAGTATTAATCAGACATACTTCTTTCGTGATCAACTAGTATTAATACATGATCACGAAAGAAGTATGTCTGATTTCGTATTATGCCGTAATATTATATTAGAGATTGGGGATCCATACCGTTTCGAATAACTGCATTTTCGCCAATGCATTAAAGTTACCATCATCTTATGTCATATTTGTTGAAATCTGATGTCGCAAATAAATACCAAAAATCTGCTCACCAGTTGTCACGTGACTGTCATGGACGCTTTGCGCTAACGTAGATTGAAAGTGGAATAACAATCGTACTTAGGTGCTATTTGCAGTTTCCTCGTGTGCCAGTGTTCCCGATAAAGTCTGCAAAGATGGGCAGACGGTCAATTAACACCACCAAGAGTGGGAAATATATGAATCCCACGGATCAGTTCAGTAAGTAGTGCTTAATGGATATGATAACATGAACACACCGTGCAGTACTTTTGGCCCTCTAGACCATGCAGAAAGTTAGAATGATTACACAGCAGCCGAAAGATACATTCACATTTACACCAAGGAGAAAGAAAATCTGTCAGGTATTTTCTCAATGAAACGATTATTTGCTAAATTAGGGTATGTGTGTACGAAAAGTAATACAATTGTACAAGGAGCAGATGCAGTCATGTAAAGCGTGTTCAGTGGCCTGAAAGCTGACTTCCTGGCCAACAAGTGTATTGTTGGGGACTTGATTTGACATTTGTATAGTCCGGAGCATCTTGTGATATATATATGAGCAAGCTAATAATGCAAAGTCTGTGTGTGACAAGGTGTCAACAGAACAGTTGTTTCTCTGCTCCCATGACATCGTCAAGTATGATGTTCTATATCTATTATATACCCTCTTAACTTGCATTAATCTGTTACTTAATCAAACAAATCATAAAGTAGCGATACATATTTTCACGCTTGTCGATACTTCTGCATTCAGGTTAGTTTGACATTAAGTATCTCTCCGTGCATGGGCAGCTCACGCAAGTGACCTCGGTCATACATTCCTCCAAATGACGTCATGAATCAATTCCCACTTTCACAACTTACCATAGGCAAAACAATGACACCATTCTGATGAAATTCATTCATATTTTAATACATACTAACTTGTACAATGGAACGAACAAGTGCCGGAAAATCACAGAAAGTGCTGAGCTTTGGAGAAAGTAGAACCGGCAGGGGTTCAATATGGAATCTGGGGTGCAATGCAGAATTTGACCACATCATCCATATTGCACACCTGTATTACTATCCTTAGTTTACATGGGTATATAATAAGCTATTATCCCACACCCTCAACATGTTTAATGATGTGGGGTTAGAACTGACCCTCATCAACCTATAATCATGATAATGATTGTGAGATAAAGACATTGTTAGGGACTTAGTTGATATGGTGCCAATGTACCACATTTCTGTGGATTGTTACTAATGATATCAATCCCTAGTCCAGACTGGATTTTATTGTCATGCCATGGTTTTATGCAGATACAATATAGACGAGTGTAGTGTCAAACAACAGAAACACAGACACAATAAAGTGCCTAAGAATTCCCCCCTAATTACTGGTACATGAAATAGTCAGCATTACAATGACATAAACGGCTATATGTATATTGTTGGTCCAGTATGTTGAGAAAAACTTCTTATATCTTGTGGTACAATAAGTATGGATAAGTATGATCTTTATTCATTTTTCTTGTTTTCACCAGGAAAGGAGGCAAGAAAGAGAGAACTGAAGAAGGTAAGACTTAGTAATGTAACATGAGCACGGAGAGTACCTGTATGTAGACTGATGGAAACTTATTGTTTCATTTGTATGTAGACTGATGGAAACTTATTGTTTCATTTGACTTTTTATAGTGAGCAGCTAGTTCAGTTCAGAATGTTCAGAATGTTACAAAAGTTAGTAATTCAGTTTTTTCAAAATGTGTAAGCTAATGCTTTAAAGGCACTATTTCAAACCACACTTCTCCAAAAATAAGTAATGCATTTCTCTCAATAAGACTAACTATCAGCCCTCAGGAAAGCTACTAAAGGATATATTTCCCCAAAAATATTATTTAGATTACAGTTTTAAATTAAAAAATATGAATGAATTAATGAACCGTTGCATTAAGTTGACTCTTGCGCCCTCGACCGACCGGACATTATTTCAAATGAACCCCATAGAGTTATGTCCCTTGGATCGCTCTTTACGAATATCCTATAACTCCTTTGGATTGAAACCAGTTCGGCAAACACCGACACCACTGCATGCGACAGTATTCGATGTACAGAGCAATTGTTTACATTCCATATATGGCAAGTGTTCTCTGTTTGGAAGCTGTTTGCCTTGAAATTTCAATTATCGATTTCAGGCAAGTAGTAATGGATATTAAGACTTTTTTTTGCATCAATAGGAATCTAAAGTGAGTGCATATGCCCCAATATATGTAATATAGGCCAACATATTGTCATAAATGTGTGAAATTGTTCCTCTAACGAAGTCTGTATTTGTAAATGGATAATTTTCACATTGTGAAAAACAATGCTAACATGTTCTCAGATGATATCTTGTGTGTTTAGAACAAGAAGCAGCGTATGCTGGTGCGACAAGCTGTACTCAAAGGGAAGGATCCAATGAAGCTGCTGGAAGAAATGGAGCAGATTGATTCCATGGGTGGGTACTGAAATGTATACACTCTGTTATTGTTAAAACAGATTTCGGACAAAGACTAACTGATTGCTGAATTTCAAGTCAACTATTTGCTTAATCAACCTGTCCTTACAGCAGTGTGGTTTATGGATATTAGAATGTCCTAAAGTTCACATGAATCATGTTATGTATCATGCCACAGATGTTTCATCCTTATAAATACATATGGATGTAGTGAACTACTTGCTTATATGACTTCATCTTCCTTACAGAGTACAATCCCATTGAGGCTCCTAAGCTGAATGAGAAAGTATTGAAGGACAAGAGAAAGAAACTCAAGGAGACATTTCAGAGAGTTTTGAGACTTTATGTATGTATCATGAGGGTGTAAGGAATGTATGGTATATATTAGTTTCAGTAAAGAAACATTTGATAAATGAATTCAGTTTCCATATTTTCTAATTATTTAATATTTCAACCATTATCCCTAGAGCTAGCAAAGGTAAAGTGATATTTTGTTAACATTTGAAAATGTTGATGCAAACTAACTCAAGTTGCCCTTTTTAGGACAAAGAAAACCCTGAATATGCTGTGGAACTGAAAAAGGCTGAGTTTGAGTATGACAAGAAAAGACTGCAGATGCAGCTTTACTTTGGTAAGTTGGCATTATAAGGTGTCGGCCTTGTAGTACAGCTGTACTTGGACAGGTGACACAGTATGGGGTATCAGTCACCTGTCATCTGTCCAAGATGACAGTATCAGGTGTCAGCCTTGTAGGATACTTGTACTTGGACAGATGACAGTATCAAGTGTTGGCCTTGTAGGACACTTAGACAGATGATAGTATCAGGTGTCGGCCTTGTGGGACTCCTGTACTTGAGGTGGCAGATATACAGTATCAGGTGTCAGCCTTGTAGGACACCTGTACTTGGACAGGTGGCAGATATACAGTATCAGGTGTCTGCCTTGTAGGACACCTGTACTTGGACAGGTGGCAGATATACAGTATCAGGTGTCAGCCTTGTAGGACACCTGTACTTGGACAGATGACAGTATCAGGTGTCAGCCTGGTAGGATACCTGTTCTTGGACAGATGACAGTAACATGTGTCAGCCTTGTACGATACTTGGACAGATGGCAGTATCAAGTGTCAGCCTTGTAGGATACTTGGACAGATGACAGTAACAGGTGTCAGTCTTGTAGGATACCTGTACTTGGATAGATGACAGTAACAGGTGTCAGTCTTGTAGGATACTTGTATTTGGACAGATGACTGTAACAGGTGTCAGTCTTGTAGGATACTTGTACTTGGACAGATGACAGTAACAGGTGTCAGTCTTGTAGGATACCTGTACTTGGACAGATGACTGTAACAGGTGTCAGTCTTGTAGGATACTTGTACTTGGACAGATGACAGTATCAGGTGTCAGTCTTGTAGGACACTTGTACTTGGACAGATGACAGTAACAGGTGTCGGTCTTGTAGGACACTTGTACTTGGACAGATGACAGTAACAGGTGTCAGTCTTGTAGGATACTTGTACTTGGACAGATGACTGTAACAGGTGTCGGTCTTGTAGGACACTTGTACTTGGACAGATGACAGTAACAGGTGTCAGTCTTGTAGGATACTTGTACTTGGACAGATGACTGTAACAGGTGTCGGTCTTGTAGGACACTTGTACTTGGACAGATGACAGTAACAGGTGTCAGTCTTGTAGGATACTTGTACTTGGACAGATGACTGTAACAGTGTGTCGGTCTTGTAGGACACTTGTACTTGGACAGATGACAGTAACAGGTGTCAGTCTTGTAGGATACTTGTACTTGGACAGATGACTGTAACAGGTGTCGGTCTTGTAGGACACTTGTACTTGGACAGATGACAGTAACAGGTGTCAGTCTTGTAGGATACTTGTACTTGGACAGATGACAGTAACAGGTGTCGGTCTTGTAGGACACTTGTACTTGGACAGATGACAGTAACAGGTGTCAGTCTTGTAGGATACTTGTACTTGGACAGATGACTGTAACAGGTGTCGGTCTTGTAGGACACTTGTACTTGGACAGATGACAGTAACAGGTGTCAGCCTTGTAGGGTACTTGGACAGATGACAGTAATGGGTGTCAGTCTTGTAGGATACTTGTATTTGGACAGATGACAGTATCAGGTGTCAGTCTTGTAGGATACTTGTATTTGGACAGATGACAGTAACAGGTGTCAGTCTTGTAGGATACCTGTACTTGGATAGATGACAGTAACAGGTGTCAGCTTTGTGGGACACCTGTACTTGGACAGATGACAGTAACAGGTGTATTACAGGATGTACAGGGGTGATCTTCATTTATTTACTGAATGTTATCAGTGTTATATAACAGGATTCTTTGTTTTAATAGCAGGAAATGAATGTATATTTCAGAGCAAGTGAAAAATGCAGAGAGAGTGCAGCTTGATCAGATTCCACTGCCTGATATGCCCGTTGAGACAACCAGTACGTATGATAATCTGTCATGTTGGTTTGGGATGGGATCTCTTTTCCTTTCTTATAAAACTTTACTCCTGATTGTTTTAACTTTAAGATTACAATACTGGTCAGCAAAGTATGCATTACTTTTTCTTCTTCATAAGTCTAGGTTAAGGCTATCATCTGGTATTCCGAATACAAAGGTCTTGTGTCAAAATATTCTAAATTCTACACATGTACATTATTTACAAAGTTAGTGTATGACAGTCAGTTGTGGATAGTTCAACATCTGTTGTGCTGTGTCTTCATTCATCAATCATTCATTGGGAAACAGTTGATACTTGTCCACCAAAACCAACATCTCACTTTGCTGTATGTTGCTGATTTCAGTCCCCTCCATGATCCCACTGCCCAATGAAATGCCCCTCCCTTTCCCGGACCGCCCACCAATTGGGATCCTGAAGAAGACCTCTGCATACTCTGGGTAAGATGACATCCTAACTGACATTGTCGTGCTTGTATCTGTGGTGGTTATACCGTGGGGTTGTTGGGTAGGGGGTGCTTGTATCTGTGGTGGTTATACGTGGGGTTGTTGGGTAGGGGGTGCTTGTATAACCGGGGTTGTTGGTGGCTTTATCTGTGGTGGGTGGGGTTGTTGGGTAGGGGTGCTTGTATCTGTGGTCTGGGGTTGCTGGGGTAAAGGGGGGTGCTTGTATCTGGTGGTGGTTATCTGGTGGGGTTGTTGGGTAGGGGTGCTTGTATCTGTGGTGGTTATCTGGTGGGGTTGTTGGGTAGGGGTGCTTGTATCTGTGGTGGTTATACCGTGGGGGTGGTAGGGGGTATCTGTGGGGTTATTGGGTGGGTAGGGTGCTTGTATCTGTGGTGGTTATACCGTGGGGTTGTTGGGTAGGGGGTGCTTGTATCTGTGGTGGTTATACCGTGGGGTTGTTGGGTAGGGGGTGCTTGTATCTGTGGTGGTTATCTGATTGGGGTTGTTGGGTAGGGGGTGCTTGTATCTGTGGTGGTTATGTGGTGGTTATCTGGTGGGGTTGTTGGGTAGGGGTGCTTGTATCTGTGGTGGTTATCTGGTGGGGTTGTTGGGTAGGGGTGCTTGTATCTGTGGTGGTTATACGGTGGGGTTGTTGGGTAGGGGGTGCTTGTATCTGTGGTGGTTATACCGTGGGGTTGTTGGGTAGGGGGTGCTTGTATCTGTGGTGGTTATACGGTGGGGTTGTTGGGTAGGGGATGCTCAAGGAAACCACTGACCAGGTGTGATCTTGCTTCAGCATGCAGGAGGAGTACTTTGCCAGGAAGAGAAAGAACATCCCTGGTCCCCCTCCTGGTCCCCCACCAGAGCTGAGTGACAGTGAAGATGAAGAATATGACCCTGCTAAAGGTGACAGATTCTCACATCCTTTATCGTTCGTGTACACGCAACTAAAATAGCAGCTGTTAGGGTGTGGTCATCTGAGTGAAATATATGTCCCTTTAACATTAACCTTGGTAATAATGACAAGACAGCATTTGGATGAATATGTGCCATATTATGGTGTGACAAATTAATGACGTCCTTTGTTTCACGTCATTAATCTGCCTCACTTTAGGTTTTCTCTAGTACTTTAGTGGTTTTCCCAAAGGTACATCTGCCAGGAGAGAGAACTAAAGAGAAAAGTCATAACAAAGCTGATAATGTTCATGTATTAAGACAATAACCTTAAATGGTGGTAAATATTTGTAGGAATTGTAAGTATAAGAGTTAATGTAAACTCTACTTGAGCATGTTTCTGTCATCGTGCAGGGATAGAGGAGAATATTGGGACAGTGGATGTGGATATGGAACATATTCATGCTCATGCCCATGAGATGCTGGAGGAGGTGGGAATCCCCATGCCCGGACAAGTGGCTCCCCCAGGGGATGTCATACCAGCTGGAGTAACAGTCACAGCACCACCAGACTTCCGTGCCAGGGACGAACCTCCAGGTAAGTCATCTGACGTCAACCACAACTCACTGTTTTTTTGTAACTGAAGGTTTCAGGATAGTCTGTAGCAATAAATAATTCAGGTGCACTGTATAGTATCCCTACCCTGTCTGTTGTTGATAGATTAGTATACACAATATTTAACTACAAACATCAACGTAGGCAACAGAATATACTTTAAAACTTTATGACATTTCTTTCAAGGAGAGTATACTTGTAGGGCTATGATGGGTACTCTAGTACCTGGCAATGGATCGAGTACGGCAGGACTCGAGTCCAAATTCAAAGACTCGAGTACCTGACAAAGGGAGATAACTCTAAACTAAACGTGACCACATCTGCAGTCTTGGATGAGAAAGGCCGAATGTATGGGCCCATTTTGATTTTGACACTTCGAAACAGTGTCGCCTTTGCGGCATTATGCTGAGTTTTGCAGGGAGCTCAACAAACTCAATGACAAAACATCTTAACATGAAATTCCAGTCCGTCAGTGTGGACGATTTGTCCCCAAATCCAGTCAAAAAGCAAGCCAGGCTGACGCAGGGATATTTTGGGGATTACAACTGAAAAACATATGAGACACTCACACGCAAGGCCATGATTATGTGCGTTAGAGACCTCAGACCTTTGAACCTTGTTAAAGTTAATGGTTTTCGTGATTTTTGTCACTCACTGAATCCCAGTTATATCGTACCATGTCCAAAGACCCTCCATAATTGCCTTATGAAGGAATATGCCGACACCAAAACTTAGCTTAAGGATATTCTAAAGCAGTCCCCTGCTATATCTTTGACAAGAGATAAGATGACCAGCTGTGCCACCCATGGTTACATCACCGTCACAGGGCATTACATCAGATACGGAGTCTCAAATCATACATTCTTGCCAGAGGAGCGAGAAGATCGCCTTAATGGCAAGAATATCGCTGATGCCTTGGTTTCCATCCAAACAGACCGATGCTAGTCAAATAAATCAATGATATTAGGTTTGTGTATCGTCAAATTGATAACCACGCGTTTTAAAAAAAGATTTCATGTAAGTTTTCTATTCAATACAGATGGTATAGGGGCGGTGGGGTAGCCTAATGGTTAAAGCGTTGACTCGTCACGCCGAAGACCCGGGTTCGAATCCCCACATGGGCACAATGTGTGAAGCCCATTTCTGGTGTCCCCCGCCGTGATGTTGCTGGAATAATGCTAAAAGCGGCGTAAAACCAAACTCAGTCAGTCAGTCAGTCAGTCAGACAGATGGTATAACTTATAAGTGCAGCATTCTTGTGTGAAATTCCATTGAAAACTACTTAAAACACATGCACGTAGCTCTCACTAAAATCTATACTCTAGTTTTCGGGTACTCAAGTCCGGGTCGGGTTTTATCCCCGGGTACTCGAGTCCGATTTTGGCTACCATTCAGAGCCCTATATGCTTGTGATCAAAGTGTAACCAGCTGTCTTCTGTATTCAGGTTTCATCTGGACCTCATAATGTCATTATGAATGTTCATTTGCCATAATTTGTCATATATCTATTGGGCCAATTTATCAGTTAGCAACAATCTGCGAACTAAAGTGTGAATATTTCAGAATAGATTGGAATATCCTGTATGAAAACATTGATGTTGGCATTGTCGGATTGCCTGATTCAGGGGAGGTAACTGTGTTCACTTTGCCTTAACTTGGGAATATCAGGCTCTGATATCAACATCTATTTCAAGATGATATGAAACCATGTCCTGGCCCAACCATTTTAGTTTTTCAGTACCGGTTTTGGGTTTTGCGTATGAAAGTCAGATAAGTGATCAAGCTGGTTTCATATGTACAATGTATCCAGCAATGTACTAGAGTGCTACACTTATGTTAGTTGTTATTGTAAACAGGTACTTAGAAAAATGCATTATAATAGCTTGATAGTAGGATGTATTATCACTGTTAAAATGATAAAGATACAAATTCTTCCAATCATGGAACAGATTTTCTTTGAAGTTATAATAACTAAACGTTTTTAAATGAATCACCAGTAGATTAGGGCAGAACGTGTACACAGCTATTTCTAGCTTTGGATGACTGTACATGCAACTTTCAACCATATCAAATATGCAGTCAATAAGACTACAGGCTGTTATGATAAGTTGTCACTGTTACTTGACTATTCATTCTAAAACATGTCCCTTGAAACATCATTAAATGTCTTGACTGGATTGTGCATTATCTTCCTCATACAAGTGTCACCAGCAAATGAATTTCCTTCCAAACCAGCATTTTTGTCTCTATAATGTTTTCGATTGGTTGGCACCAAAATCTGAATGTGCAACACAAGGTCTTTGAATGATGACAGAATGTGGTGACAAAAGTGTCCTTCCAAACTGAATTACAATTCATGTATAGATGGTAAAAAATGTGTACTTTCTATTTGTGTTGAATGCCTTCTCTACTGATTTATCCAAATTTAGATGTTATGGTCTGTCCCTTTGCCTTTGACAGCTAAACTTCGTAGAATCCGGTTTGAGGATGACGACACTAAAGATGTCAATGAAGTTGAGAAGGACACAAGACTGCGACTGACCTCCAAGTCGAAGTCTAAGGTGTCGCCTCTTCAGGCACGGATGTTGATGATGGCCGGGCAGGAGGTGCCAGAGGATGAGGGGAATGTGGACCACGCTGAAAAGGAGGACAGTGAGGATGAGGTCAGTGTCTGACAGAAGGACATCTGGTGATGAAGTAGGGATGATCAGGGATCTGTTTGTCCAGATATGAACAATTTACTGCTGAAATTTTCCCTCACAGGCATTTTAAATCACCAGACTTAAATTTTTTCCAACTTTTGTTGTATTTCTGCTTTTTTTTAATAGACATGTATTTCACTTGTACAGGAAAATGAGGACGATCTGCCCATGCCTCAGAAGCAGCCAATCCGATATGATCCAAATGAGGAGATGAAGGCACCTGGTACCCAGGATGAGCCAGTAGATCCCCCTGGTATACCTGTACCTCCCCCGAAGATCACCCCAGGCCCTCCAGCTCATACAGCACCTGGAGCCCCTCCTGGAGCCCCGCCTGGTGCCCCTCCTGGTGCTCCTCCTGGTGCTCCTCCTGGTGTACCTCCAGGTGTTCCCCCAGGTAAGTGACAGGTCACAAGATCAGTGACTCAAGTCAGGACAAAAGTGACACACACATATTACAGTTCTTTACTTTATTGATAAGCATTAGTTTGAATAGTTGTTTCTGTGATACTAACAGGTATATGGTTTCTTATGTCTTATCATGCTTTCAGGACCACCTCCTGGAGCTCCACCCATGTTCATGCGCCCCCCACCACTGCGAGGAGCACCCCCTGGGGCCCCACCCAGGATGTTACCGCCAGGCCCTCCACCTGGCAGACCTCAGGGTCTCCCACCTGGCCCCCCGCCAGGCCTGCCACCAAGTCTACGAGGTGTGGGGCCACGCCTACACCCAGGTCATCCAGGTAAGATGGGTATATGTCTTAGAGGATTCAAGTGTCATAAATATATTGAGTTTACTGTGAAACATTTGAGATAGTTGTGTTTAATACTCTGATATACACACATAAACAAAATTCTCTTCGTCCTGTTTTAGGTGTAGGTCCTCCTCGAATGATACGGCCGCCTGGAGCACCACCTGGTATTCCCCCTCCAGGTATCCCCCTCCCCCCAGGGATGGCACCCCCAATGAACCCCAATGTTCTCAGTGCCCCACCCAGCATCATGAAACCCCCTCTCAAGTCTATAGACGAGGAGAAGAAGAACACAGCCACCATCGAGGCCAAACCACAGATCAAGAATGTCCTGGGAGATGTCACAAGGTTCATGCCCACGGCACTCAAGGTCAAGAGAGGCATCAAGGATGTCAAGGGGAGAGTCAAAACAACTGGTTAGTATAGGAACTAAACAAATGGCTTGTGAAACTGCTGTGACTATTTGTACAAACACATTATTATGGTGCAAACAGCTTGTTTGAGATGTGGGATTGACCTTAAAACCTTATTAAATCAGTATTGTTAGAAGTGCTCATTTTAATCTCTTATCATTGTTTAAAAACTTGTTATACTTGGACATGTTTCGTTTAAGTTTTGTTAATATCCTTGAAAACATAATTCCCGGGTTGGCAGGTCCGCAGAATTCTCAATGTATCAGATTGTGTATTTTGGAAACTCTTTTCTTCTAGGCAAGGAAGAGGAGAAGCGATCTTCCAGCACGTCCTCAGTGCCGACACCCGTGGCTGCAGCACAAACCAAAACCAAAGACGATGCTTATGATCAGTTCATGAAGGAAATGGAGGACTTGTTCTGAGGTGAGTCCAAACTAATGGTGAAAACACTTGTGTGTGTGTGTGTGTGTGTGTGTGTGTGTGTGTGTGTGTGTGTGTGTGTGTGTGTGTGTGTGTGTGTGTGTGTGTGTGTGTGTGTGTGTGTGTGTGTGTGTGTGTGTGTAATGTACACTGCACGTGGTTCAGGGGCAGGTAACTTGCTCAGACTTGTTACATTAAATTGTTTGTTCAGATGATAACTTACAGGTTACTCTGTGTTCAGACTTCTGTTCAGACTTTAAGCTATATGTTTGAACAAAATTTCTGTTCAGATTAATGCTAATATCTTATGGGTTACACTATGTATTCTAGTAGATTAGAGACCATGTCCATGTTTCAGGGCCAGCATCTGCCATGAGTATACTAAACCAACCAGTGTGACGCTGTGTGCTTATGCAGTATAACAGGAGTGTAAGAAAGTGACTGTTCACCAGCAACACCAGCTGTCTCAAACATGTGCTCAACATCAGATCACAGGATTCATTTGGAACTCTTGCTATATGTGCAGATTTCAAGACATCTTTATGTTATACGTGTTCACAAAATGTTTCCATGCAGCTGCTTCAGGATCTGTAGTGCATGAAGGAGTGTTGTCATGCCAATATACAGTGGTGCTTTATGTAGCAGACTGGTTGAAACTCATGTGAAATACAGATCTGCTAAATCAGACTTTCACGATCATAATGAATTATCAGCTGTTACACATCCTGGAAGTGAAGACTGTTACATGAGCTGGACCTGGTGAAGCTTCATCAGTCAGGATTGAAGAATCATTTCCAATTATTAACCAACAAATTAATATGGATAAGATAGGTCCATTTTGATTGACTGACTGAAGAGATATGTGTAAAATCACTGCTTATGGTCATAAGAGACTATTGCAGTTTTTCATTCTGGTATGCCTAAGCTTTTATCTGTGTAAAATATGATGCATCCATATGTGGCAAGAACAATGACGGAAGTTGTGTTACACATGTACGTTTGTAGGTGTCATGCAAAAAGGTTTCAGATAATTTTTTCAGGAGAAGAATCTGAGATATTCTCATTTAAATTTATAACATGTATACTTCTATCTTCTCAGTAATATTAAACTGGTATCAGATAGATGTTGCATCACACCTCAACACAGAGAAGGAACCAAGTTCCATCATAGCTGATTCATTGATCTTCATGTTCATAACGATGTGATATTGACATGTGTGGATTTTACCTCATCATGTCCTTCTGTTCTACTCCATTGATGTAACATACTTCATTGATCATGTACATACCATTGTAAACACATGGAATAAATCATTTATTTACCATCAGTGCCACATTCATTTGGTCTGTAGGTTTATGAATATACATTCATAAGGTCCACAAGACTGGAATCTCTTTCACAATGATTGTTAATCAGTAGACATATAAATGTATACATATATCATTGGTCCCATTGAGCTTTACTCCCTGAGAAGTAGAAACCAGTTGCACAGAATGAGCTACACATACTACACAGGTTTGAAAATGTTTCCAGTGCTTGAATACCAAGCCTGATGGGTTACTGAGTAAATGTTGAATATTTTACAAGTACAGTTCTCATTGTGGTATTGTCATTAGCTTCTTTCATGCTTGGCAAAATACTCTTCTCATTAGACCAAACAATAGGATTTTAGACAGTATGTGGGGGAAAAACTGCTGGTTAGAAAACCTTGCCTTGGGACATGGCAACATTATGAATGACATAATATATAAATGATGAGCAGTTAAGCAACGTAACCGTATGGGTCACACACCAAGCTGCATATTTGTATGAAAACATTCATGCTTGGCAGGTTCTTCTGCCAGTTGGTTTGGTGGGGTAGCCTAATGGTAAAGCGTCCTCTTGTCACGCTGGACACCCGGGTTCGATTCCCCACATGGCTACAATGTGTGAAGCCCATTTCTGGTGCCCCCGCCATGATATTGCTGAAATGTTGCTAAAAGCCTTGTTAAACCAAACTCACTCACTCACTTACTTCAGCCTGTTAAATTGGGACAGTCTCAGTTGTAGTACATATGGCTGACTGACTGACAGTTTGGTTTTAGGCCGCTTTTAGCAATATTCCAGCAACATCACGGTGGGGAACACCAGAAATGGTCTTCACTAGTACATATGGAGGAGAGGAACTAGCACAATACCACTGTAACAGTTCATATGATGCGTTTGTGTACGCCAAAATACGCAGTGGAATACTGGAAACAATGACAAACATGACCTTTGGTCCAAGAACGCACTCGCTATTGTTCAAAGTGGCATTGATCCCAAGGCAGTCAGTTACTGTGTTGTTTGGGTGTGTGACTGGTAACGCATGCGAGATGTAACATCGTGACTAGGGTCAAGTATTCGGTGAGTCTTAACAGGTATCCTCCTTCTCAGTATGAACTGAAGCAAAACATCGGTTTTGTTTTCGTTTTCATGAAAAATGATCGATTTGGAATTCCATAGAGGAACAGTTTCCCAGAATTGAACTTCGATGTCATGGTTCATTTCCTGTACCTATTAGCTGATGGTTTGTCTGGTCCAGACTCGATTGTTTACAGACCGCCGCCATATAGCTGGAATATGACTGAGTGCGGCGTAAAACTAACACACTCACTCACTAGCCAACGGGTAACGTTAGAATTAAGGCGATCTATTTCGGAGGTGTTGTTATCATAGGACACGACTTGTCACACAACAGGTACACATGTTTGACTTGGTCCCCCTCTACACAGCTGGTCTACTACATAATGAATTACACTGACTACACTCAGTGTGTTGTGTCGTGTATTTACCTATATTAACCTTTAATCAGTGTATGCACAACGTTGCCGGACTGCACCGGCTCACGCAATAAAGCAGTTTCCTGAAATCTCCGACACCTCGAATCGATTGCGACACAGGACACCGCCATGTATTTTACCAGCCATTTCCTTCGACGTTGTCTTCGCTCAATAACGCTATGTGAGTAATGTGTTGATCGTTGTTTGTGCGCAATGCACCATGGGAACACAGGGGAACCCGGCAAGCCCGAAACAGGAGTGCTGGGTACACAAGTGTCAATGTTCGTCAAGCGATTGTCAATATCGCGCTGTCAAGTGGATCGAATTTCAGATAAAACCTCACAAAACAGAGTAAAATGACCTGACCACTTTGGGACTGTATTCAACACCATTAATGTATAGGTATGGAACTGCCACCAAAGACATATGCTCTATCATGCGTGCATGTGCGCGAAGACCACAGAACTGACGATGTGAGAAACAATGTATTATTCATGCATGTGCTTGCTTTATCCAGGATAGAACACAAACAGGCTTTGTATATGTACGTGGAGTGTTCTTAAATTATTCAACATTGCCTCTGTATTAATGCGCGCGCGCGCACACACACACACACACACACACACACACTTCAGTGAGACTACATCCTTCCGATTTTGTTTCACTTCAAGATCGCAGTTACAGCCGTTGTTAGCTCTGTGCTGTGTACAAGAGTAAATTTTCATTTCAAATAGTAAATAATATATGCAGTGTGGCTTGGAGGAACGCGGTGTTAATCATCCGGGACTTCGTGGCACATCTACTACACACACATTGTTCAACATAGCCTTGTCATCAACAATCACGGGGCGCTGTCGTGGGTAATTACTCAAAGCTAAATTCGGCCAAGGATTTCTGACATAATAAATGTTCAATGTCTGTGAATATGTTACTTCATTCTGGATCAGCTATGTGACTTGCTTGTGGTGAAATGGAGGTATCAGTGTGAATGGATCGAGATTAAATGGATAATCTGGAATCCGGATTACCCTTGAGATCACTGTCAAGGTTTTGTCAGATTTACATGGTAAGAAGGTTAACCAGTCCATAAAGTGACTATCTACATACAGGAGGTACCTGGTGGAGTATTTTCAGTCTACAAACACAAAACTCAGTTGTATGTAAACCGTCGTTATTAACGACAATAATGCAAGGGTACATTTGTGAATATTTGGGCCACTACAACGCACTAATATTTGATTGCAAGATAATGTATCTTACTTTTAAAAATAAATGATTATATTCTACCCTTACCTTTGCTGGGGCCTGCGCCGATTGAATATTGACAAAGCTCTTGAACAATGATTCTTCAAACCAGCATATTTTTAATAAACCATATACAAATGTGAACAAATTGAAAATTTTTCTTTGCAATTTTAAAAGCAGGCTCATTGCTAAATATATGTCCTTCCATTATCACAAGGTATTCGGTTTTGCTTCTCAGTCAATGACGAAAGTAAAGAACAACGTGCACTGTTTAGATGGGTTATAAATGAATCTGCACCAAATGTATCTTACGTGATATTTTTGCTTAAAACCTAGAAATATTTGCACAGACTATCATGAAGATACAGGTGGGATGAGATGGGTGTAATGTCGCTTTCAAGGTTATATTGTATATAGCATGATGTATGTGTGTGTGGCTGCCTGTACTGGTTCATAGGCCCACGGTTTGCTTTGTTAGTGTTACGCCACACTCAGCCATATTCCAGCAATATGGCGGCGGTCTGTAAATAATAGAATCTGGACCAGACAATCCAGTGATCAACTGTACGAGCATCAATCTACGCAACTGGGATACGATGACGTGTCAACCAAGTCAGCGAGCCTGGCCACCCGATCCTGTTAGTAGCCTCAACGACAAAAACGAGGCGACCACGGAGACAGCATGCTGTAGACATGTATACCCCACTCAGACACTGTGTATTGACTCTATATCGAATAGTCCTAGATTTATTCCCTTCATGCTGAGCGCCAGGTACAGTGACTTTCTTTATAAATCTTTTGGAATGGCGCTGCCAAGAGATAGATCGACCGACCTGCCGCTCTCTGGACATGATGCACCCTACCCACTACACCAGCTAGGTGAAACTTGTTGTATTACCCTTGTACTGGTACACATCGTATCCTGACCAGCTGAAGGCTTGTGGTTTATAGTATGGCCTCATCCACCAATTCTTGAAGTTGTCAGGATACGGTGTGTACCAGTGAAGACCCTGGATACAGTAAGCAGGTCGTGACGACTTCGACGTCGTCCCTCCTCTCCAGCCGCAACACTTTACTTCACCATCGACCAGCTCCACTCCATACACTTCTCATATTAAGAACCAAGTATTGATTGTATTTGTTCAGATTTTATTGTCATGTTCACAACATCACAGACCATGTCCTCACACAGGCCGAGCCAACCGCTCGTGGAAACCACACTAACATTGTATAACATATGAACGGATGACACAGCAAGGCGCTACAGCCTGGCACATGTCGAAATACTGGTCACGTGGCGGGAATACTTGGGATGAATACTCGAGTGTGTTTGAAATCATTTAACAACAATATCTAGTAAGACATTTGGAGAATATGACTATTTAGGGTTGCACTTTTGTGAGATAATGATGGGATTAGAAAAGTACATCTTAAATATTTTGTGATGAAAAATCTTTGATATGCACTTTTCAGTTTCGAGTTTTAATAAAGACGTTTCAATAAAAACTCATGAAATGATAACAGTATGTCATTCACTTTTAACAATAGGATTATGTTAGCTTTTGTTGTGAAATATATGGACAGGGTCGGGTCTGGACGGAAATGTACAAGCCTTGCTTAGTTGGAATCTAATATGACAGGAATCACACGATATGATATATAACAGCTGATAACATGTTTGCATCACTTGTCTCCTGACACACAGAGGGAGACAACGTGATACACCTATTCTGGTGATATTAACATGGGACTGGTGGACAAGCAAGCCATTGGGTAAGGTAACGCACAAATAATGCTACATAGTGAAAAACGGTAATGTGTTGAAAACGATATCTACCACGCGTGCCCAGTAAACAAGCCAGGACGCCATTCCACAAAGGAATGTTAGCGCTAAGGTGTCTGTAACAACCATACTTTAACACAGGCATCTTCTCAACGCTAAGACCACTTTGTGGAAAGGGCCCAGATCAGTTGAAACAAAAAACATATTACATATAGGTTCAACACGTTCCACATTCAACATAGTATACTGTCACATGTAAACATTGAGCAGGTTCATGAGCAACTGGCCTTCACTTCAGTCAAAGTGACATGTACATTGATCACCAAAGTCTTTTATTGAGAAATGTCATTTTGAAATATTTGCCAAAGGTTCAATACCAACACCACAGGTTTTGAAATCGGCTTTTACTGATAAACCATAAGGTCAGAAAAAGCGAAATTATGCATGTCTCAAGTGTAAAATGGGTAAACAATTAAAAAAATACGATTGTGAAAACACACAACCTGACTCTACGTCAATACTGTCTAGTCTCACACAGAAATATCACAGATTGTGGATCAGACTTGAGTAGAGTTCTAATACCTGACTCTAACATATACATCTAGCATACAAAACGTGTAATACTGTTTCTAAAGAACTGCTAAAACTAACACCGCCGAGAAGGTTTTGTTTGCAACTTTATTGAGAAAAGATCTGGCACATAATGTGTGCCATTTGTAATAGTGTTTACAGCCCACCAGTAGCAACTTCGGTATGTACGTTGTCGATGTCATGTCGATATCCCTGCTAGAAATATTGACAATCAATACTGTATGTCCGACACTGCTGGCGATCAGTCAGCAGACCCGGGCTAGCTTACGAGCACCCACACTTGTCTCTACACGTCTCAGAACGGATCAAACGCCAGGATTAACAACACAAAGCCAATTCAGTTCTCCCCCGGACACTGTAGCGAAGCACTACCATGAAATGTATTCCGACACGCTTTATGATTGACAGGAAATTGACAAGCCAGCAAAAAATAAACGCTCGACAAGCGCTTAATTGCTCTCTGGTGTTGTGTATCTGTGTATACTAGCTAGGTTTAGTATGTATACCATGCTGATCTGAGCGTGATGTTAAAATCTTTATACATTGCACAGAATCGTAATATAAATATATCTTTCAACATTAACCAGTTTAAACAAAACCAAAAGAAATATTTGTGAAATCGACATAAATGCACTAAAAGCAGACACAAAGTCGACACATCACATCATAGGTCATTAAACTCTCCAACAATTTTGCATTTATGCGAAACAGATTGTATCTCTTATTTCCATTTAACACCTCTGATAAGTGAAACGAATAATAATGATTACTAACAGTCGTATGGAATGCCACACGATAAACTCTACAGATAACACGTACATGTGAAACTCCGAGACGGAGGTATAGCATTACCTATGACGGCCTGTCTGAACTTGCCCCTTACACCAGCACTAATCTCCCCGAGGTAGAGGACCCTCACAAGAGGCATTCTCATAGACCCGTCTAATGTCACAGCCGTGAATATATTTCACTGCAAATACACGACTCGGAGACACGGCAATATAGGACCTCTTAACACCTTGAATAATCATATTGTGCCAGGTTCATATTTGGATTTTGTCCCCTGTGAAAACTGTACCTTGAACAACTTGAATACTTACCTATCCCCTATCTTCATTGATCAAGTCATTCTTAATGCTTCAATTGAATCTAAATATTTACATGGGTATTCTTTGTAACCATAGGATTGCTGCGTGTTACCTTGTGGAAATAGAATGTATCCGAGTTTCAACACAATACATGACATATTGAGGGAAACATTCACTTTGTCCCACCGATACTGCCATTACGGCTTTGAGAATCTCAGAAATTTAAACCAAGTGACGTGTGTGAATTAATCAAGTTGGAACATATTTTCAAATCAGATCACGTCATTATAACAGGTTGCATGGCGTTTGTTTAGGCCTCTTCGGGGCAAATTTTCAAAGCCTTGGTGGCGTTTCAAGTATTTTATCTCATCGAGGCGTACAGCCAGCTTGTCAGATTGCAGTAATATACTACGAGCTCACTTGTCTGCAATGTCTTATCAGACATTCTATTATACAGACACCCCTCACCCCCAAATTTAAACGTGTGGACTGCTCCAGTGATACAGTTTATTACTGGAGTTTACTATGCTCTGTACAGTATTGTGGTGCTTAGTGGTACAAACTATTCTTCTCCCGTATGTTTCAAAAATTCAATTTAAAAATATGCATATCCATGGTATATGGAGAAGGGGTTAAAGAGGTTTCCAAATACTTATCACCTTAATGGAACATGAGGAATGACTGTATCTCTTATGTAACAAGGTCGTTGACTACCATGGTTACAGAGGTATTTCCTGCTCAGCATCCGATAATGACAACTACTTTACAAATGCAGTGAGAATTGATCAGGGCATACAATAACTAGACCAGGTATCCTATCTATACCTGCAGCTAGGAACTACTACCTTGAAGGGTTCCACTTGGAATACATGTACAATATATTTCAATAAATCATTGCATTTATTCTCGCAAAAAATGCATTTTTTTTAGAAAAATATCACAATTTTGATATAAATAGATAAATATGGACGGATTTGTGATGGGCATGTCAGTATCACACTCACGCAACACAATGAAATAAATATGTAAATGAAATGGACATCTGCAATGTACAACCATTAACAAGTGCATTTTTCACGGGAATCAGACCTCGGAATTACACCGTTTGTTATAAAACAATGTTTGAACGTTTCTTTGGACCGCCTCCATTAACAATACACACGTCAAGCGTGATAAATCACTCGTCATGTGAAAGAGACACTGTTGTACATATCAGTACACTCTGGAATGCACTGTTAAGTGGTTTTGATTTCACGTGTTTTCTAAAACAGGAATCAAAGCTGCAGATAAGTCAAAGTATAGCACTTATATGCCAGTTAAATACGAAATAAAGAAACTTTCCCGAGTTTGATGGTATGTCGTGAAACCGAGGCCTGCAATCTACACCGTGTTTTTGAAATATACAACGGCAGGTCTCAAGCTGTGAGCAGAGAATGATCACATATACCACTGGTCTTTCATATAAATAGGTTGATATGTACAAGATATACCCTATGTCGTTGTCCATTCTCAGGCATCACGCCTTACAAGCTCCTTACATATCTTTGGCACGTCTATTTACGGGACATCATTACAATACTGATTTCACAAGCATGCCCTGAGCCCGATCGACTGTTTTGGTGTAATCTCCTCAATGAACCTTCTAGGGTACACACTGAATGTGTAATGCTGATGGTAGTCTATAAAACGATTCCTCATAATAATCGAGGACTTGGTATGTTTTCAATGTCAAACAGATTATCAACGTCGAAAGCACTAGCAATATCTGCCACACTAGGCCCATCATCCCAGCTGATATGATCTTCATAGCCAGGTTGATGGACAGGTGTTGATAGACGGCTGTCATTTGTGTTGGCAATGTCTGTCAAACTGCTGCGACCATTAACCCCAACTTCCCACCAATCGGGTGCCTTGATTCCTGTGCCACTAACGGTTAAATCCAAGGGACAATTGTTCGTGAAATCTAGAGCGAAATCCGAATTGACGAGGTCTGTTTGGGACAACAAGTCGTCCAAACCTAAATCGTCTGAGTTGGTTTCTGAACTAGGAGGGCTCATTGCTATTAAAGGCCCAGCATCGGAATCGTCATTAAGCAGCTGTTCTGTTTTGATTTTAATCCCAGCTATTTCAATGTCTTGACTCAATATAGAGGTCCAGTTGAAGTCCCCCTTTAACGCAGGGTCCTCCTCCTCATCTTCATCCTGACAACTGAAATGTATCACTGAGCCGTTGCTTAGCAACTTGTCTTCGCGTTGGTTCTTGTTGTTGTCGTGCAAAAAGCTGTAGGGGTCTTCCTCTTTCTTGATCTTCTTGGCGGGTGGGGCTGGGCAGGAATCCCTGCTCCCTCTTCTTTTCTTGAAGATACCATTCTCGATCATATCGCTGTACTCGGGATTCAACCTCCAGAAACCACCTTTCCCTGGCTCGTCCTTGCGCCGGGGGACCTTCTCAAAGCATTTGTTTAGAGAGAGGTTATGGCGTATGGAATTCTGAAAGACAGAACAACATCAGTTTAAAATCAGATTTCTACACAAGATGAAAACATATCCAGATACCAGATATCCAGAAAGGTAATCATAATAACATATGCGTTCGGATGTACTAACACTGAGTATTAGTAACGCCTACACACTCTCAGGGGCAAAGATGACGACGACAATGCTTATTTATTAACAATAATCAATAGATACATCCAGATACCCATTGTAACGGCAGCTGAAGCCTTTGTTCCTCTGTCTTGTTGTGGATGCAATGACCTGTTTGACTGAAGATGTGGCTGGGGAGGGGGAGGAGGAGGAGGGGAGGCTACGGAAGGTGACATGGTTCCCAGGTGGCTCTGCCCATTGTGTACCTCAGTGGGGGAAGGAGGGCTGTTATTACTAGTATGTGGGAAACGACTTTCTCTGACTTACAAATTATTTATATAATTCCATCCGGCATACTGCCCATATCTAATTGCAAGTATGACGCATATAACTGTTTCTTATAATGAAAATGTGTGTGTCAATAAACATATGTCATACACTCAGCAGGCGTATAATACCTATTGTTCAGGATAAGGCCGTGAGATTAGTGTCTGAACTAACACTGTTGTACCATTTGAGTAAGTGGGTTGGCGGAATACTATTGGGACATATCTCACCTGCCAGCTCGGCTCGGCCATTCTGTAATACATGAAGTTCTCGGTTATCCAGTTGTAGATGGCAGACAAGGTGATCTTATTCTTCTTCGTCTCTTTCATTGCCATGCAGATAAGTGTAGCGTATGAGTAGGGGGGCTTCACATATGGGTTGGCCTTGTAGTCGATGGAGTCTGTGCCGTACCCGAGGCAGGCTGGTGCGGGGTCGGCCAGGTTTATACGCGAGTCAACCTTGGGGGGCTGGACGGTGGTCAACACGCACACGTTGTTGTTGTTGTTGTTCTTGAAGGCTCGGTTGGAGGTGTCTTGTGGTCCCGGACTAGGAGGTGGTGTGGGGGACGTGATGTTCATGATGTTGAGGTTCTGAAGCCAGCTGAGACTGGTCAAGCTGTCATCTAGATTGACCCCTCCCCCGCTGCAGGAATCAAGGGGGTGTTTGGCGGCCCAGTTCTGACGGAACTTGTTGGCCAAATGGTCACGTGTTAGAATTGGCATTTTGGCTGGGGATTTGGACGTGTGACTGTTTGGGAACTTCGTCTTGGCTTCTTGTTGGTCGACTAAATGAACTGGAAGAAAGCAAGGATATCGTATTAAACCACCATCCAGTAACAGTGATAACATTTACATTTCAAAGTAAACGAACCATAGAATCTAATACCGGCATTTTAGAGGGGTTCTTTTCTAAAATTATGAACAGGCATTCTCTCTACACATTCGAGGCAGCACGAGCTTACAGTATCTTTGACAATGTCTCTGTGTCATTGTGTTCAGCTGTTGTGTCCACGGACCCTATACAGACCCGTAAGTATTGTGCTCAGTTGTCCAGAGACCCTATAGAGATGTGTAGATGTTCCTGCTAGGGAATGGTTACATCTGGCTTATGGTGGAAGTGTCGTGCATGACGTGACTTGCTCCATGGTTCCGCACATATATTACCTGACTGCCTGTCCCGCTAGCCTTGCACCGGCAGACTTAATTAGAGTAATCAGCTTCATGGTTAATTGGGTTACCTGTGCACGTACTTATCGACCCTTGCTCCGCCAATCAATGATGCTCCAACTAGCGACAACTAATCATCCCTTAGCCCAAAGAACCCGGTCAGGTGTGGCCCATACTCATGGGTGTCCGGGGGTGGGTGGGGGGACGTTTCGCCCTAGTCAGATCGAGACTTTATGGGTTGACAGATTTATTGAAATTTGATCATCTGTGGATGTATACATTGGTCGAGAGACCACGTATATAGTATACATCAATGGAACTTCACTAGCTAATACAAGGCTTGAGCAATAATGTCAAATAATGAACTTTAATTACATCTGAGTTTAACAACACCAAGATGAAATGAAATACTGTACATAACAACGATGCCACAATACGTCCTACATGCTGAAACAGGAGATGCCTGGTATCCTGAAACTATGATCAATACCTTAGTTGAATACTAGTATAGGTCTTAATTACAGTAAGTCCACGGTAAGGACATCTGACTCGTGGAAGCCGCGGTGCTGAGCAAATGGAGGAAATCGATAACCGTGACGTAATGCCATTAGCAGGGATTTCCTTCATCGACAAGGTTGTTTATATCACCACGGGTTTGGACAGTGGGTGGTTCAACGATCCATCCAGAAGGTGCGAGAATAAGAAAGGGTGTAATTAAGGAATTGTTTTAATAAATACAAATGTCCTTTGTCGTCCTCATGAACAGGTGCGTCCAGAATGGTACACATTGTTGTTTTCACGATAATTGACATGCTACATCAAAAGATAATCATGGGACAAGAGTGAAATCAACATTTCTTAATTTCACTGTTTCATGTAAAGGATCGTAAATATATGCTACGAAGTCAAAATATCATGAGAGAATGTCATTTAAAGAATCAATACATACAAGCAAGCCAACATCCACTGGTCAGTCCGTCATAGCCAATAGTGACCCTCCCTCATGTACAGCCGAAATAGGAATTGTTGTATTGGAGTAGAACTATCAAAACCTGACTATAATCCACTGCTGCCCTTGAAATATACAAGGTCCCAATTCCCGGCTGACCAACTGTGATTGCACGAAGACAAGCTCCGACAGACTTGCAGAGCCCGCTGACAGAGAGCGCCGATCTTGAAGCCGGTCTCAACACGCCTTAGCTCCCGTCATAACATAACGGCGTTTAAATGTTTACCCGTTAGATGTCAATAAAACCATGAGTTGTCATGATATGTCGCACTGTGTGTGTATTTGAAACAGATAAGTTGCACTTACGTGATGTGTTTTAGTGAGTTGTGGCGACGGGTCTTGTTGACGGCGGCGTGTTGATATGAACACCTGTCATTCAGCAGATTGACGAAGTCCGATCAGCTGTGGTACTGCCGGTTGGGAGAGCCGGCGAAAAGAACTTACACTTTAAAATCCAAGTGGAAAGTGCAACTACAATCGGAACCCTTTCTCATATGACCAAAACTAATTCCGACTTCTCACTTGTAATATGCACTTGTTGTTATTTACTTCTGTTTTGATGAATATCCACACGTTTTCCCCGTCGAATAGGGCCCGTGTCACAACTGAGGGTCAGATTCATTCAGTGGAAATAAATAGCCCTCGTGGTGAATAAGGCCCGGCTTAGCAACAATGTAAACCGGTATAAATAATATGCTGCGCTGTCATTGGCTGAGCCGATGTTGATTGGCACGCCAATGGCAGCGATGTAAACAACGTGGGTGAAATTGACATTCATAGACCATGCTGTCTTGTGTACTGACTAATGGAAGTACACGTACGATGGGTAATATGAGAGGAGATGGAAACAATAAACACCGTAAACAGCAGCAACAAGATTCGGGTCACACCGACTACTATACGAGAGGGATATATCGTACGTGGGGTTTATAAATAAAGATTTCGCAAAGCAGTGCCTTGACGAGACTAGTTTCACTATCGTTTTTCAGTGCGAAGTTCTTTTACAACAAATGCTTCTTCCTATTCCAGTGTAGCTTTATATGTGACGTAAATTACGATACCCATTATCACATGAAAAACTATCCACTCTGAAACATATACCGATATTCATCGCACATATAAATGTAATATTACCTTAAAGTGTCTAAATAACTAAAGTAAGTTATTATCTTAAATTGACCTATATTGAATACATGTTGTATGTTGTGTATATACATATGCGTACCACTGATTGTGTTTTCTGCGAACTGAACTGACAGTTATATTCAACCGGAGATCGTTTTCACTACAGCTGAAGAGTAAAGGTCAATATTTAAACACGCGCTTGACGTAAGCGCTGGATTTACTCTTGAATAATGACTCAAAATTTCTGCAGTGTCTAGAAATATATAAATGTTATGGCTTGGTTACGATCGTGTTTTATTGATTTGTCACCCCTCGCATGCAATAATTTCTCCAACTATCTTAGACATGTAGCAACTACCTGGCTTACTGGGATATTTAGGTCCAGTATGTGATATTATTAGTATATTCACGTGTACATAATAATCGGTCCAGTTCGCTGGAATCAATCTGGATAAATGAATATTCTGAAATGGCCAAGGCGGGTTAGAATCAATGGTATCAACATTCAATGGTATCTGAGATGAATGAGCAATCGAATAATCGCATTTCCCTGTCATCTCGTGAGATAATAGGGTTAGGGTACCGGTTGGATAATACACCAGTGCTGAATGACTTCAGGAGAATTCTTTGCTTAAAAACCTATAGTTTGTAGGATTATACATAGTGCACGCAATACTGTTACAGCATAGATCACAGTCACCAGTACAAGAAATCCTCTGCACATGCACAAAGGGGGAGAATGAGAGACGTCATGGGGATTTCCGTTATACATGGTCAGAAACAAATGCTTCAGTGAAGCACTGACATATAGAATAAGGATATTCGACAGGTCACACATGCAACACATATTTTGTATATGCAGGTAAACCTTTCAAAATAGTTCTCAAGTTTTCTCCGAGTAAAGATGTTTTTATGAAAGTATTATGAGAGCAACGAGAGGGTGATTGATTGACAAGTTTAAAGGCTACATAAACTGACTGTTTAGTCCTTGACAATTTTATATTTTTCTCAAGTATCTGAGTTTCGCATGACAGTCATTTGTACTTTGAGGGATTATATTAAATATATAACTTAACACGACGGCTACCATGGCCAGAACAAGATGTGTTGATCATGGCGAACTAGACATAGATGAAATAGCCGTGTATATCTAGGTGACGACAGCGTGGTGTAATTGATTCAGGACCGGCCAGGTAGTCCGGCCATCATTTATTCAGTAGGGCATCTCGAGATCCCACACGTTATCACGTGCACACCACGGAAATGGACCAACATTAATCGCACTGGTCTGTTTGGCAAAACAACCAAGTCACGGTTGATGTTGTGGTCGCCTTTTTACAACACTCAACTAAAACCGGTAAAAGTGAAACTAAAGAAATAAATGTGGAGATGTATGGCCCTGTGCATGTAGAGATCAGGTCACAAATCAGTTGAAGTTAAGCAACGTTTGGGGCGGAGAGTCCTTAGATGGGTGATCGTGTGTGACAGCTTGACTCCTGAGAATATCTAGAACTTCAGTCCTGCCCCACAACGAAGCACATGTGATCTCACCTTAGGCAAGTGAGTTTGTATAAAATAGCCTCTGTTCACCCAGCAGAAAATGGGTACCCGGCGAAATAAGTCGTTAGACAATAAACCTTCTAGCTTGGCTTACCCGGGGTAATGATCAGATTGTGCGCTACGAGCAGGATATCTAGCCTGGAAAAGGCGAGTTATTAATATTCTCATTGTTATGAATGATACTAGTCGTCTAAGGGTTGTCTGCAAATATAGTTGTTTTGCTAAAATGATGATAGTCTCTTTCAGCAACTGTATTGATTTCGACAGGCATTTAACTGCAAGATGTGGTAACAGGTTGAATGAATATGAGATACCCGTGTATACAGTTTGTAGGAGAGTGGCTCCGACTGAATGTGTGGTTTTTAAAGTTTAATCCATCTATGTAATGCATTGGCGGAGGAACTATGTACCCACGTAATTTATTTGTCTTTGATCAACTAGCTGGCCAGATCATGTACAACGAAATAGAGGCGAGTTTAAAACATAGAGCGCCTGAAACCTTGCAGTATAAAACCTCGGTTTTGGTGGGTAGTTAATGCCCTCTATTCTTGCAATGGACAAGCACTAATTGTAAAGGTAAACACATTATACACCGTGTACATATAGAGCAAACATTCCATGTACTTATCAATGATGGCCATTGGTTTCCTTTCACATGCTTAACAATCACACAGTCAACACACGAATCCTTGCAAGTCACAGTCGCGCAAATATTGACGTTCAGCGCCACATTACGTTTACGTCTTGTAGGCAACTGAGCCTTCACCTTGCCAGGGGTTATGTTAGGGTCAGCTGACGCGTGTATCATTGACATTTCATATCAGTAGTTTTCAATATTATACATTATTTTTATCCCAGGCTGCAAAGATATTTTGGATCCAGACTGGCATGTTGTTTAAGCTGCATTATTAATGTCAAATGTTATGAGGACGTTGATTTGATAATATCTATGAACACAGCTGAAAATACATATGTGGCATATTTGATAGGAGGGTATAGAGAGGGTTATATAGTACATGTAATCTCCCAGTCATATTTGATAGGAGGGTATAGAGAGGGTTATATAGTACATGTAATCTCCCAGTCATATTTGATAGGAGGGTATAGAGAGGGTTATATAGTACATGTAATCTCCCAGTCATATTTGATAGGAGGGTATAGAGAGGGTTATAGTACATGTAATCTCCCAGTCATATTTGATAGGAGGGTATAGAGAGGGTTATATAGTACATGTAATCTCCCAGTCATATTTGATAGGAGGGTATAGAGAGGGTTATATAGTACATGTAGTCTCCCAGTCATATTTGATAGGAGGGTATAGAGAGGGTTACATAGTACATGTAATCTCCCAGTCATCAATCAGCATGTGATGTCAAGATGATATTGTTACATTTCTAGGTTGGTAAAGCAACAACCCGGTCCTTCTTATGGCCATATCACATAAACGTTCAAAGTTTTACCAAATGTTTGTTATTAAAGAGGAGTAATCAAACTGTAGTGTGTCTTTATGACTTTGATGAGCATATTTGGTTTATATAAACATTTTAGGCATCATTATTTCTATATAGTATGTGATGTGATATTTGATTGATTGTGGGTGTATATGTCCAGGTGATCAGTTCTACATGAAACAAGTTCCATTCGGAACAAATACTGCAAGTGTAAATGTTTAATGGACAAATCTATCAAGTAACACTGCCCCATGGGAATAACGCCTCTATAGAAATAGAGTATAAGGGAACAATTGCACAACAGGTCAGATACAAGTGTCTTCTCGTGAGTCTTTTCACCATGTTTGTTTCAGTATTCTGTATTATCGTTAGTAATTGCATCATAATACATGAGTGAGGTGACTTTTGTTAGCACAATATTGTTATTTATCGACCTGTATTGCCTTAACTTGCACTTAAATATCTGTTACTGTGTATCGTTTTCCCCTGGCTTTCAAGAACGTGTTTCTCTGTATGAGAACCTTACTTTCGATATTGCTATTAAAGTGTTGCAACTGACATATTACAGTGTTTATTGCACTTTCTACAGCACATACACTGACACTGATTGCAGTAATATATTGTCCGGTGTGACAAACCGTTATCAAGAGGCAAACATGAAATTGATGTCAATTCAGTACGCGATTGACAAACAATGCCGTCAGTTGCCTACGTACAGGTCTTCGTTGCCTCGATATAGCGCGAAACTGACAGATTGCATTACAAACTGCTAAGTGTGGAACAACCACCCTATCATGATACAACATGTTTGCTCTGCAGACAGTGGGCGAGATTAGCTGTTATTTACCACAAAGACAATGATGTCATAATTACACATGTTCAAACACCCGTATCACATAATCCGATTCCCCAGTGGAGCGAGGGGTAAGAGGTAACTGGTCCGGGAGTGCTCTATAGAACTACGACATTCAACCAAAAAGTGGCAAAACAAAGGTCTTCAATTACTGCCATTATGCCACGTTAGGTGGCAAAGTGGATCAAGTGCACACATCTCGTAACGTCTTTAATCCGCTTAATTAATTGCTCTACTGATTTTGTTTCAGGAGTTTAGCGGACGATCGAGGAACTGTCGGGATGATATCCGACGAGGGGCTAAGATTCCAGTCTAATTTTACCCTCATTATGTATGTAATATTAATTAGTAATGGATATATCTGTTTAAATCACTGATGTCTGCTCATGCTATCAAACCAGGTAGATTAAACGTAACGAGCCGCCAGAAACACAGACATAAATATAATCTGACGTTTAATTTAGTCGTCTCATTAAATCAGAATAAACAATTGTCACAAATTACATCATGTTTTATGAGTGTTGACGACGCCAAAAAATGTAAATCAAAATTGAGATGTTGAAAAAACACGTTATCTGTTATCATGTTACAATACGCGCGGAGCTCCATTCATTTACAATACCATGTGTGTGCTGTTGTTGTGACATTGATGGGATATTACCTTACTTACTCACTCATTCCTTTACCGGACATTATATTAGGGTTTTAAGTTGTATTGATCAAATTACAAGGTCCTTGAAGGGTATTTAGAAGTGATGAACACGAGTGAAAGATTTATTATATGAACTTCTTTATTTTGTCAGGTGAAGGAGTAAGAAGAAACTTCAAAACGTCGTGTTACAAAGTAAGTAGTTAATATATTAAAACCCTTTAACTCGAACCTATTACAGTTTATTGTATACCGATCAACAACAACGGAAACCTAATGGTTATATTGTTTAAAATGTTTGCTGTTGATGGTACAATAACACAGTTAACTTAACTTAAACACCCGGAGGAACAAAAGTTACTAATTATGTGGCGGCTAGTCTTTTGGTCCCCACTAATTTCTTAATCAAGGTTACTAATGAAGGAGGCGATTTGAGACTGACTGAGATGAAGGACAACGGGCTAGCCTGATCACAGTCGCCGCCACCGTGTATGTAACCCGGGTCATCACGGCCCATTAAAACAGACAATATCGCACAAATTGCGGCGTAGTTCTGCTAGACAAACATATATTTCAACACACACCGTATTTCTGAATGGACTAACATGCTGTGTGCTCAAAGTTAACGAGAAGGGAATTAGTGGTCCGAGGCGCCGTGTAAGAACACACGAGTTTTTCCAATACAGCACCAATTGTCCGCTCAGCGGGGGTATCACACCAGTGTTAATGCGTACACTATGGGCCCCTATTTTATTACTTGGCATCGTCTGTTTTTCTGAGTGAAACAATCCTTGGCAGCGAATGATATTTCAATTTATTAGCAACAATTTATTGGAAATTTTATCACAACATATGAGAGTATTTAACGTATATAGAAACCATTAGCCCAACGGAAGTTGTACATATATTGTTTTCATTTTCGGTATGATGACAACACATTCACAGCCAGTTACAAGTGATTATATTTGTGTGTTAGTGACATAGAGATTGTTTGATTTGTTTTCAGAGCTGTACAGGACATTGTAGACACCGTGACACCGTGCACACTGCTCTCATACGTCGTCATTACACGTCTCCCCTTGATAAACTAACAATCCGCTGACTAACCTGATCAATGCGCGTGCCTTATGCATATATTTACCGATTAGCAGTGTAAACATACACACGAGTCCATGGGGTATTGGTAATTGTTTGATTACATGAGTACCTCTCAGAGGATGGGATGAAATGAAGCCACCTGTGAGAGGCTATCACGGGGCATACAGTGGCGGCGTGGGGCGCTTCACAACCAGTACTGTCACATCACGTATAGCAAACAGAACAGGAACATTATTTTGTCTATCTCCGAAAAGACTTTATCATCTCAAACAGAAATAGATTAACATTTTTTTTAAAAGGAAGAAAAGATAAAGCTGACTGGTCTATTTTTGTATATATGAGCAGGGATAATCTACAACATCCCTGATATGAGGTAGTTTAGTTTGTTTCGAGAAATCGTGGCCAGGTCAAGCTAATGGGTCTCTATATGTATGGTTATATGTGACCTCCCTTCACATAACAGGTCAAGCTAACGGATCTTTTTATTTTATGTATGGCGGTCCTACACAGAAACGGGTCATTACATTCATGGCTACATATGACGGTTGGAATGATACGTATGGCTGTTTAAGACAGTCTAACACAGAACAGGTCAAGCTAACGGATCTTTTTATTTTATGCATGACGGTCCTACACAGAAACGGATCTTTACATCTATGGCTTCATATGACGGTTGGAGTGATATGTATGGCTGTTTAAGACAGTCTAACACAGAACAGGTCATCAAACGGATCTTTTTATTTTATGTATGACGATCCTACACAGAAACGGGTCTTTACACCTATGGCTACATATGACGGTTGGAGTGATATGTATGGCTGTTTAAGACACTCTAACACAGAACAGGACAACTAACGGATCTTTTTATTATAGGTATGACTGTCCTACACAGAAACGGATCTTTACATCTATGGCTTCATATGACGGTTGGAGTGATATGTATGGCTGTTTAAGACAGTCTAACACAGAACAGGACAAGCTAACGGATCTTTTTATTTTATGTATGACTGTCCTACACAGAAACGGATCTTTACATCTATGGCTACATATGACGGTTGGAGTGATATGTATGGCTGTTTAAGACAGTCTAACACAGAACAGGTCAAGTTAATTGGTCTCTGTTATATGGTATATGTGACGTACTATCCAGAATGGGCCAAGCCAATGGTTCTTTGTATGTATGGTATATGTGACGTCCTATACAGAACAGGTCAAGCCGACGGGCCTATATATGTGTGTTTTCTTTCACACAAATCCGAGATCTCTTTGATGCCCTTGTTGTTGATCATGGACATGTGGACTCCATCCAGACACTGAATCCCGACCCCCACCCCAAAACAGCCCCAGTCTTGTCCCCTGAGTGCCGAACCCCAGGCAAGTAACAACACGTTCATCTCTTTCAGCGGCCAGGGTGTGGAACTGCCGATCTTCAGCTCTCTAGACAAACGGTCTATCCTGTAGACCATGTTGGCGGGCGGTCTACCCAACGGGTGTACGCATATACAGATATGCTTGTTGGAGTGATTGTGATCCAGGCTAGCTAAAAATAGTAGTCACACTGGACTCAGTGAGCTTCCCTGATACAAAATAGCCTCTGCGTTTCTATTGTTAGCAGGATTGTAAAGACCGAAGTGTTTTTATCTACCTGGCATATAACCTTGCTCTAATGTTTTCGTGGACATTGCAAACTTCCCAAGCGTTTAACAAACATAACATGGACATTAATGTACACATTAAAAGGCACCAACGTAAATACTACCAAACGACAGCAACATTCAGCATGTACTGTGACGCTGTCAGTAGGGATGAGTAGCTGGAGTAGAACCGTTGATGCTGCCTGTTTGTTCTAGGCATGCGTCTCATCTGGGATTGTGGTAGTTACAGTGATGTTGTCCTAACGGAAGTGTTGTTAATGTAAGGCAAGGACACAGACCTTTGTTATCAAGCACGTCTAAGTGTTTAGACTCTGTACGACATTTATTCAAGCATCTCATAGTATTATTGATTCCAAGACAAGACAAGAACATAAATGACCGCCTATCGATTCCCGGGGTTAGTTGTGTGTAACCATGTATTGTTGATTCCCCTGTGTCTACTGGCACAGTAGCTAAATGTGTGAGTTATACGGTAGGTAATGTGAGTAAAGTGAGTTATAAACTATGTATTGTGTGTTCTAACATATATAATGTGTGTAAAGTGTGTTATAAAGGGTACAGTGTATACTATACAGTATGTAAAGTGTGTTATAAACTATGTATTGTGTTTTCTAACATATATAATGTGTGTAAAGTGTGTTATAAACTATGTATTGTGTGTTCTAACATATATAATGTGTGTAAAGTGTGTTATAAAGGGTACAGTGTATACTATACAGTATGTAAAGTGAGTTATAAACTATGTATTGTGTGTTCTAATGTACATAATGTGTGTAAAGTAAGTTATAAAGGATACAGTGTATGTTATACAATATATGTTATACTGTAAGTAATGTGAGTAATACACTATGTATTGTGTGTTCCAACGTATATAACCCTTGAAGATCCGGGGTAGAATAGGTCTTCAGCAACCCAGGCTTGCCACAAAAGGCGACTATGCTTGTCGTAAGAGGCGACTAACGGGATCGGGTGGTCAGGCTCGCTGACTTGGTTGACACATGTTATCAGTTCCCAATTGCGCAGATCGATGCCCATGCTGTTGATCACTGGATTGCCTGGTCTAGACTCGAGTATTTACAGACCACCGCCATAGAGCTGGAATATTGCTGAGTGCGGCGTAAAGCTAAACTCACTCACCTACTCTAATGTATATAATGTGTGTAAAGTAAGTTATAAAGGATACAGTGTATGTTATACAATATATGTTATACTGTAAGTGAGTGAGTAAGTTATAAAGGAAAAATTGTATGTTATACTATATGTAATATGAGTTAAGTGAGTTATGATATATGTAATGAGGGGTATACGGTTTTAACATATTGCATTTAAAAAGAACGAATATAGATCGGTAAACAAATCGCTAAGGCTCAGCTAAATATTTCTCCATTACATTTATGTGGAACTGGAGCTGTTTGTATATATGGAATCATAATGGGAAAACTGAATGATAAGTAATCACATTTCAGTCTATCATTACCGAGTATCCTTTCCAGTAGTTGAGTCGTAATGGTGCAAATCTTTCAGATTCCGAAATAAATACGTTGGCAGATTTCAAAGTATATTTAGTTAAGCACCCCCTGACATATCTCACGATTGAATGAGCCCCGATCTTAACCCTTTGGAGTATATCTGGGACATGATTGGTCGTCGTGTGCAACAAAGGGACCCTCCTGTACAGAACCTGGCCCAACTGGAAGCTGCTTTACACGAGGAATGGCGTAGACTGACAGGGAGTATGAGGAGGAGAGTGCTGGCTGTCATACAGTCACATAGGGTTACACTCGGCATTGACCTTGAATCGTGTAAGACACGCAAAATGACATTTTGAATGTTCACATTCACCAATAAATTCAACATTAAACATTCCAGGGTCATACTTGTACAGACATGGTTTTGTATGAAAATCAGTGGAATTTTCAAAATGAGCACTTATCATCATAAAATCAACATGGATTCCAATCATTTTGTCGTTTTTTATGAGTCAAAGGATCATAACAAGGGTCAGAAAAGTTTTATGTACGTGTGGAAAGAAAACCTATCATTGCAAAAATACTGGGGGTGCTTAATTAAGTTCTTTGTTCTACTGAATGAACAGTTTTTTGCATTACCAACAAGAACTGGCCCTTGTATATAATAGTATAATCGACTTCTTAATTCATAATAACTTGGACGTATGGAAATGTAGTGTTGAAGATTTTCTCACGGGTATCCACAAGAACAAGTAGGGTTAAAGGAGATATGCAGTTCATGCAGGTATATATAGAGTATGGATACAGGTATATATAGAGTACGGATACAGGTATATATAGCGTATGGGTACAGGTATATATAGAGTATGGATACAGGTATATATAGAGTATGGGTGCAGGTATATATAGAGTATGGGTACAGGTATATATAGAGTATGGTTACAGGTATATATAGAGTATAGGTGCAGGTATATATAGCGTATGGGTGCAGGTATATATAGAGTATGGGTACAGGTATATATAGAGTACGGATACAGGTATATATAGCGTATGGGTACAGGTATATATAGAGTATGGGTACAGGTATATATAGAGTATGGATACAGGTATATATAGAGTATAGGTGCAGGTATATATAGCGTATGGGTGCAGGTATATATAGAGTATGGATACAGGTATATATAGAGTACGGATACAGGTATAT